CGTCAGGATGATCATACATTCGGAGATATATCTGTAAATTTCTATTTTTTTTTTCTTGTCAATTCTAAACAGAAAAGGCATAGTGACTGCAACAATTTAGGAAAAACACACGGTGACTGCAATTTTGGCAGCTTCATAATAAAATTTGTGTCGTCGCAGTACATCCTCGAGCCTCAGTAATCCAATGTATGAACAAAGTGTCATTTTTCGAATGCAGTAAGTGTGGAAATCGAACTGGTCTTCAATAATGCCCACGAAGTGCTACAATTAAGCAAGAGTTATAAAAACACTATAAAGCGTCACTGTGAGGAATCAAGAAGTAGCAAATACGAATGGCAAATAAGGATGAATAAATAGACATTAAATGAAATCTATAGCAGCCTTCACTAACACCCAGATCAATACTATATTGTCTGAACTGTTTCACCACCATAACAAGCCATAACTTTTGCAAATGAATCTTATATTAGAACCATAAAAATTTAACTAGATATAAAGATGAAAACTAATAATAATAAGAAACAAACCCTTTCGACTTCATGACATTTTTTCAATGCTTCACCGTAATTTGCCAACCGCTGATGAGCTTTAGCGCATTCAATTTCATACCACATGCACTGCATTTCATTCAAATTTGCCGATGCATTAACACCTTCCCTTGTAAACTTCGAGCACATATTCTCTGCCTCTTTAATGAGGCCAGCTCTGAGCATGTACTTGGCACATTTACTATTCACATAGCGATCTGCTGTATCCAAAGACTGCGCTTGCTCCATTAAGCTTGCACCTTCATGTGCATCACCTGAGTGCTGCAGCAACAACACCATCAACATTTCATGTCATAACAGTCATAAAAATTTTTAAACAAATAGAATAAAGTACGTTTCACGTCATCCATCGGGAGAGAACTTTTGAGATGTTTTGATGACTACAAAAGTAATAACAAGCAAACCTTATGGATTTTTGCTTTTATCATGTAGAGTTCAATCAGTGTTGGTGTATGCTGTATTGCTCTATCAATATATACAAGTGCCTGCTGAACCGAACCTAATTTGTCATAATGTTGAGCTAATAAGTAATACAACCATAATACCGTCGTTGGTGATTCCGGAAGAGGACTATCTATAAAATTCTTAAATTAGTTGATGCCAAGTATTTATTTAATATTTGAAATGTTAAAAATTATAATCTATTGTAAGCCTGAAAAATAAATGAAACCAACTGTCCAAAGATCCTTTCTTATACCCGTTTTCCCCTAACCGTTTAACGAATTCGATGAGCGTACGCTCCAAAAATTGGACCTAAAAATGTGAAGGATTAAAACATTCCTCATAATTTTTAGTAAACAAAATAAGAAATGACAAAATAATGTAAAAGATATTTTCAACAAATGGCGCCCTATTTTATTCATAGTGTTCAAAACCTCGATAGTTCAAAAAATGATAAAAGATAAATATAATAAATGTTTCCTACTATTCGCATTTTCAAAGGAAAGATTTATACTTCTGAGAATATTCGAGCTTAAAGAATCTTATATCAGTATCCCTTAAACAATTCATATTGTTAACTGGAAGCCACCATTATTTATCACTCCACATATTGTAAAGGAGTTAGGAATAGCTGTAGAGATATAATAAATAAAACAAAAGAGAATTTGAGATGAAATATTTATATTCAACCTTATCGCTGTCTACATAAAGCGGGATAAGATATTTGAAAAGTGAAGGCACGCCTTTTCGAAGACCGGCTATCAAATAATTGAACAATAAACTTTCAAACTGGACACCTGAAATGAGTAATTAAACCAAATACCACAAAGCCATGACGCCCAAAATATGATTTAAAATACCTTAGCTATAAAATATAAAGAAATACCGCGGAGGAAATAAAGAGGAACTCTTTTTGGAGTGGCTGCATGAGAATTCATTGAAACAGCCTTCTTATAGACCTCATAACGTCCCTCGACATCGCTTTCCGCTGCAGAATTTTTACGTTATACATGTAAATTGAAGAATTTCGCCATTGAATTTTGAATATAGTTAAAAGAATCGATACCCAATCCTCTGCATTTCTCGATCTGATGATAATATATAATATTCTCTGGATTTCTTTCAATCAGTTTCCAATAAGTCATTTCTGCCTTTGCATTATCGTTCAAAGCCATCAAGAGATCCGCTATAACATCCAGAAAGTGATGTATTCACAATATGTAAATTTCATCTTAATCTTTTTAGCCAATATTTCAACCAACTTACCACGCGTTTCCATATAAGCAACGCGATCAACAATTTGTGATGCGTTTTCCTCTAATCTGTTCAGTGCCAATTCTAGCTGACCAGATTCGCGGAGAATCATGTTCTGATACAGGATTAATTCACTCTGCTCGAAATCGTACTCCGGTAGCTGGGGAAATTCTTGATTAGAAAGACATAAGAATGTTAAAGCATTTAAAATATTAATAGTATTTCATATAAAGACCATAAGATTTCAAAAGTATATAAATATATAAAGACCTCAAAGTATTTCTAAACATAAAGTAGTCTTTTTTGGTAGCAAACACTGATCTGAATGTCGAATAAAGCAAACCATAAAAATATTACGTCCCAAAAAGCAGTTGTCTTATTCAATGATTTTCTTGACAAATAACTGGATTTCATTTATTTTGTAAATATAAATTGTCGTGGCAAATAATAAAACATATTCTTACGAACTAGAAAAAACTGGAGTAAGATTTTGAGATAAAATAATCGGATTTCAAATCAATTACAAATCCAAGAAAATACAGAAACCTCAACCCTATTATTGTTGCAAAACTCGCTGACAATTTTTAGAGCCATATCGTAGTCCTTGAGAAGATGATATGCTGTCGCATAACCAATCCATGCAATTCGTTGTTGAGGACGCAGCATAAGCAGTCGATAACGCGAATCCTGAAAGTTTTGCAGATTTTATCAAAAGAGTACAAAATTTTTTAATGGAATTTTCAGATATCATGAGTTTCGCATTGCTTATCTTCCCATTTTATTCCTTACTTTCAACTCAGTTCAAATCTTGGGGAAATACAAAATCGAAAAGAATCATGGTATAAATGCGCGGTGGCAATCGAAAGACTGGAATAGGTCCAGGTAAGAAATTGAACACTAGAACCTATGGAAGAAAAAGTCATAAATACAGGTACAAAATGAGCCGGAGATGATCATAACTTTAAGTTTGTCGAATAAAAGGCGCTGTGTGGAATGTAGCGAATATTAGGAAAGAACTGATCAGTGACTATTAAGAACATAAATAAGAGTTTTCATTCAAAAAAAGAAACACAGAAATCTTTGTTTTCTCAAGGTGGAACATGAAAAGACTTACGCGATACCCGTCTAAATCTCGCATTTGAATTTGTAGTAATGATAAATCCCTGAGTATTTGCATATTGTCACGATCTAATCTTAACGCCTGCTTATACGCCTTCATCGCCTCATCATATTTCTTCTCGCTACGTTGCACCAAACCGAAGACATGCCAACAGACATGTGATCGAAGGTCAGCCTGCAATCGATAGTTGATCACTGCTAGAAATCTTGCAACTAAATAGAAAATACATTTGTTACTTTGTCACAATAAATAGTATGAATAACCTTTAAGCCTCGTTTGACGCACTCCTGTGCTTCTTCATGTTTCCCCATACAATTCAAAATCAAACCCTTCATCGCCAAAGTCTCTAAATTAAATTATTTTGCACTTCTGTAAACTTTTGTATACTTAAACTTCATGTAAAAGAACCAAGCCATTCATGACGCTATCCAAATAAAATTGATTCAACCTCCATGTTCACTGAACTGTGGATTTGAGAGAATCATCTTAGCGCACCGAAGGCCATTCTTGTACTGTTTATGCTCATAGTGCTTCTACAACCAAATAAAGCATAACATGTAATTTTTTATTGATATGAAGTTAACAATTCCAATTAGGAGCAATATGGTTATTCTTTAAAAATTAGTCTTACCCTTCAATCTACCAATTTATCTTGTTTAGATTTTCTTCCTGATCTTCAGTTCCTCCCGTAAGAATTTTTTCCTTCTCTTTTTTTTCGTACACACAACTTAATATTCTACTTTTAAACTGAATCGCTGTTGACTAAAAAGTACTAAGATTAAAGAGAACGCACAACAACTTTACGGAAAAGAGTAAGCTCCTTAGAAGGTAACGGTTGGCTACTTGACTGTCCCGGAGGCGCCATTCTGATTAGTCTTACACTATCTTGCCACACACGCGCACTGATAACACCTGAAATTTGCTTCACATACAATTTGTACGAGTTTGAAATGAAAAATGACAGCAAATATCCACTTCAACTTATAGTATGCAAAATATTATTATACAACATAGTATTCAGTTAAACAGCAAATATATATAAATACGTTTCAGGCAGAATAACAACTCACTACCAAGCAGATATACTTCTTAAATATGAGTCAATAGCATCAATTTATAAACCTATCTACGCAGTAATATAATACATTAGCATGGTATTAAAAGAGCTAGCTAAAAGAAAAAGAAAATAATCTTTTAGATATTCCATTTAAGGAAGTTAGAGAACATCTGCGGGTACAACAATCCTGAAACGACACCACTTAACTTTACCCACACCTTCTGGCCATCCAGATCCAGTCTCCATAGCATGGCCCAGTTATTCTAACACTCGCATCATCCTGCCAGACACAGTGAAAATTATAATCTCTTAAGAGGTGAGACTTGTGAAACTAGTCAATGAATGTGTTTCTTACAGTCTGTGTGACTAAACAAGACTCATAACCTGGCAAGGAGCTAAAGAGCTAAACGCATCGCATTTCCCTATGTCTAGAAATCATGAAAACCATCCCTTTCCGTGTTTCGCTCAAATTTATTCCCATGTAATACCTTTAATTGTCAGACATATTTTGGTAAGAATATAGAAGAGTAGCAAACTGTAAGTGTCAAGGATAGTAGAAGATGCAGAGAAGCTACGAACACTAACTGATATTTCCAAAAAGAATCGGAAATCCAGTACCTTTCTGGATTTCCGATTCTTTTTGGAAATACTTGTAGATCCCCAGACTACCTTCATGAAAATGGACTAGTGATCGTGTTTCTGCTATAGGCATAATAACCTTAAACATAAAAATTCTCTCCCGTTATTAGAAAAAGTAAAAAACAAGTCACTGCTACTGAAGAAGTGAGAAATAATGAAGTGTCAAATTCATAGCATTCCTGTACACCGAATGGTATCTTCTACAAAATAGAAGAGAAATTCATCGTTCTCTGAAAAGGTGGGTATAAAATATATAAAAAGTACGGTAAAGGATTTATGCAGAGAATAGATAGATCTGTCTGACACCCATAACTCTATAATTGATTTCTTTAAAAATGTTCCATCTGCTTCCTAATAGTTGTCTTACATTATTAAGCACAGGAAATACATGGTTAACAGGTCACCATATTTATTAAAACATGATTAATCGATCCCTTCCTGTTGCTGTACTCAATGACTTCACTGAGTTTGACTTCTTTTTTATTCTATCTACTAAATGGTCTGTGATTAAATATATCGCATGTCATAACCTATTAAAAAATGCAAAGGTAAAATTGGTATTTCAAAATCCATCGTTTTTTGACCTTTTCCTTTTTATATGAGAGTTTTGTGACACACCTTCGTGTTGAATTAACTTTTTCTTTTTATTTGAACTCCAATGCTTCACAACCAATCAATTTATATTAGAAACTGCATTGAAAGAAATGTAACATAATTCCAAATTTAATCAGTTCTGATCTTTTACTTGCCACCAATATGACGAGAAGTTTTAGCGCCATATTTGTTGCCCACTGCGAAATCAGCAAATTCTCGAGAAAACCTCATGTGGAAATCGTACACCATATCTGGAGTTGGCAGAGCAAACTCTCTAAATTGTTCATGTTTCTTAAATTGCATGAGAATTTGTCAGAAATCACCAGCGATAGCAAAAAAATTGTTTAAAAAAGATGTCTCTGAGTATAGCACTTCTAGTTTTAACAATTTTTTACGCTGCAATCTGCTCAATATACCTCACTGGAAGAGAAACTATTTCTTTAAAATTTTGTATGAAACTATTCGAGATATATATGTTATTAATGCCTCTCGGAAATATACCTGTTACTAATTAAATAGATCTCTTTAAACATTTTCCCCTGTCCAATTTCAACCAGAAATGAACTTACTCAACATACGCAGCAAGCACTATTTCTGCGACCACAATAGTACCACATATCCGGAACAAATTCTTCCTACTTACTTGGAGAGTTTCCTGATTGACCTTTGCACAGAATCTGAGTACAGATGACCTCATTGTTGTCTATGCCCTAAAACTTCATTTGTCAACTACTTATCTCTCATTACCTGTCGCCTGTATTGTCTTTCACAGACTCACAGTGAACGAACGAGAGAAGAGGGAACACTGCGCGATGATCCATGTTGTCCTCTCATACCAATACTGATTATTTCATTTCCATCTTTAATCTCTGAAGCTACGCTATTGTCAAACTATCTCACTAGCTAGCGTCTCTTCACTTCAAACTCTCTCTTCCTTTCTCGTTGCTGTTCTTTGTCACTTTGTTACTTTATATGTCATCCTTGTTGTTTCTGAAACTGTATGTACTGATAGAAGCTGAACTAAAGATTTGTGTGGCATAGCTAGGAATCTGCTAATTAATCTGTCTTAATAGGATTGCGACACACGACACTGTTTTAGTTTTGTGGAGAGAAGTCCATCCCACTCCAAAATTTGTACTGTTTCGTATTTGCACACTAAAGTTATCATTTCTTTTGAATTAATCCTTTGAATCCTTAGGGTTGTATCTACAATAAATGGCTCAGATTCATTGCCACAATGGCAGAGTGTACATTGCTGCGGGAAGAAATATTTTCGAATTTGCTTTCACAATTGATAGCATTTCTTCGAAGCTGAAACTCTGCCGTGATATTTTAGTGCCATTTAAGGGCACCGCAACTCGAAAAGAGAAAGATCAGGTGAATGATTTGTCTATAGGTTTCTTAATTTACTGGTACTAAATTATAAATAATTGGACAATGACTATATCTTTAAGATATTGGTCTGTCTCACCTTCTGCTGTTTTCAGCATGCTTCACGTCATTGTATTTAGAATTAGAATGCTTAAATACCCATTAGTATTTGCACAACTAATAGGTGTTTCCATTTAAGACTTTCATATCTTTGTTGTTTAAGTCTGTTTTCGAATTTCTAATCAGGGAGAAAAATGAGTACTCACTAAATTTAGACTGTTTCAGTTTGCCTTAATCGTGTACTGTTCGTTTTTTTTTTTTTTTTTTTTTTTTTTTTTTGGAAAACCTGAAGTGGTTGATAGAAATGAATACTAAAATCATGGCAAAAACATTTTGAGATTCTGGCAAGTACACTGAGTAAAGATGGCACGTTATTCGCGGTCGCTACTACATCAAAAGAATGTTTCCTGTATAATATTTTAAAAGACTGGATAGAAGTACGTCCAGCGCTGCAACTGCCAAAAGCACCAACAGCCGTGATTTTGGATATTTCGGAAAAATTTGTAATTGTTTCTGATCGAGCGGGTAATGTTCGTCGCTATAGCTTGTATGCAGAAAATTCAGGAAAGAACGATGAATTCACTGATAGTTAGGCTTTTACATCTATAATTTTAAATGATTTAAGAAAGCTCGCGTATCTTTCTATTTTAGCTTTAAATCATATTCTGGGATCAAGTTATGTCGTGCATTATTGTTTCCTTTAGTTTTCAGATGAAGGAAATTGTGAAGGTGAACTTCTGCTAGGTCATGTATCGATGGTCCTGGATATTGATATGTCAAATGACCGAAGGTTCTTGACAAGTGTTGACCGTGACGAGAAAATTCGTATTTCGCATTATCCTGAATGTTATGTCATACATCGCTTTTGTTTGGGTCATAGCTCATACGTCAGTTCGATTCAGTCAAAGGACACGTTGCTTTTCTCTTCAGGTAGATTGTTATCCTAATATTACGAAACTGGATGTGGTTAGTAGTTTTTATTTGTTTTGTTTTTGTGTGATAACAATTATTCGATATAGTTGTTGTGATAACAGTTACTTTTTTTAGATAAATTTGATGTAAATCATTCAAATGTTCGTCCAGTTAAAGAATTGTAGGTGGTGATGGTACTTTAAGAGTTTGGAATATAGATGATGGAAAGCAAGTTGCCCAGTGCAATTGCCTTGAGAAAAAGGCAATTCGTCGTTGTAAGATGTTTCCGAATTACTCTTCGAAGGTATTTTCATCTTAACTGGCTTAACTGATCTAATATTATCTTTTTGCAAAACGCAACAAAATGAATACAAAATTTTTGGGAATCAAAAGTTTTTTGAAGTCTTTTGTTTTTCAAGAAATACCTTGCATATTACTTTTGGTCTGTTGTGTTGGTTGACAATTTTCGTTATTCTCCCTTTTCGTGTCATATGTTGCCATTGTTATTCTGAATTCTGCTCGATACGTTTTTCGCTTTTTAATTTAATTTATTTCCTTAACAAATAAATTATTGTTAAGCTTCGAAACTTGTAGACATTCAATAAGCTATGTAATTACTTACAGGGCATAAAATTGGCTGTGATTTTCGAACATTGTAAAACAGCACAAATCGTTACCTTCTTTCAAGAAAATAATGATTTCAAAATCGAATGCTTGACTTGTTCGGACTTTGTTATCGACATCACTGTAGAAGAAAATGGAATTTTTGTTTTTGGTATTACAAAGTAATTTTCTGTAACAGTTTTTTTTTTTTTTTTTTTTAGTTTAAACGGTATTTCCTGTCCTTCCAATTTTGGTTTACTTATTTTTACAAATTTGTAGGTCATCAGTTGTTTTCGGAAGATTGGATGATGGCTATCTCGAATCAGTTAGTGATATTGATGAATGTGTTGTAAATTGTTTAGGTTCAGTTAGGGAGATTTCACTACCATTGGAAAAAAAAGTTGGGTTTTATAATGTTGAAAATTATAAGCAACGTAAGACAGAGCGTATAAGGAGAAAAAGACGAAAATTGTCAGCAAGTAGTTCATATTAATTTTTTTTCCAATTAATTACGTGCTAACATCTGTCACGAATTTCAATTTCGCGAAACTCTAAATAAAATAAATTCATTAAAAAAATTAAATTAACCATTCAAATTATAAATAAATGTTAACAATTTTATGAACCACTTGACTAATTTTAGATCCTTCAGATTCATTTCTCATGCTTTTGTTTATTATCATGATTTAACTAAATTTACATACTCATTTTCCTATTCGATTCTGTAACAGTTCTTGTACTGTAATTGAATCTTTACAATTTTTATGTATCCAGATGCAACATTCGTTGTAATGTTTGTTATAAACCACTCCAATTCTTAACACATATTAATAAACAACGGAAGAAAAAATTAATATGTAATCTCTTTTTTCCCAAAAAGGAAACCGATAATAATGAAAAAATACTCTTTTTCCCTGGCTACTCTGTCTTTTGGTATTTTTCGTCTTAAAAATTTATATCAGCAAAGATTCAATCTAACTCCAATTTGATACACTGAGCATAGCGGACGCCAATAATTTTGTTCCCACGGTCAGCAGATAACACCACTGTTACTATATTACTAACAATAGTAAAGTATGTCGGGACAGTGGATATTATGCATTAATTGAACTACCTTTCTACAATCAAGGTAAACGCTTTAAATTCCTGGTTGTTATCAGAACCTTTCAAGACAAATTCATGACACCTTCTGCAAGTTATTCGATTGATAATCTGGTATACTGCATCTAATAATAAGGCTACTACATAAGCTACTTGCACATGAAGTTCGTTCCTAAAAATGTTGACAGCATAATTATTTAAATGGTTAATTATTAGTAACTCAGATGAATTATCATCAATCAGTCTTACTGCCGGGAAAATATTCACTACGTCACGTTAGTAGAATTTCATAGGACAATTATTTATTCAACTGAAGGAGAAACGAAGGTCAAACTTAAGTGCCTGCTGGACGCAGTTTCTCAACATTTGTCATAATGTTATGACTGTTATTCCGATATAATTTAACAGTACTCAGTGAAGTATTGGGTTATCATTTGCCTTGATAAAAATTGAACAAGTCTTGAAGCAGCTATTTATCAGATGTCTTCGTAATAGTTGCGTTTCTAAATGTAGAGTTAGGGAAAATCTATAATATAAATTTTTATAAGGCATTATTGATTTCAGCAACGTGTACGAGTGTATTAGTATGTCATATTTTCGTTTATTGCTCAAAGTTTATGTAAGTCTTAACGACATATAGCGATGATTTTCGGTATGAGAAAATGATTTGAAAGCAAAACGTGTCTTAATTTTACATGACATTTTCTGCAGAGAATGTACGTAACATTTACGGCAGTAATGCATTTATGGATATAATAGACTTTTATTTTACTTTTTATTTTATGTTACTTTTTTTTTTGAAATGCTTTTGCTACCCATTGATGTACAATTCGCATAATGTTTTAATGATTTTCAAATTTAATGAAAGATTTGCGTGAATAGAAAAAATCTAAATGTAACTTGCTGTCGGCTGAAAATGACGAATAACATTGTTACGTTTTGGTAGTGAAGGATTAATTAATTACGTGGTCTGGCATAAAATAGCAGAAATTTTGAAAAAAGGCAAATAGCGGCAATATCAATATCGTTAATAATGCTTACCTGAAAAGAAATCACAATTCAGTTGTTTTAAAAATGTAAAGGAAGTCTAGGCAATACGTAAGATGATCTCATGATTTCAGTCAAAGATTAATGTACTGCTTTGAATAAATCAGTGACTTTTTTAATTTATTACAAATTACATTTATCTGTTTTATTCATGGTAATTTGTTAAATGTTTCTCGAGAAAGGGATTCCTATTTCTGTCGAAAACTTTTATTTGAATAGTTTGGTATATCATAAACAAAACTTGTTATAGAGATTTATTTTTTTGTGCAAGACGGATGGTATATTATATAATAATTCTTAATCAAAAGAGAATAAAGATAATTTGAAGGAATTGTTTCCGATTTTGAATAGGACCTCGTAATTTAGCCGTAGTTTAGGAGAATCGTCAAGGTGTTCAAAGGAAGTCTTTAGAGACAGCCTGGTAACCAATTCACATAAGATATATTGGGTAATTTACAAAAGCATATTGTAATATAATCCAAAAAAGTCTGGTCTTATTATAGCGTAACGGCTGAAACGCGATATTATCAGATCGGAAGCATTTGCATATGTTTTCATTTCCAGTAATTTAACTATTGGAGAAAAGCATGGTAATTAAAAAAAAAAGGAGGAATTAGCCTAATGTCACGCTAGACATTTTAACACTTATTAAATTACAATTTATGCGAATGATCATTTGAGTAAAAGATGTTCACAATATAAATTATTTTATTATTTGGATATATTATTATAAGTTATTTCGAGGTTCTCGACACCCTGTCAAGCTTGATTTTGTTCATCTACTAAAATCGACCTATGTTGATTTTCGCTTATTGATGAGCTTTTTCAACATATAGTTTGGGAGTTTATAATTCACCATGGATGGGGAATGTCATCAGCTTCAGTATTATTTTCAATAGTATTTAACTATGATTCAGTAAGAAAAATAATGGCTGATGCAAATTATACAGGATACAGAATTATTCGTACGTAATTAAAAAAGTACACGTTCAACTGAATAATATTTCTAAGTAATTCAAATTAGTGAATCTAACAAAGATTTTCGGAGTACCAGAAAGAAAACATCTATGAGAAACGGGAAAACGGAATTATAATACGACTTTATTAAGGTGAATGAGCTGTAATCAAAAGTGGTACAACAGATTCTGAAGTAATTAGTTTCAAAGATAGAAGGAAATTTTCACCAGCTTCTGTTCTTTTGAATAAAATATTCTAGCGTAGCATTAGTTACAAAGCAGTGAAGTCGTAATACTATTTAATCGAAGAAAAAAGATGAAATTTTTTAACAACGGGAAAATAATAACTCACCTGGTTGGGACTTTATTATCTGAGATAAAATGCTAAGATTTGCATGCATCATTTCATGCTAAAGCAGTAGTGATTAAAGTTTCCGTGGTTTGATAACTGCGTCACTATCGATTACAGATATTTTAAACCCTGAGTTGAACCGATTTGAAATCTCAGTATCAGGTATTCTGGAAATGACAGATTTTAGTCTTTGATCTGACCCAAACGAAGTCGACGATCTGGTTCTTAGCTTCTCAGTAAGCGAGTTAATTAATGCAACTTTCGCGCCTTTTTCAGGTGAGATTTGTTGAGCAGTCCCCTCATAATATGGCATTGATATTGATGCTGCTTCATTATCATCTAAAACCAGAGCCATTAATTGCATCCTTAATATTAAATAAATTTCTTATCCCTAAAAAAAAAACCCCCAGAAAATACTAAATTGTCTCATAACCATTTTAATGGAATCAATCACTGGCCATTCAGTTCCTTTGGAACATTAATTGCTTGCAATCACTTAGATAGATGTTACAGAAGAAAATCAACAACAAATAGTATCACATATGCTTGGAATAGGACGAGAACAAAAAAAAATTGAAATACCGTTTTAAAAAAAAAGTAAAAAAAAAAACAATACCGTTTTCATCCCATCTTGATGATCTCGATTCACTGCTTGTCACGAATTGCTTCGATTTGGAATCGAAAATAGCGTAAAATCGAGAGGGCATGTTCTTCGATAGCTGAAATAAATTATAATATTATTTAATTCATCTATCCCGGATACCTTTCTTTGGCTTATTTTTCAACTGCACCCTTGATCCTGCTTCAATTCAACCTTGCATCTATTCCTTTTTAAGTTTCAATTTAAAACTGTTTCTTATTTGTTTTAATTTATAGAAATATCGATTATGTAATAACAAGCTCATCTGTGGTGAAATCGTGTCAACTGGAAAGAGAGGTAGTACTGATGTGTTCTAGGATAGAGACACTCTATAAGGTGAAATAATTATCCGAAAAATTCCGTACTACTTCCCTCCTTAAATTACTGCTTTTATTACAATTTTTATTCGCCGATATCACATCATCATACTTAATTTGCTTAGCTACGTGTTGCGATTATATTACTTCACCTAACATTGCTCAGACGAACTTTACTGCACGAAGAATTAATTAGTTAGAGCCATCTTCTTTATGATACCAACATCAATTGATAAATGTTTATTAATATCTCATCCAAATCATAATGAACTTGTTAGAAACCGAATGCTTTATTAAAATTAGCAAAATTTTTGTGAATCTATGAACTTTTCGTTTGTTTTAGAGAGAATCAATGAACAATCTCAGAAAATAGCATTTGGAATCATTTCAGTTGTAATCGAATATTGTTTTCAATTGCAAAAACTAATTTAAGCGCGGTTTAAAGTCTGATTGAGATTTCAAAGAGAAGAAAAACTTCAAAATATTTCTTAATCAGAAAGGTAATCGCTCACTTTGCTGTTCGCAGCAATGATAGGCTTATTAATTGCTTCCAGTTTTTGCTGCCCAAAGTAACTTCGACCTGAATGAAGCTTTTGTCGATTGTTGCTTTCATGCAGATTTGATTCAACAGCTGCAAAATATTTTTATAAATGACATTCTCTGTCCTGTGATTACTACATGAATGTGACTATGACTCAGTTGGTGACAACTGCTAATAGTTGCAAGTAATTTAGTTTTCTTTCGTTCACTCTGGTCCTCAGAACAAACCAGATAGTGACATAGTCCGAAAAAAGTGGAAGTGAGAACATGCAGCAAAAGTGGCTCCTATGCTGGTATCAATTTCCGGTTTCCATGTCAAATTTGCTTGAGTTCAGTTTTAAGAACAAAATGAATGAAAGTAGGGACCTTGTAAACAAGATCACTTTAAAATAATAAGTTCTATCAGTGAAGAGTAAAAAATAAATTTGTAGCAAATCAATTTTCTATCAGTTTTCTGGATAAAAAATAATAATATCAAATTGTTTATAACTGATGGAATAAATGGAAAAGAAAAAAGCTAAGAATTCTATGTCTATGTACCTGGAAAATTAAGGAGCCTTTGTTGTGAATTTTTTCTGAGAAACACTATACCGGAAGACGGCATATCTGGATCCCTGACAAAAACTCTGGAATTCATGAAGATTTTAAAGTTCTTTCATTACTGAATAGAAATATGCTGGATTTAAATGCCCTCAATGACAACGATTCATAAATTGCTTTTTTTTCTTGAATTAAAACACCATAGAATAAATGGAAATGGAAATGCAAATACAAACCTCGGTGGAGCGTTTCTTTCAAAATTCTGCAGATGCTTAGGTATTACATAATTTGGATAAACAGGATGGTACAATATTAAGCTATCTACAGTAACGGTCGCGAATAATGTAGCTATCAGCGATAAGGTAAACATATATCAATAAAATGGACACAGGTGACGCTGAAAATATGCGAAGCCAACAGCAATAAGGAAATAACAGTACCGTTTATCACACGCACGTTCAGTTTAAGCTTTCTACCTGCAGTGAATATGCTTGGGTTATTGGATCGAATAGCACAAGTAAACTTTTGGCAAATTTATTTTTTGTCATAATTCCGATTTCGGAATTTATAACCTAATATTACCAGATTTATGTTTCCATACCAAATATGCTTCTAGTTTATACTTACCAAATAGATAAAAAGTTAATAAGACTCTGGAAAGCGTTAACTAAAAAGCGGAACTGCGTGTGTTTTAATGAAAAAAGTGCTAACAACATTTTAAAACACAAAAATTTGATGAAAAATTTTGTAGAAAAGACATATAATCGAATTTTTTTTGTGAGCTCTTAGAGAGTTTGACTACATTAATGGAAAAAAAAAAAAGGAATGTCTTTGAAATCAGTGGTAGTTGCATGAGAACTATGATGGCACGACGTAAAGAAAAGGAGGTAGGTGATATAACATATGAAACGCTTGCAAACATATTAAAAAGGGGGTAAATGGGACTGATTCGGAATTTGAAGAAATGTGTGTAAGACTGAATGGAAGATAAAAGAGCGCATGCACGGACAGGACGAAAGTTAGGTGACACTTTTTCTTCTTGATTTTGATTAACAGATATAAAGGTAGAAGAAAGAGGAGAAGGATGAAATAAGAAGGAGGTCAAGGGATGACAGGAATGCGGTCATCAAGTTAATAATATCTTGTGTGTGAAGGCTTTTGTGATTCGCATATTTTTCTTTGATCATTTCACTATTAATCCAAAAGGTCATCCTTTGTCATACTTTGCACAAAGCTATGTCAGCTCGTAATAACTGATGCTCCATTACTTAACGAGTGTTTCATGACTGAGAAACAGCTCAAATTTATTTATTTTTGCTTAGAAAACGAAGCTGAGCATTTCCACGAAATCCTTTACTTTTCTAATGCCACTAAACTCTCAAAATAGGGCGATGCCGCCACAGTAACTTAGTGATGTCGAACGACCCTGGCAGGACTCGAACCTGCAATCCCCTGATTAGAAGTCAGATGCCTTGTCCATTAGGCCACAGGGTCAGCCATCGACGCCACCACGAATTTTATGACGTCATATAGGATCTTATATTACTGGAATATGATCAATTAGTTGTATACTGCAGAAGCGATTAGACTGCAGGACGGTGAACTGCAGGGAGAGAAGAGAAGGGCTATTCAGACTTGCAAGGTGTGCGATTCGTGATTAGATGACATTTTGCATGACTGCTTGCAGAGTGGAAGGAAGGAATGACAAAGAAGATAGCAGTAAGGCAGTAATATGTATCAGTTTTTGATTTAAATTCAACTATTTCCCGATTCAAACGTTTAATAACTTCAGGAAAATATTTAGATATTCAATGGGAAAGATCTGATCGAAAAGATTGAAAATATGGAGTAATCGTAGAGAGATACTCCCTTCAGAAGACCAGAAGCTTCCTTTCCAGAATACGTTTGGAAATTTCACCTCCATATTTAACACGAAATTTGAATCAGAACTAGTGCAATCGACTTTTAGAAACATATTAATTCCAAATCAACCATATTTTAATCAAAAAGAATTTGAAATGTAAAAACAAGCCAAGGCTTGAAAGGAATTTTTAGGCTATAAAATATCTTACATAATTTGTTAACTCTGTTGCTCAGATTCACACTCATTGTTCAGCAAATCAGGAGAATACCGCTTTCACTGATTTAGACGAAGAAATAAATGAATGTGGACGGAAGAAGGAACATTTACCACATTAGTACGGAGGAAAGAAACAATGTAATTCCCAACGAATTCATCTTGCAGTCGTCAAAGAATTAATTCTTTATTTAAAAAAGTGAAAATAGTTTCATTAAAATGAAGTGATATTTCAGAGGATAATGAACAATCTCTTGACAGATATAATCTTGACTGGTAATTGAATAAACCACTGGCTTTATTAGGTATTAGACAAGAAATTCTCGATCTTATTTAGGAATAGATCAGGTTATAAAATATTACAAAGAAATGGTTTCAATTCTGAAGTTATTCCAAAATGACTCCATCTTCTGTTTTTTTGGAAAAATCGAACAAATTCTTTTCAGCTTCAAAATTTACTATGTTCAAGTTCATACCTGACGGTTCACTGAAAGATTCCTTATGATTGACTAACAATGGATTCCCAGTGGTATACAAACTATAGACTATTAGGTTTTAAAAAGTTCAGAAAAATGAAGTTTAATTTAGTATTTTCCATGTATCCTTTTTCATATATTCCTGATATTTCAAAAACAACTTAATCTAAGAGACATATAACTATGGTCTTCGGGAAATAATAGCCCACTAACAGTTTCTCGAGGAAAATCAGTGGTTTTCCTCGTTTTCGTTTTTATCGCTTTTCTCTTTTCATCGCTGTTGGACAAAATCTTCCTAACATCCGTCTGACATCTACCTTCTCCTTTCAAGTATGCTGTAATAACAGTAATAACACCCGGAAATACCATACCTTGTAACTTCTACAAGTCTTGGCAGCTTTTCCTCTTCTGACTAATTTAGAAACTAAGCGCTTTTACTCTAGCTAAGCCAAGACTTCGAAAATTTGTAGCAACGCATTTCATCCAAAACATTATCTACCAGTCCGTAGTTTATGAAATGTCCGATTTCTTACCACTGATAACTATAGAAAAAGATAGGTTCAGTAACACTTACGTGTTATTTGAATATAGAGCGAGCTTTCTCCATCATTCAGTCTGTACACTGCGCAAAATGTCATGGTAAGTGGGACTAACTCACCTCTTATAAAATTTGGTCATCAAATCATTTTAGCATCTATTTCCTTGCTCAGTTTAATCCAGTTTTATCAAATTTGTTAGTAAGTGATAAAAGAGATTTGTATTTTAGATAATAATGCATTGCAACATTAGACATAAAATGCTTCACAACATTTTGTAGCGAAGTCGTGATTTAGAGATTCCGGTTTTGCAGGAAGTAGCAAAAATAAATAAAATGGAAGGTGCAGTTTATTATGGATTATCTCCAAGAAAAGATTGAGGAATTAGACAATATGAACGCAGAGTGAGAAACTTCTTTAACTGAATTATAAGCAAAACATATGTAATGCAAATTTTTGATACTGTTGATAATATTTCATATTTATTATTCCTTATTTATTAACCAAATGAGGAATAGCTATGCCAATGAACAATAACAGATGGAGATTAAATGTAACGCAAATTCTCGACCTTCTGAAGTAATAAAAAAGAATTTAACGAGAAACAACAAGAAACAAAGTTATGTATCTATCATGGTACATTTATGATATCCGATAATGGTTCTACTCCTGGATCTGATTGTTTTAGAACCCTTTGTAATGCCTTGTAAGCATCAGCAAGCACATCTTTTGCTGCTCCCTGAAAAATCTTTACATATTAAAAGTCAAAGAAAAAAAAACAGATCAGGTAACAAAAAAAAAAAAAAAACGATAAAATAATGCAAACAGCATAATATAAAAAAAATGAAAATGATTCTCAGCAAAACAGCCAATCAGTTTGGAACACAGTCACCAACTCTTTAAATAAACTACAACAGTAACTGAAGACGAAGAAACTTTGCTTACTTCAACTGTAGATAAGTAATCATCATATCTAGAATTCTCACGCCTGAGCTTGAAGAGCGCGATAAGTGCTTGCTCACATGCTGCACGAACCGCGCTGTTTTTTTCTTTTATTCCATTTAACATCATTGGAACAATAACCTAAAGATGAAAAATCGAATTAAGAAACACAGCTTCAAAAACATGTTTGGAGAAAAAACTATTTGAAATTAAGAATTAAATAGCAACCTTCATCTCATTTATGGAGAGTTTTCTTGAAGCAATATGGTGAATACCCAAAGCTGCTACACATTTCACTTCATTAGCAGGATGATTTGTCGCACGCACAATTGATGACAGCAGAGGCACATCCATTGTTCCCTGACTGAAATGGCAATTCAGCAAGGAACTACAAGACTTTAGCAATTGAATCGACAAAGCATTAAAGATAGCAGAAACCTCCAAAAAATTATATGGGCATGAATGACAAAAATTAATGTAAAACTGCAAATAAAACCTGATAATCATAACTTCCAATACCAAATCAAACTTGACATATTCAATTACTGTATACGAGATGGTGAATATAATTCAACAAATACTCCAAGATATAAATATCAGAAATTTTTTCTTTGTAGTGAGAGTCAGTTATACAAAAAAAAAAATCATAGAACAAAAAAAAGTTGTTAAAATGAACTGTGTAATTCAGCCAGACATTTTAAATTGAGATCATTTATAAAAAGGATACGTACGCCAAGTTCTTTACTTTCATATTTATAAATTAATCCTACCACAAAAGTATGGAAGTTGCAGATCGTATAGCAGACGACGCAATTTCAGGTTTGTCACATTGCATTGCACTGATAAATGCAGATCGTAGTTTTTCAATACCATACACTTCTAGTACTTTATGTGGATCAGTACAAGAGACATATTGCAAGGTTACAATTACGGCATAACAACGACAAATCTCGCCTGAAACTGAAGAATATCAGAGAGTATCCAGATTCATATTATTTCGTTTATTTTGAAAGTTGATGGGATAAATAAGTTATGTCAAAAAACGCTGGTGAAACACGTACTTAAATTAACAGTATTTGACATTTGATTCATTTTCAGAGCAAGTTCACCAAGAAGTGCAGAAGCAGCCTGCACTATAACTACAGATTCGTCGTTTTTATGATATTTTTCTGCTACCTTCATGCTTTCTTGCAGAACACCATCACTTACAACTTTCGATTGAACGCGAACTAAGATTGCTCGTAATGCAATCAAAGTCGTTTCGCTATAAATAATCCAACATAATTCATATTTAAATTTCCAAGGCACAAAAAATTGAAAATAACGATCCAACAGCATGTAAATAGGCTAACAACTCTCACATGATCGCAGAATCTGCTGAGGTGTTCAAATATTTGATGAGTTCCAACACAACCAGATCGGGTTTCATGTGAATGCTAATTAAGCGTGATAATGCACCACCCGCATAAAGTCGTACTTTGCGTGTAGTTGTGTCTTGCAAAGCTTTCAAAAAAGTACTCTGAAGTTGTGGTAAAAATGGACGAAGCTGCATACTTACCTAAAATATTATAAAAAATAGGTGAAATATCGGAAAAAACGCAGCAATAGATTTCTTAACAAAATAAATAATTTGAAATGTAATATTTTTTGCTGCAATATGTACTAAAATTGCGCAATACACTGTCCACGGCAAAAATTTTGTTTGGTTTTACAAATAAAATAAAGATTGATTCATTTATTTTGAAGACCTTAAAAAAAAAAAAACCTTATCCATAAGCAGAGAAAGTGTTGTAAGGATAGAAATCTTGACAGTGTGCGTATATCGATCACCAAGAACACGAATTAGAGGACCCGTAACACTTACGACATGAGGCTTTAGAGCATCTGCCGTACTCAATGAGACAATAGTTCCAAGTGTTTCAGCGGCTTGCTCCTTCAGTTCCGCACCACCCGACAGAATTGCTTCTCGGATAATTAGTAGCAGAGAAGAAATGCCCTACATTTTTTTTCCCAAAAACATTTTGTTGCGAATTAGAAAAATACAAATAACTGTTCACTTCCTTTAATATTTCTCTCCAAAAAATTTATGAAAAAAATGTATTAAAAAAGTTATGCAAGGTGACTTGAATTCAATAATTAAATATAAAAAGTGATACCTTACTGCATGCAAAGCCTGCTATGGTAGAAGTACCGGCAGATCTTTGCAAAGATAAAAGAGTTTGCTTTAAGATCGACAAAACAGATAACATCTGTTTTTGATCCAAACTTTGACAAACGTATATCAATGTTTCGATTGCATTTTCTACCACTTCATTTACGACTGAATTATAAAGCAGCAATGTTCTGGGAAAAATTTCGTCCACATAATTACTGAGATCGAACTGCAAAGAAGTATGGATCCAAAAAAGTTCCTCTACCCGAAGTTGATATAAATAAATGTTGCCTTAATATGCTTTATAATCAAAGAGATTATTTTCTGATTCTTTTAGGCAGTCGTCATTTTTGCAAAATTTTAATATTAATATTTGAAAACACACAACTCCTTAACATAAAACAATACGCCAGAGAATGAATAAATCTGAACAAATTCGACTATTTTTTTGTGAATGCAAATTTAGGTTAAAAAATATACTACCTGTGTATTTTTGGCAAAAAGACGGATTAAGCTTGATGAAGGAATATGGCTGTAAGATTGTGCTCGTTGAAAAAGAGTAGTAATTATAATTGAAATACCATCCTTGTCTGATACCGAGAGAATCATTTCCAAGCATTGATCGATTTTCTTAAGAAATGAAATTATCGAAAAAATATATGTAAAAAACATATTTTAATAGCATGAATACGTGTAGCCACTTATGATAAAAACAGCGCTAGTGCAATGGGTGCAGAAATAATTAAAATAAACTGTAAGCCATAAACCATAAAATGATGTAAAATCGTGAGATCTATAATTACTTCATCTGTGGTGCAACTATCCAACATGGAATCCAAGATTCTGGCAATATTTCGGCTCAGCGAATCACCAGCAACTGATGACAGTGCACATAATGCTTTTATATTTATTGGTGGTCGTGTTAACTTTGGCAAAACATAAGATAGCATCTGCCTGCAATGAATTTTTTGATTAAATAAAACAAAGGACTCATAAAATTTGTAGCTTATGAATTCAAAATTTTGATAAGCTCGAATACTACATGAAGCAATTATACCTTCCATTCAGACGCATTATTTGTGAAAGACCATCTAATACGTCATCGTTAGATATTATATCCGCATCTAGAAGTGGCGCTACAATATCCTCAAATGCTGAGAAGCCAACAGTCTTCAATCAGAGTTATTATTAACTTCAATTTGAGAATACATAGAATTAGAAAAAATTTTTTTCGAATCTAATTATTTTAAAATCTGTTATATTAAAAGATTTGTCAAATCATGACTTACGTACAGTTATCACGATAAAAAAACTGAAGGTTTATAATGTGTTAGTGTTGAAACTTTTCTACTACTTTTTTTTTGATTTGCTGGATTTGATATCTTTTTCTTTTTCTGAACAAGCAATCGATTTCTGCTTAAGAAATATTGAATGAATTAAAGGAAGAGTATCTTGTTCTTTATAGGATAGGTACAGCATTTATTAGTGAGCGTAAAAAAATTGCGCATATTCATACCTGATAAAATGATGTAAACGCCGTAGCAGCTGCTTGGCGCACTAAAACATTGGAATTACAGATAATTTTTTTGATCGGTTCCACCAATTGCGCCGAATACATTAATACAATATCCCTTGTAGAATTCTCAATAATTTCATGCAGAGCAGTAGCAACTCCAACATGTTGTTCAACTGATTCAGATGAAAGACCACGATTAAGAACAGGTAACACATCGATAATTATTCGCTCACCCATCTTTTTCACCAGTTCTCCAAGACAACGTCCAGCCATTATTTGTCGATCTTCACTATTACTTGCCAAACAACCAAGTAACATTTCAAATAATGTTTTCATCAATTCTTTAAGAGTACGTGGAGTATTTGCCACCACTATCTTAATAACACTTTTTGATACACTAACAATAAAATGTTGGCAATATAGTCCTAAGAAGTAGAATAAAATAGAAAATTAGATGGAAAAAACTGCTAGAAATTAAACTAAAAAATACTATTTACCTTCCAAACATGGCCTGCGACTTGACGGACTTGGAGGGCAATATCTGAACGCGACAAATAAATACCTGCGAGAACACGATCCCTGCAATTTTTTATAATTTCTTGATGAATTTGTAATTTCTGTTTTAAATATATTTCTGGTCTGAATATAACTAGTTTTGTTATTGTACACTTTTCGTGATACCTGCACGCTTGTCCAAGTTGTCGAACAATGGCTTTTCCGGCTGACTCCATACCCATAGTATCATCCTCATTTAATGTTGCCGACGTCATTTTCCCACTAACACCTGTAAACTTATCCATTTGATGTGCAAAGAGCACATGTATGACTTAATTCATACACGAAAGTAATGATATGAAAACTAAATTACAAACTTCATCAACATCAATACAGAGCTTTCAGCCTTTCATTTTTACAAATTGCTGATGGTTATAAAACGATGTTCCAGATATGGACATATAGCTTCTTCGCACGACTGTTATTAACATGACTCGCATTGTGAATCAGCATGTTTTCAAATGTAACAATGTTTTACCGGAATATTTACCACTCCGTTGGCAAATTTCATAATTGTACTTAATTAACTAGCTGAAAATTTTTCATTCGAAAGCAATGAATTATAAAATACTAACCTGATATGCTAAACAAGAAATCACCAATCAATGTGACGGCAGCAAAACGAATTCGCCAATTGCTATCAAACAAAGCATCTTGCAATTGTGGTAATAAAAGTCGTCTAGCATGCACACAATATGTCACAATTAGACGCTGGCCTGCTTTCAATGCACTATCTCGTACATATTCGTTCTCATCTGCCAGAGCTTTTAGTATGCTTGGTATGACCTGCAAGTGCACTATTTGGTGCATACTGATTATAATGTATAAAATTTTATTTAAATGTAAAATTAAAATGATATACATTAAAATCACTCTAAATTCAAAAAATAAGCATAAAATGATAAATGAGATAAAATCAAATGGATAGAAATCTAATACAAAAGTTTTTCCATTAATTTGATCGATCTTTACATTCAACAGAAATGTCCTGTTTCATTGTAATGAATTATTTAAGAAATGTGAATGAAATAACGGACCTCAGTCAAATATGGAACAAAATGGTCTCCAAATGCCAAAGGTAGATAAATATACATCAATATATAACCATCGCGTATTTCTGGTGTCGCTTCTTTCGATTCTGTTGTTTTGATAATATCAGGCATGACCATTGCTAACTGGTTCTCACCCACGGCTTTAAGAACCTAAAAAGGAAATTTTAAATTAGAACTAAACTTGCTTCAAGAGAAAAACTGAATTCAAACTAATCACTACTTCACAACTACATACAAGTAGGATCTAAATTTCTGACAACTATCAAGGTAGTTGATAAAAAAAGCTATAAAAACAGTCGTTTCATTTGAGAAGTCCCTTGGAAATGAGTAAGAAAGTAACATTAGGTAGTAAGCAGTTAGAGTTCAATATACATCAAGTACCTAATAAATGTAGGTACATATATATTTAATATATACAAGGTCAATTAGTTATATACCTCTGCAAGTCCTTGCGCAGCACCCGACCGATCAACAGCATTTGTTTTCGAAACAAGTTTTTCCTTTAGCCAGGGTATAAGTTGTTCACGCATCTTTGATGCAGTATCTCCAACAGAATATTCAATAATTGAACCAAGGGCCTTTGCAGCAACAGTACGTATTTCTGGGATAGGATCTAGTAATGATTTTTGTAATCCTGGTAACAGACCAGCAAGATACGGTTCCATATCCTAAATATTTTCTTCATTAATTTCAAAGAATAATCTCAACAACGTGAAAAACAAAAACGAACAACCTTTGCAGATACACATTATGTCAAAAAATAATAGACCAGATTTTCAAACTCAACTAAAATAGCAGAGAAATCGAAGATAAACATACCTTATTATCTGCTAAAGAATAGATGTTTGCGATTATTTGAGCAGCCATACGACGCGTTTCAGAAGATCGATCAGTGAATGCGCGACGAACAATAGGCATTATCAAAGAGAGCGAAGCAGCATCAATGTAATGTATGAACTTCGTATTGACTACTGTTTGTAAACAAAACGATGTTTTGTCAGCCGGATCAATCAAACCAATTAACAACTGACTGCTTATACCTTTAAAAAATATAGCACATAAAATATTTCCTGCAGTGATGTAATATTATATTTGCAAAAAAATCAGAAAAAGGGAAGTGAAATATGGAAAAAACTGAAGTAAAATAAAAATATTTGGCCAAAGAAGTCAAAACACACTAAAACCATTTAATGGGAAAATAAAAGTAATTTCTGTAAAATGAAAGGAGATGATGTACAATACTGACTGAGAATTTCTGGATTGCGAATAACTTTAGCAATCTGTTTTAGAGCTTTTTCCCCAGATCTCTGCACTTTTGAGTGTGAGTCGGTTAACACTTCAATAAGTTTAGGAACAATGCTTGGTAAACAAGCTGAGAGTTGTTTGGGAGCACAAAATGCCATTGACCCCAGAAGTTCCACAGAAGCACATTTCGTACGCCATGAGTCTTCGTCCAATGCAGCTAGAAGAGACGGCAACACCTACGAGAGATTAATCAGATGTATTTATTGAAACTGGACCAAATGGTAACTGTTTTTCTACCGGAAAGTGATTGCAAGTTCATCATTTCATTTAAAAATTTTTGAAAACAAGTCCAAATTTGAGTTTGTCCTCAGCATAATCAAATATACAGTTTTAAAGCGATTTATAAATACTTAATATTTACTAGTTTAACGCCGTGAGCAGAAAGCATAGACATCATAGACTGTGCTGCGTCACTTGCTGCATGACGAACGCTATCATCGGAATCACCGAAACAAATTAACAGTGATGGCAAAAGTTGTACAATGTAAGGTTCAAACAATTTACCCATCGAACTGAAAAAATCATGACGAAATGAGTAACTACTGACTTTAAATAAACCGGAGATGCTCCTCAAAATGAATGAAATCAGAAGGGCAGTTTATATTGCTCGGTTCTGTAAAATTAGTAAATTTAGTTGTCTGTTTGTGCCCTTATAAATTGTAGAAAAGTCGATACGTGACAGATTTTTCAAAGTTGTTTTAAAATAGTGACATACAGGAGAACCGGATTACGGTAGTAAATTGACTATTGGAAGAAACAAATTCTTTTGGTTAAAAATTGAGCATGCTTTTAAGAATAAATGGATTACTGGTTTACCTGCAAAGAAGTTCAAGAGCTAATAGAGCACCTTCACGATGACGGGCGTTTTTTTTATTGGCCAGTGAATTTTGCAAAAATTTTATCAGTTCTAGTTCACGCATTGCAGACATTCCGAGGCCCTAAAAATGATTACAAATGAAAATTATATTTTTAGAGATGATTTAGCCCCTATTTTAAGCCCCAACATTTAATTTTCAAGTGAATTAGATCATGAAATTTTTTAAAACTTTTAAGGCGTCTATTTCTGTTTGATATCAACCCATATGATAACTGAATGCCTAGACTTGACTTACCTCATCAATTTTTAATCCACAAATTTAAAAAACGTAAAGATCATAAGGACATTGAATTTAATAACCAACTGACTAGTGTCATTTTGATCATAATAAGTTTTTTAAATAAAAAAAAAATTCCTTTTTTAGGAAAAACAAAGTACTTTAACAAGTCCAGCAATTCCATATGCTGCACCTCGTCGCTCACCGTATGAATCAGCTTCAATAAGGAGACATGACAATGTGGAAACAAGTTCTTTTGCACGATCCTTAATTGCTGGAACTAATGCCGGCAAGCATTTGGATACCGCTTCTTGAACCTCAAAGTATGAAACTTTCTAACGATTTAATATCCCTAGCACTATTCTTTATCAATAGCAAATTCTATATTTTCGGGAGAATTAAAGTGTAATTTTATTTACTTTAATATTTTTACGCATATATTTATTTGTTCGGCAAATTTTGCTATTTAAGATTATTAAATAGTTTTAACAAGAGATCTCTGCTGATTTACCTTTAAATAACCAGTAATTATAACTTAAATACAAAAAAACTGCTACACTAACTTGCTGCGATGGTGTCGAGAGGGCTTCAATTAAACGAGATGTTATGACGCGCACTTTTTCGTTTGCCGGATCTAAATGTTGTGCTAATGTGCCTAACATAATAACCAATCCTTGCCGTAAATTGTCGAAGTCTTTACCGTCTGGCGTCGAACTTAACATTTCTTCAAAAAACGGTAGAAGTGATGCCATTTCAATCTCTCCGTGCTGGAAATAAACTAAACTATACTTCTACTACGGGTAAGATTATTTCTTATACGACAAAGCAAAATTACCATTTTGATAGCTTCAATTGCAGCATTTTGCATCAGTTCTCGACACTCTGGACTAGAATCATTAATTCCATTGGGAACTATGATTTTGATAAAACTCATCACCAGATGATGGGGAAGTTTAGGAGCAATGACAAACAAAGTTTCTGCAATACCCGCCCGATTTTTCGATAGATCTACAGCGTCCATGACTACTCGTCCAATGTCATCGTAAATTGGCGATCGAATCTAAAATATCACCACAGTAGAAAAATGTGCAATAAATTTAAATATTTTCTTTTATGACAAATAAATAAAATAACTAGAAATTAAAGATAGACGAGGACGAACTTTTCGGTAATCTGAATATAATAAATCAAGTTTATCCAGTGCTGGCTGCAGAATCTCAGGAAATTCTTCATATAATTTTCCTAGAGCAGCTGATGCAGATTTTCTCAGGAAAGTATGTTCCGAAGTTACACTACTCAAAATACTTCCAAATAAGTCCCTGGAATAATAAATTATGATATTTTAGATTTAAAAAAAAAAAAGAAAAAAAAGATTAAAAAACAATAGCAGCGGGACAAATGATAACAGAACGAATAGCAATATCACTGAAATTAATATAGGGTCCATTAAGCAAAACTCCACTCTAGACTAAGGTAAACCTCATAAATTACATGGTAGAAACGCATACACAGTGAGGGAAAGCTTTTTATCTTGCCAAATTTGATTAGCCAAATCAACACATTTTTTCACTGGATCGTTTCGAGCGATAAATATGTGACTTGTAAACACTGTCATAAATTGTGAATCATCTCGAGTTAATTTCATGTCACTGTAGAGGCCATGCGGTCGACTGAGGGCCTTAACTTATCAAATGTATAAGCTATGGGCTGGAACTTCAATTTTAAAAAGTTTTTCTACATTATAAGGAAAGATTTTTAATTGTTGATTTAGTTCATCTATAATCTTTGCAGAAAAAATGAACAAGCAAAATTTGTTACGCTAGAATTAATCCAGAGAAAAAAGTTTTAAAACTTTGCAACCAACTCTCATTAACATACCATGAGAGCACATTCCCTTAACAGAGCATTCTCGTCCAGTAAACACTGCATGATGGGTTTCAGTAGTGCTACTTGCTGCAAATCTTTTCGCGGACATTTATCTAACAGTTCACAAAAAGTCTGAAGTAACATTTTTGCAATATGATGCAATTCTGAAGTGTCTGTCGCTAAGATATGAAGCAAAAGTGAACACAGCCAATTCAATGGAAGATACTTTACTTCGTTATCCTAAAAAAGAGGACTAATAAAAGTCGTTACAATGAAAGAAAAATTTAAATTTCAATATTTGGATGAGTACCTTATGAATTGGAACAAGGTCATACTTGGTTTATTATCGTCTTAAAAAAAAAAAAACTTACGCAGTGTGTGGTAAAAATACACAAGGGAACACTGATTCAATAATTATGCTGTTTTTGTTTAAACCGAAGTAAAGAGTTATGAAATTCAAACAAATATACAAAAAAAAAATAATAATTCTCAAAAACAATAACCTCCAGATAAAAAAAGAACATTAAACAGTCCTACATAAATACTAAGGCTATTACATACTTCGATGAATTTGCCTTTTAATGCAGAAGACAGTAATCGCATAGCATTTAGTCGCAACGCATAAGGAAAAGATTCATCTCTTAATACTGCATTAATCAACGGAAAAGACACATTGAATTTGATAAGATTCATTGCTTCTTCATCGTTAACATCTAATATCTCTTCTATATTAGCCTCTTCATGGTCAAACAGAACCGGCATCAGCACACATCGAGCTAAAACATACCGTTGCAACTTTCACACAATTCCAACACTTCTAGAAACCTCACGCAAAAATTCTGGAAAACTACCTGCTAACAGTGCAATTGTTCTTTCCACTTGAACAGTAAGTGGCTCCTGGCTCCATGCTACGTCCATGTAAGTTGAGCGTAATGCGCGTACTGATGAATGTAATATGAGTTCATCTACAAATCAATTTTAGATCTCCTCTTTTTCTCCTATACTTTACTTTTTTTCTTACATAATTTCTTCCTACATACTTTATTCGGAATAAGAATTACATATATGTATATAATAACCTGCCAGAAACTTCAATAAATCCACAAAACAGTGACAAATGATAGTAAGCTAAGATTGATAATCTAAACACAGAATAATTGTTAATGAATCATACAAAATAATGCGAAGATTACATTTAGTATGCAATCTTACTGCTACTGAAGGACCAAATGCAACAAAAAATTATTGCTAGGCAATAAGATAAAACTTACGCAAATAATCTTCAGATGGTTCGAAGGCAGCATTGCGAAAACTACGAAAAATATTGTAAGCCAGAGGTGATACAAGAGGAGATTTCAATAACGGAATAGCAACCGAAATCAGTAATTGAATATATTTAACTGAACCAACTGGATCACCGGTGATAGCTGCTACAATCGATTCAGTACGTTCCTTGCATTTTAAATACAAGTCACTCAGATTTTTTCTGATTTCCTGCAAAATTTCATCCATCACAAGATCAAGTCGGAAACTACAATTTACTTGTTCGGTTAATTCCCAAAATACAACCTTTTCAATAATTAATTCATTTCTTTTCGCTTCCTCTTGTTGAGGGATTAATTTGCCTTCTTGACGTCTTTTCTCAGCAAGTTCTTTTTTCAACTGTACTTCCAATAATTGTTCCTTGTATTTGTAAGCCTAAAAAACGACCCAGACAATATACTGACATATATAAAATGTTATAATTCAAAAATAGATGCAGAAAAACTGACGGCAGGAAATAAATTCGAGAAAAACGATCGGTTATATCTACACCTTATTTTCCCTTTTTACATTTTTGATACCAAATTCTTCCTCATAATTCAGTTCCAAAACAGCAGTATTGTACAAAACTCCATCGGGTGTATTATAGATTGCAACCTCTCGATCCGTAATTGAAACATACCTGAACAAATGTCTTGAAAAAATTCGAAATACTAGAACACAAAATTTGAAATTGAAGCGATCGTTAAAACCAGACTGCAATACTGCTTTATTTTTTTTTTCTTTTTTCAGATTTTTTTCTGATACATCATAACTGATATTTTTAGTGGTTAACAGTGACCACTTAATGCGAAACACATGCTGAAGACAATATGCCTACCAGAAAAAGCTGAGAAATATAAAAAATTTGCTGCAATACAAATAATGAAAACAGCAAAGCAAATTAATGAAACAAATACTGTCCAGTAGCACAATTACCGTTCAATATCGATTTCATTTAAAAGGTTAGTGCAGTATGTCCAGATCACACCACGAATGTTTTCTGTCACTCCGCCACTTGACATTAACATTCTAATTGCATTGCATTGAATTATCATATCTTTTGTACAGAATATGCGATCCATCATTACGAGAGCACCGCCTTTGTCAAGCAAACGTTCAATATTAGTTATTGAACGCACCCAGCGATTCCAACAACAAGGATCACTTTCTACTGAAATAAGTAAAATAAACAGCAGTAATTTACTGATCAATCGATAACACATCTGCAAACACAGTCTCTAAGTTATAAAATCAATTAATAAAAGCTAAAAATTAAGCCTGGGATTCTAATCGTTTAGTACTGAAAAAGCAATGATGTATAATTCTTCAAGTTTTTCGAAAAAATTCCTGAACCTTGCAGAAAATTGTAAAAATCTTTGCAGTTTTCTTTTTTGTTCCTAATAATGCTCTATATTAGGAAATGCTAATTTACGCAAATTTCTCCCCCAAATTTAATGATAACTAACTTATTTTATGATATTTGACTTGTTCTGTAATTATATTGGCACAAAACATGGAAAATTTTGATTATAGCAACATATGACATCACACATACCGTTACATACACTCACCATCTAAAGAAAGAACTTACCTAACTGCAAGCTACATGACATTAAAAGTCCTGATGTGAGAACACCAATGCCCAAATCAAAATTTTCCTCTGCTGCATTGAAAGGAATCATAACTTCATGTACTGCTGCAGCTATTAATCTGCTACTAAGAACTTGTCCATTTTCTTCATCTTGTATTACTGCTACTCTTTTATAAGTCTAAACTTGCAAAATTATGAAGTTGCTTCGACTGGCTTTTTTCTTTACTCCTTTTTATTATAAGACAGCTATGCTATAATTGTTCACGTAAGATATACATAAACAATTTATTGGAATACATTGCATGCGAGAGAATGAAAAAAGTTTTATTCCACAGCCACGTTTTTAAATATTTTGTTCCCACTAATCCATCAGTTAATGTCTGCTATCGAGTAACGATGTTATTCTCCAACAGTACGTACTACCATTTTTAGCGTAAAATTCCGAACATAAAAATCTTAGGTGAACTTTTAGCTTCGAAAATTGCAATTTTACCTCTTGAGCAAGACCTGAAGTCACATAGGGAAATAAAAAATCTAAGAAAGCACCACAAAATATGTTGCCTTTATCGACAACACATTTTCTGACAATGTCGCTGGCACCTTTTCGCACTTCATAATCCGGCCAGAAAAGGCTTATGAACAAAATGTGAAATACAGTTCGCATACTACTCCAACTCTACAATAAGGAAACAGTTAAGAATGAATAACAGAATTATGCAAAGGAAATACACAGGAAATATAAGATCAAAGCATTCTTGTAAATCATCGAAAAAAGATAACCTTGGTTTCAGTATTTCTGATCATCCAATACGACAGTTTTGTTGCATATGAGATATCTGGAGTGAAACATGAGTTAATTAGATGAAGCAGACGAAGAATATCCTATTAAACATAAGCATAAAAAATTCTCTCCAAAGTAAAAAATGCAAGAACATCATGAATATTTGCTTATTCATTTTAAAAAAGACGTTCTGAGCATCACCACAAAAAGATTCTTATAAAGCAATAAAAAATTATTGAAAAATTACCAGATGTGTTTAACGATGTAATAAATTTTTCTTTAAAGAAATCATTTTCCAATGTCTGTCGAATATTTTCCTGAGATTTTTCGTCACTTAGAAGCAACAAAGACGAAACTATAAAATCCCCAACATTTGAACGTGTTTTATATATATCGAAAACCGACTTCAGTAAATCGTTGCTCAATTTCACTTTTTCATCTAAAATCGTAAAAATACCATAATTGTTTACTTATGCAATCAGCAAACAAGGCAGCAAGGAAAAACAATGGAATCACAGCAATAAAGACAGAAAAAAAAGGAAGTAATTCTTACCATTACCAATGTCAAACAGAGTTACCATACATCTCAACGATATTGAACGGCTTGGTGACTTCAGCGCGGTCTGAAGTAATTAGAATCATTACACATAATCCAAGACTGAATGCTAAAAGAGAATTTATGGATGTATAACAAACATGAAAAAAGTACGATAAAGAAAACAAAACAAAACAAAAGAAAAAAAAAACCAAGAAAACCGGCTCCAATTTCTCATTCACATTGTTAATCTGCATTGACCATGCTAAAACCACTTTCCATATAGCTTCTGAAGCAGCCTGATGAACTGAAATTATCTAAGAAAAACCTTTTCTCTCTGTACGTATGCCGAAGAACAGTAGGTTTCCAATATAAGCTGCAGAAACAAATGTGCGAATAAACGGGTTATACTAAAGATAAACACTACGCTGAACGATAATAAGCCAAGATTTTACACAAAGCTTACATGCTATTACGATATTAAAATAGCAATAATGGAAGACCATGCTAAAGAGATGTTTATATGAATAAAGGATAATAATTCGCAGTTAGAAAAAAAATAGAAAAAAACCTTCGGAAATCAATAACGAATTCAATCTCTGTAAAATGTTGGAAGCAATAATGTCGCACTCAGTTTTATCCTTTACTCCATGAGAGCTCACCAATTTCAGAGTTTCCAGGACAGTGATACGCTGCCCGATAGTAGCAATTCTTCCATCAGATCCTCAAACATTCATTTTTCTTTCACAATTTAAGAACGCACACTTAAAAGACTTCATGCCACATTTTAATTTACCTTCCTTCTCACTTTTTTTTTTCTGGTAGTCTTGATTTCAAGAACTAACAATTTTTGTCTTTTTCTGGCTAAATTTTTGAAGAATGATTTTAACAAAACCTGAATAAGTTCCAAATATCCCATCAACCAGCTCTTTCAAAGCCTTAGAATCGGTGATTTTCTTTGCTATCATTGCAACAGACAATGATGTATGACCGCGAACTTCATCGATCGATGAAATTAACGATGCTACAAAAATACGGCAAATGAATCTTATTAATTTAAGCAAAAAGGTTGATTTGAAGTACCAGAGAGCACTCACCAGAGAGAATTTTATAGAAATCAACTGCAAAAGAAGACAAATCAATTGTTATCGATTCTAGAAGATATAATATCCCTGAAATCAATCTAACAATCGTACAAAGTGAGGCAAGTAAGGATTAAACTAGGTTCAGTTAAACATGCTCATTTACTAATTACAATTGCTATTCCATTATTTTGAGATCTTGAAGAAATCATAAACTATTCCGTTATTGGAGCTAAAAAAGGAGCAAAATATTTACTAAATCCGTAAAAAATAAAAGTTGCTTTGTTTTGAAACGTTAGAATCATAAAAACAAAAAAAAAAAAAAAAAAAGCATAAGAAAATCTAACCGAAAATCGCAATCTCAGGACTGCGTAACATAGACTTCTTAACAGCAATCATGATTTCATCCCGGAACATTTCCATATTCATCTGCTCGAATATTTTAGAACTAGCAATCTACATAAACGGAAAGTAACGTATCAATGTATTTTGCTTATCAGTACATGAAAAATTTTGCTGCTGAGAGACTTGGAATTAGACTGGGGAAAATGGTATTCTGTTACAACTTTCCTTTCTCGTTCAATAGTCAACTGTCACTTATTCATTCTTCTCTGTTTTCAGTTTCTCTACTTGCATCAGCTTCTAGAATTTAGTGGGCCTCCATCTTTTTTCGAATCGCATAATTACCATGAACAATCATGTTATGAATAAAAAATCAAAAAAGGAAAATCTTACAACAACATGAACACTTGGACGACGTTTTGTAAGAAGAATGTTTGCGGTGTATACTTTGACAAAGAATAAAAAATCGAAATGGTCATCAGTGCAAGGTAGTAAACTGAGAAGAGCAAGAATATTTACACCAGAAGATAACTGGGCTGTGCAACGATTCCGAATCCATTCCAAAGCTGTTTTTAGCAAGGAATGGTTAAGTATGGTCTTCATCTTACTTTGAATCTTTACAAATTTTTTACTGGCACAAACATGTAAAGCTGCTGACAGTAGTGCTGACATCTGAAAACAAATAGAGGTCAATTTCAGATCAAGGGAACTTTTTCGATGCTCTACGTGAATTGCTACATGAACTGAGTTTTATATTAAATCTAGGGATTGCAGATTTACCTTAAAATTCACTTAGTTCTTCTTATGCTATATGTCCGAAATTAATGAGATATGTCAAACTAACATAATTATTGAAGACACTAGCATGTTTCAAATCTATCAAATTGTGCAGATTAAACAACCATTTAACAGCTAGAACTGAATTTGCAACTAGCCATTTCCTGAAAATAAATAGGAGAGAATTCACTTCCACTCTTCACATTTAGAATATCTGGAAAAATCAAATTAAGGCTAACAAAGTTTTTTTTTTCTTTTTTTTGGTAATAACTAACGAAGTTGTTGTATGAAGTTCAAAGAATGATGCATATGCTTCTGCAAGGTGTTTCATAGAAGTTGCTGGATTCTCACGCACGACAGTTGATATAACGGGATACAATGAAGTTTGTGAATGTCGATTTGTAAGCCGAGTAAAACATGTCAAGACTGTTAATCGAATCAGTGGTTTCGTTATCTGATCAGGAACTTCTGTAAGAATAAATTTCATAAAAACGTTTAAGATTTGCAAAATAATTTGCAAAACAAGTATTAATATACAGATGTTTCAGCAAAACTGAGTTGATAAAGGCAAAAAAGATCCACTGGAGTACCTGTAGTATTAGAAAGTGTAGATGTAAGCAACTGAGCAGCTATTTGGTGCTGTTTTGAGCTTGAACTATTCAAACTTTCCACATACTTACGACCCGCAATTTTCAGCTGTTCCAGTGATCCCTGCAATTTGGAGTAATCAAAAATTTTTTTTTCTAGACCAAAATGAGGGAAGCATGATGTTAGAAATATGATTAATAAACAGCATACAAACTCTGTGTACGCAATTAATTTCATGACTAAAGGTTAAGTGTTCCTTCTTATTTAGATCTTACAACAAGATTATTAGATATAAACTACTTCCAAATATGACAAGTTAGAAGCCAAATTATTACTAATATTCCAAGTAAATTTACTTCTAAATTTCAGCGAAGTTAACTTTAACTAGAAAAAGAGAGATATCAGATTTTTGGACACGAGACAAAAGGTAAGGGATAAAGTAAAAGAGCAGAAAGAAATATTTTCGAAATTTCAATCTCCTCTAAACACAGCAGCACATCAGTCCTTTGCAGCCGGAATTGAAATCAGTGACTGCCGTTGTGTTCTATTGATATCGTATAAATAAATGAAAAGTTTATGAATATCAGTACCTGTTGTTCATTGTTCACTATCTCTGCAGCCATTTCCACGTATAAAGTGATCTCCTAAAATGATGTACGTAATTATCACTTAGTTTTATAAACATTCGTTTCATGTAGGGCAACGCTATCTTTCGCTATCCGTCCACGGCAACACTACGTACATCTCACTTATATTTCGATTTTAAACATTTTGTTGTATGAGAATCCTATGGACAGGTTTCGAGTCGGTTAGCTATCAATTTTGTAGAAGCGTTGGTGGTAGGTAAGACGGAGAAGGAGAGGTGGCTCACGTGCAGTTTTATTTTCGAGAAGTTTTGGGGTCATTTACTTGTTCATTTTTAGGTCGTGTTTGTCAGCTGAGTGTACTGACAGTGTCATTTGGATTGTTTCTGTGAAGCTTGAGGGTATATTAAGTGCCACTTGAAGTATGATGCTGATTTATCTTTGCTTGTTTGTAATTATCTCATGCTACATATCATCTATATAATGTGAGGGATGTTTAGTTTTGACTGTTGATGTAATATCAGTGAAGCTTTTGATATCGACTTGATAAGTCAGGAGTTTGGAAAAATGTTTTCTATTATATTCTATTCTGAAAGAAATATTTTCAGAGTTGATCTGGTTGTAATCTATAATGTTTCTAATCCTTATTGTTTCACCTGTAATGTTTTTGCCGTTCAGAATATATAATTGTTTTTGCAGTTCAGAGTATATATTATATTCCTATTTTAATGATAAGTTTGAAGTTGTTTAATAATGATTTTATCTAACTGAAGAATTTTCAGATGTTATGATGTGGTCGTCTCTTACTAATAGTCTACTGACAATATGGATGATAGTTAGTGTTCAACTATTACGATATAGTAACAGAGCCGCGGAGATGGATAACGAATTTGCGGAATTTGAAGACATGGAAATGGAATATATGAGTGAACAAGAAGTTACTCTAAAGCCACACGGAGAAGCTAATAAAGGCCCTAGGGACAAGTCAGCAACCGTTGTAATATCTTTTCTTATTTATTTAAATCAATTATCACTGTCGCTGAATGATGAATTTATAAATAGTATCAGATTTTAGGATGATAATGATGAGGACGAGTTTACTGACGAAGATGAATTCTCGAGACCTATAAAAAAATCAGATTTTAGGATGATAATGATGAGGACGAGTTTACTGACGAAGATGAATTCTCGAGACCTATAAAAAAAGCCCATCGACAAAAGACTGAATCAGAAATTTTGCCACAGCTCAGATTTGCTGATGTATGCAGTTATCGTTTCTTTTTCATCGTTTTATTCAGTATTTGCTATTTTAACATGAAGTTTTGCATATATATATATATATATATATATAAGGTTTTAGTTCATGTTAAGATTTAATGATGAATAGATTACCCCTTTTTATCTTCACCTCGTTAACAGCAGCTTAATTCAGGTACCGGCTCATTTTCGTTCGAATTGGGCATCATATCAGGTGGAAGCTTTGGTACTATCAGTTCTGGTACTTTACATGTTAAATTACATTTTCGGTCGTGCTAGAAATCGAAATATTGCAAACAAATGGTTTATGGATGCAACCTCACTTCTGGAAGAGCAGTTTACACTTGTAGGAGATGATGGTACATCGGAAAACTTGAGAGAAGGTCATATGCATAAAGAAACTGATTCTATTTATACGATTTGGTGGGTTTCTCACATTAGCCGTATGCATTTTGGTGTATATATGTGTGGATTCAATGCATGAGGATTTTTTTTTAGTAGCATGCTACCATTTAGCTAAGAATAATTAACAGTTCAAAACATTTTTCGTTGTCTTTCCATAACATTCTTCAAATGCTTATTTCTTTTCTTTCTTATATTGTCAACTTTAATTCATTTAATAATTGACTTCTGTAAGTTTTTCAAAAGTTTTTCAAAATCTAATAACAATCATTAATTGTTATAATAAATATAGGATATGGGATGAAACAAGTTATAAATAGTGAGACATTTGTCAGTATATTTTTGATAGTTGTGCGGAAGGAAACTTTGATGTACTTCTAGGTGCTCAGGTCGAGTTGGTTGTCAGGGAATGTTAATTACTTTAAAACTGGTAAAACGACAGGATTTAATCCACGTTGTCATGAATCTTATCCGACCAAAGGAAGATAAGGTTCGTAATTGTTGTCATGTTATTGAATGAATAATTGTTTATTTCCAATTAAAAATGGAAAGCTTCGTTACAGGTTATAATACGTATTGATGTGGACAACAACGAAATGGATTCATTTGTATTTGCTATTGGGCAGCGGAAATTAGTGACCAAAGCATCCAAAGAAAAGATGGACCTTGTAGGTTGATACTGTTAATGAAAGTAATACTTCTGCAACGGAAAGTGTAAATTTTCAGAGTTTGTTCACAATAGAACGGAAGGGAGTGGATAGGTTGGGACTTCCTTCTTCGATTGTGGTTTATGCAGAAATGTTTGAAGCTGTTAATGCAATTATCGATCCAGCGGTGTTATCAATGTTTCGAAAATATGAAAATGCTATTGATTACTTTCATTTTTCAGATCAGTATTCAGGTTATAAACCCTCGGAGTGAGTTCTTTAATTTTAGAAGTCCACTTTAAAGAATACTTGTCTGGATTGCTAGGATAGTCATTTTATTGTGCTGCATATATCTCGTTTTCTAAGCCATGTTTGTTTTCCTTGTCTTAGTAATATAATATTTTGTTTTAGGCGATACATTTGTTCGGTAAATTTCTTTCCTCACCTTTTAGGATAATAGAATATCACCACGTGGTTGTGCACAAGATGGTTACTTATTCTACTTTCTTACATTTGCCTTAAAGTGCCCAGGATTCTTACTAAAACTCGGAAAATCTATTATTACCCAGGTCAAACGACTGGTTCTAAATTCCACTGAACAATTCGAAAACTGTTTCCGTTCAGCTAGATTAAGCACGTAATGAACTTAAAGTGACTAAAACTATTGAGTAGTTCTCGCTTATACCAGGATAAGTAAATCAGTAAGTGAGGACTGGTTGTTTTAATGACGTATTTTGTAGTGGTGAATCATTTACGCGGTTACCAGAAACTAGTCGAGTGCTGTTTTTCGCTTTCAAAATGAGTAGTGATATAGTAGAAATTGACGCACTGTTGCGAATGGTATTTCATTGTTTCGAGAAAATAAGGCGTTATCGACTTTCAAGAGAAGGCAAACTGAAGGTTCACGGTTTTTTGTTTTTATTCGCTAATTTATATTCACTCACTTTAGAGAGATAATATCCATGAGTTACATTTATTGCAGTTTGGTAATAATCTTGATGTTTCAGCTCTAAAGAAATATATCAGGTATAATTTTCAGGCAGATAAAAAACGTCAAAGTGTACAGGAAGCCTTCCTAAAAACAACACACCAGGCAAGGCAAGAAGCAGCTCAAGCTCGTCGAGAGGAGAAAACAAGAGAACGCAAACAACGCCTTCTAGAGGAGGAAGATCCCGAAAAGCAGCGACGGCTGGAGGTATTTTAAACAATAAATAAAGCTTAAAGTAGATTTTGATTTTCACTGGCTAGCTGTTTTATTTTGAATGTTGTTTCTTGCAGAAATTAGAACAGAAACGTGACATGAAAATGCGGCAGCCAAAAATGAAACAGTTAAAAGTGAAATGAAGAAGCAGCTCCATCCCAATTCATTTACCAGGAAAAGAGAATATATTAATACAGTAAAGATCTATGAAATGACTAACATCACCGTTTTACTTTCTCATTTTGTTTTGTTAGACATGGTAATGCTAGTTATTGAAACTTAAATGAATGGAAAAGGGAATTTTAAAATATTAATCTTCCAAGTAAAAACCCATACACCTAAAAGATTAAGTTGTTGTCAGGTTTTTTAATTGCTTTTAACCCAAGTCATGTGATATGTTTTGGATTTATTAGTCGTAAATAAATGTATATGGCATTGATTTCATAATAGTCTGTATTAAGAGAAGTTCATGCTCTCTTTCTGGACTTTTTTGTATATCAGAAACATTTGGGAGTTTTTTGATATCTCAGTATTTTCAAAACTCCAGTTATTGAAATGCAAAAGACGTGTTATAAGCATTTAGCGTAAACAGCCTGTACGAATACTCGATCAACTGAAATATCTTTTTGATGGTTGACAGTTTTTCTTAGCAAGTATGTACTTTTTACTTTGTGAAAACCTTGTCCAGTGAACAGTTCATCCAATTCTTCTGAAAAAAGATTTTTTGAATTGTCTATAATGTGAGATTTAAAAAGCTACAGCGATAACTTGCCGAAGCAGTGTTTGGTAAAAGAGTTGAAAACAACACCTAATTTGAAGTAGTAAGTCATCGTTCCATCTTGTTTTGCATAAAATCTCTCATCCAGTTTGCACTCTCGGCCAAATCGAAGCATGGCGTAGTCGTTGATGCCATAATCACGAACAAAAACTATACCCCGAACATTTGCTAAGTTGAATAAGTTCTTCACTGCTTGCTGGTGCTTACAAGGGGGGATAGTGCTGAGAACAAAAATTAAGGATACTACGTCAGCTGCTGGAAAATCCAAGGAAAACTTGTCATAAGTTAAGTCTGCAACTGTAGTACTGATTGACAGACTGCTCGCTTCACTTCGTTCACGTAGTAACCGAATGGCATTGTCAGAAAAGTCAAAAGCATAGAAGCTCCAGTGTGGGTAAAGATGTATTATTGGGAAAAGTAAATTGCCAACTCCACAGCCAGCTTCCAAGAAATTTAGACTCTCCTGTAAAATCAATAAAAATTATTGCAAAAAAGCATTAAGTTTGCATAAATTCTTCACTCAAGTAAATGGGAAGTTATATTGATTGTCCTCGTTACAGTGAATGAAAGATTTTCAACTTCATATATTCCAACCACTTGCTAATCATTAGATCCATATAAATCTAGCACTAATTCAGCCATATATGCATGCGATCTTATGGATAAAAGTACATTTGCATGTCAACCTCTAAATTGACGTGTTGCTTCAGCAGTTCAGCAAGTTCGTGCTGTGTCCACCATCTATCTTTGAAGAAATTACTTTTATTTCGCAAATAAAATTTGTCCCAATTCTTTCGCAATCCTTCTTGTAGCTTTATCCGCTTGAAATCACTTGCCGGTACTTGCTTTCGCACTTTTTCTGCCTGTTCCTCATTAAGTTTTATGCCAAATAAGTAATCATGTTCATTAGAACAACTTGTAGGTGATGTATTCATTTCACTCCTACCAAACAAATTAAACCCGACAAGATACGGAATCTTACAATAATCTGAAAAATAACGTGCATTTCTACTACAAATGGATTCAATCGCTACCGGAAGAGTAAAGTAGTTGCTATCCACTCAAAAATTAGCTCACAGCAGTATTACAACTATTCATTCAATATTAATCTCTTGACTCGTTAAACCTATCAGTGAAGTTCGCAAACTGTAACTCTCTCTTAATATTTTCTTTAATTTGATAATTGATGATGCTAGTAGCTACCACTATAAACAGCGGGAATATTGTCATTCCATCAGACTAATAATATATCAGACCATACTTTTCAACTGTATTACAATCCAACTTTTCAATGACTATTAAAGTAATCAATCCCACTTAAATTCTTTCCATATGAAAATAACAGCTGAACAACTATTTCATTGCAAATCAATTTCAAGGAACAAGATTAATAATCGTTTTGCCCCAGTAAAAATTGGTAACTGTGAACAATACTTTTATAAAGCAGAAAAAAAATACAAACATTATAAAATTTATACAATCGATTCAGGAAAAATGTTTCATGTCCATCAATGGCCACGAATTCTAGCATAAATAAATCCACTCAGTTTTCAATCATAAATCAATTCACTCATTTTCTCGAGATAACTAAACAGTCATAGGCAACATCTATCCGTCTGGCCTGTGAAAATTTTTAAGTAAAAGGGTTTCAAATTAAATATGAGAAACAGCTTATAACGTAAGATTTCGAACAAAAAAGAAAATATGTCCGACTACATTTCCGAAAACATGTATGAAAGTTACAAAATACAGACAAGTTATGTTGGATACAGCAAATAGGGTTCCTTTCTAGCAGTTTTCAGCAATCAAAATGTCAACGGGACAAAAATAAAAAGGACAATTCATCAGAAAATAAATAATCAAATTGAAGGAGAAATCATGTTAGAGAAGATGGAGCATCTTTAAAACTTGTAGCTAATAAAATCACTAAGCATAGCTATTTTCCAGGCACATAACTGCTTCACCACCTAATTAAAAAAAAGAATTAATTATTTTTGATGCCTAAAGTGCTCTCCAGTTCAGCTCGCTTTTGTTGCACTTTGTGGTAGATATAGCGAAAAGTACCCTCCATAATTTGAGGTTGGTAATAATACTCAGCATGACGTTCAGCTTCGCTGTCACCAAATATTTCTGTCATCGTCTGAAAAGAGCATTTGATAGATATTACGAAACACAAGGTTTTCTTTATAGTATAATTTGATATTGGAAACAACCACCTTTAGAGCTCTAATTTCACAATCATTCTTAAGACCCATGCATTCTTTAACTTGTGCACTAACTTGTCAAATAATCGAATCAAACTAAAAAGAAATGGAATCAGAAGAATAATGGCACGATGACGTGAAACACTTGAGACGACTCATGTGAGAGCGCGTAAGAGCAGCGTCACCATTATGATGCGCATTGCACAGACTAAATAATTTTGCAAACCATAAACTTGAAATAATAAAATGACAAAATCACAGCACTATTAGATCATACCTTCAGATCATTACTTTGAGAAATCAACCACTTGTGAATAAATTCCTGTGGATTGTCTGCAAAACGAACATAAAAATCTCGTCGAAGCTTCCATTCATTTATTTGTTCGACGATATCAAAAATTTTCTGATCCAGTGCGCTTATATCTGGCATATTAGCGTGGCTATGAAGAAATGAACTCATTTGTGTCTTCAGAGGATCTTCCATTTCCACATCTATGAAATAAATTAGCAAAATTCAAGAAAAAAAAAAACAACTCTGTTAACTCACAATTGACATTTCCTTAACAGATCTTAAAAGCCGTAAAAATCGCTTAGAGGCCTGAAATTTGCTAAAAAACCAAAGCAAACTAGTAACCACTAATATCTCGTTATTAATGAATAATAACATGCTAATTCTCCGTTTGAGAAAGTTGCTAACAACAGATATGAAAGCATTTATGACAAAAATCACCAATATCATAGCATGCTGTATTTTTCTCACTTCCTTCACTATATTGAATAGTATGATGCAGAATCAGAGGATCGGGCTGATGTAATAAATTTTGAAGACGTTGAGGTATTTCCATAAAACGCATTCGCTTCACTCCAAAAATCTGTTCCAGGTAGCAATCGCAATTTATGTTATCGCGTTCAGACTGATCCTGAAAATATTTTGACATTCTTACAAATTTCTGCTAAAGATTCATTAGAGAAATATTAATTATAGGATTAAGATGGGAAACTTACCTGCAACTTATGTGTTTTTATGTACTGCCAAAGAGCTTCAATAATTTTTGGACGTGTTTCTGTAGCCATACCAAGTACTTTTCCCAATCGTGGATGCAATTTAAATTTCATTGGTTGGTAATCAAGTAATAAAAGAATGGTGCATTTGACATCTCGATCTCCAGGTCTTTTCACCTAAAAACAAAGGATGAAAAATGAGTGCCATGAATTTGCTAAATAGGTTAAGTTCCGTAATGTTCCGATCCATAAATTCCTTTGTCCAAAAAATGTATGACAGATCTAGAAAAAACCTGAAATCCATCAGTTTCATTCGTTTGAGGAGTTCGATGCCATTCAACAAGATGATTGTCAGGTCCATAAATTTCTTTGTCCAATTCGATTACCAAACTTTTGAAAAACGAACTGAATTTTCGTTTCAGTGGTTGATTACGATTTTGACTAGCTCCAATACCTGCAGTACTTACGCCTGTCGATGGTTCATCCAACAGACGTCCTTCGACTCGTAGTTCCCACATTGGTACAGTGCCTTCATCGCCTTCTCTCTACAAATTAATAACACAAAAACTTATTCTCATACGACGCTTATAAATTTAAAGTAATTACTTCCCTAATACAACTACAGCTGTATATGTAAGATGATAGGATCAATTTATGCGGGAAGACTTCATGTAAAGTAGAAATATTTTCAAACCTCGGGCTCTTTGCCAGGTATGAATGTGTGTGAAATATATATTCGAAGGCGTCTTTTAACTTTTATTGGCCTTTTTAAGGCTTCTTGTATATCTAACTTCTTTCTCGTAATGGTGGCATCAAGTTTTTGCTCGAAAGCTAGGAGATCCATGTAGGCTTGAGATTCTGGCACAAGCTCACGAACCTTAAAAAATGAAAAGACAGAAGTTTGAACTGATTTTAGCCATCCTTCTTCCACCACGGGGATACACTTGAGGAATATAATTGAAGCAATTTTGACAGCTAAAATACTTCAAAAACAAAACTTCATAAAGATTTCACAAAGAAATAGTAAAAATTGTCTCACTGATTTGTTTGTATGCTACCGTTATTCATTTAAATCATCATAGTAAAGCACTGTGTCGTAACCTGTATGGGTAACAGCTTATCAACCAGTTTTCGTTTCTTCGAACGATTTTGCATCTGACTGCGAGTATTGTGTTGTGGTGGAAGCATTGGTGGAGCACCCGTAGGCTGCGGAGCAAATGACCGTCGACCATGCTGTGCATTTGGGGCTCCGCCATATCTAAACGACAGAAAAACTGTAAATATGCATTAAAATATGCTATTCAATTTTATATACTATTAATAACTAAAACTGAATTTGCACTTTGTAACTTAACAAGTTTGTAATCAGTAATTGCAATAAATAAAAAGTAAGTAACTACATATAACTCATTAAATTTCATTTATTTTTGAAACAGACTATAAGTACTCCTATGTTTTATGAGTACAATAGGAAAATCTTATAAGTACAATAGGACATAATGATACCAAATCACAATGAAATGCGAAATAATCTAAGATACCAAACTACCACAAAACAGCGGTAAATATTCCTGCTGAATCACTTACTAGTGATATTAACTGACGCTGAAAAAAAAAATAGTAGGTTGCGTCATTTCACTTTATCTTTTAAAACTATAAGAAGTCTCATACTCTTTTAATGCAATAATTATTATAGTCATTTTAAAAACATTTCGGAATGTGCAAGCTAAGTTTCTAAAAAGATGCACAAAGAAACAAATAAAAAAAAAAACGGAAACTGATATGTCACTCATCAGTCCATACATAAAGCATAAATCATGCAAATGCAAGCAAGAGATTAACTACGCTTTTTAACATCACTAAAAAATGACCACAGAAATAAATGTTGAAATACTAACAGATAAGCGCACATTTTCGTCAAAAAATTACCTGATATTAGAACCATTATTGGACGGTACTGCTGTATTACCTCGATGCATTTCTGAAACACTTAAATATATACTACAATACTGGAATTCGAATACCAAAAACATTCAAACATCACTGTCGTCCACATAATCGGTCATCTTTCATTGTCCCTTATTATGTTTCTGTCATCTTGACAGGTATGGTTTCGTTTCATATGAAATCTTTGAGATCACTGGTGGTTGTTGTAATGGGAGTTATTTTGTTGAATGGACAATATGGAGAGAAAGGAGAAGGGAACATTTTAGAATGGCCAAAAATCACATCTTTATAAAGGTTGTGTTCTATCTTTAGTATTCGGGCTGCTAATTTATAATATCCATTTTATGTTGAGTGACAGATACTCTTAATTAATAATTTACTGATGTAACTGTAGAGATTGGCTATCGAAATATAGAGATTTTTCCGACAAGAACTTTTTATGTTTTCAGATCGATTGAACCAATTGCTGTAATGGGCAGCAGGATATTGTGCCATATATCACGCTTCCATTCGTCACTGGCAGTCAGTAGCGAACATTCACATATTTGGGATATATTTGCTTCGATAGCTCTCGTGAGGCCACCTATCATTGCACCACCAATGAATGATATCGAGAAACGTTACCAGAACTTTATGCTTCAGAGGGAATTAGAAGACTCCCTCCGATGCGATTTTGAATTGCGACAGTTAAGAGATGAACGGTGCTTCTTTGTTCTCCAACTTATTTATGTGCCTTATTTCCTATCTGATAGATAAATCTCTCTTTATATAGCGTCTTTTTACACTTTTATTGTAGGCTTCTTAACGAAAGAGAAAGATTGAAAGTGGATGATGAAGAAGCTAATTTACAAGAAGAAATAGGAATTCTGGCTTCTGTGGACGAAGAAAACTGGCGAAAGGAAGCAGATCGAATCCGAAAAGAGCTTGCAGTTGGGAACCTCACCAAGGTTGTGTTATTTAAAACATGCTGTTTTTAATATTTTTAATAGAGGTCAAAAATCTCTTGGACACTCAATTCAGGTATGTTAATAACTGAGAAATAGGCGTGGTGTCAAGACATTTTAAATATGAAATATGGGGTATATGTGGTTGGATTACGTTTAACACCACAGAGTTACCGAATAATCTCGTGTTGTTTCTGTGTGCGTTTAATTAATGAATTGAACCGAAAAGTCGCATTTCTTGTTGTACTCTAATTGTCTCGAAAATGGTTCGATATGACGAAGATATTTGCATTACCTACTTTGTCTTATTTTTGCAGTTTTCAAAAACTGATAGTGCAAACTTACAAAGGAAAATTGATGAATTTCTTGTGCTTCTTGTGTGTCAGAAATTTGGACGAGAGGATGGTTATCTTTCTCGATGGCATCTGCCTCAGCTGCAAAATCTCCCAGGCGAATCACTAAAACAGGTAAGAACTACAATAAGTTAGTTGCATTTTTTCGTGTGTTCTCATTTTTATAAGTTGCTATGCATCAATAATGTTAATGTATTTTTGACTTTTTGTCTAATATGAATATTTTAATGGTTGGTAAAGTTCCATCAATACAAGACTACCTTCGAATTTTTAAAGTAAAATGAAGCACCTGCCTTGCTGTGATGATAAAAATTTGTCTGCAGACTTCGGAGCGCTGTCTCAAGGAATTATTTTCCACTGAAATTCATGGAGAAGGAATAAGTAATGCTCCGTTTGCTGTTTATTTTTATTGCTATCCTGCTCAACTACGACAGAGATTAAAAACACAGTCACGAGGTGCTGCGGTAAGTTAGCATACCATTATGGTGTTTTATAGTAATCAGTTATTCAAGGACAGATGTTATTCAGTTTAGTCATAGAACTAATTAAAAAAAACCATAGAATTGGCTCATTCTAATATTCCAACTATTATTTAAATTTGGTAGATTCATCATACTGCAGGAAATAATTGCGGTATGATGGCTTTTATCTTCAAATTTCAAGCTAATTTTCCCAGTAGATAAAATCAATTGATTTTGTTTTCAGATCTTTTTCTTCAAAGCACTATATATGAAACGTTCTGCGCTATTGGTCAAGAAGGATGTAGTTGCAGATTACAAATGGGCTAATGCAGAAGAATTTGCTGCAAGTGTAGGACATAAGATGTCGTATCTTCGGGCTTTGTCAACTCTTTTCCCTTCTTATCTTTTAACAAAAAATATCTCTGAGTGTGCCAAAAAAAACAAAATCTCAAAAAATTCGGTCGAAAACGCAACTACGAATGTAGTCATCTAAGCATTGTAAGCTTAATTTTCATTGATTAGCTGTTATATTTGCTCTATTTTGGAAAATTACTCAATACTTATACAAGGACTTTCTTCTTCCAAATTGCTAAAAAAAAAATGGGAATGAGAAATGAGTGATTTATCAAGTTTGGATTGTTGGATTTTGAGACTGAATAGACACTGTTTATTCTTTCATATGAAGTCCTGCATTCTTAAGATAGAGTTAATAAATATGAAAACTTAAGTATCTTAAGTAGGCCTATATTTTTGGTGTGTAAGCAATACCGGTTCGCGTCTCCTGTTCATAATACCTTCACTTGCTTTCTTATTCGTTATCGAAGAATTCCCATTTCTCTACACAGAAATAAAATCAAGAAGAGAAAGATGAGCTACTTGAAAATATATCGTAGGTAAAAGTGATCATTGATGAATCTGCAAAAAATGTTTGCTACGACTTCCAGTTACATCAGCAACAAATATAATTACAATCTCAATAAATCGTTTTATCAAGATTTCTAATGAAGTTTAACTCAGTGATAGGATAAGAAAGTAATGACATTAATTCCAAATACTGAATTCTGGTATCTCCTCATTAAATCTTTAACTGTATCATTCACCTATACCACTAACTCTCTGCAAAGCTGGTTTTTTCAATATCACTGTTCTCAATATTTCATTAAAGCTATATCAGCATACTTATTATATTAACATGGGACTGTGGATAGTAGCAACATTCATCAGTCATCAGGATAATTGCTCTTTAACATGTTTTCTTAATAAACAAAACATGACGAGTGATAGAAGAACAAAACAACCTAAATGGAATTTAATGAAATCTTTTGAGTGCTACTGCCGTAAATCATTCCTATGTTCATTATAGATTGTTGTTTACTACTAATTCAAAATAAACTATGAAATGAATCCACTCATTTGTGATTTAGTATTTTTATTATAACGAAATACAGAGACATACAACGCGTCGTAAAAATTAGGCTACTTTACCATAACATTCATCTCGCATCTCGTATTAAAGGCTTCAGTCAAACTATTACACAAGTTCTCAGTAATTAGTTGGTGATAGACTCTATTCTCTCAAGTATTCCATTTTTCTTTATCTTCATTAATTAGATTCGAAGATACCAATTCATTTGATTCACAGGATTTCAAGTGACGTGGACTACTCGAATATTTTTCACATTATTGGAAAAAATGGGAAAGGGAAAATCAGTGAAAGAAAGAAAAATTCATCGTATTAGCATTTGAGAAGCACAATTACTCAAAGGTTGAAAATGAAAAATCAAATCTCTTCCAAAAAAAGAGTCGGTATAAGAAGAAATTGCTTGAGTTTTGCTGGGTGGACAAACTGAAACCAGCCTTTTCTCAAAGATTGCAAACAATTGCTGTTTGATATGGTGTTTCCTGGGGTACATTTTCTTCCCTAATTATATGGCTTTCTAAAATCATGATTTATGCCGACCAATTCAATATGTAATCATTTTGATGAAATGTTGCAGAAGAAAAAAAAAATGAACATTTTTCGCTTAATTCATATTTTTGAGTTACTTAGTAATCGTGTATTATTGCATGCTTTTGCAGTAGTAGTTTCTTCATAGTTCGCTTGGATTATTTAACTTTACTTTTTCCATATACACTAGAAGGTAGTTCTTGAAACGAAACTTTTAAGTACGTAAGACGTTACTCATTAAACTTCACTTATTATATTTCAGCATAGTTGCCATAAATTCTAATACTAAGGCAACTTTACTATCTCATACTTCTGATATTTTTTATGAGATTGACTAACTAAAACTTAAGTGACTTGTAATAGCGGTAGGATTGAAATGAGACTTTACGGGATGAATTCTAAGATGAATTAATCAGTTTCTCTTTGTTGGTCATGCTAGACTTTTGTTTTGCATTTAAGTTTCATCTAGGTCAGAAAATATCGTTTCAGTAGCAGCCATATGAGTGTGTTTTCAACTACGCCAAGCAAACTTTCCTTATTATCAATTGTAATACTTCCTCTCTGATAAAAGTGATAGTTTTAGTTTGCGCACTTAGCCCAATTATTTCAATCCATCTTCATGTCTGCATTAATGAGGCAAATACAGATTTAAGATTTTAAACTGTAGAACTAATGAAATTGAGTTCGAATTTCGATTATTGGCATCGTGAATTGATTCTTTTTATCATTTTCACAGAATAGTTTCATCACAAATAGGTCGGTACTTTCACAATATTTTGTTAACAATAATTGTGATGCGTATGAACCATTAAGCGCTTCTGTCGTATCATTTGTGATCTTGGTAGTGAAAACATTATCGTTATTACAGGGTATATGTGGTGGGTGCCAAGTGCCACGGTTGTATCCAACGAAAGTTAGCGTTATCATAGCTTCCCATTCCCAACCCCTTTTATCCATATTATTTTGAATACCTACGCCCTGTGAATAAACAAGGATATTTTTAGAATGGATCACAATAAAAATTCAATCGTACAAAAACTTGAAATTTTTTCACTTTAAAACACATTTCTGATTCGCTGCAAGAAAAGAGTATTTTGAAGATGCTTAGGAAAATGCATTATCATAACATCTTCAAATAAACATGTAGGAATACATTTTTAATTCTCCAAGAAAAATGAAATATTTGAAAATGTTTTTACAGCACAGGAATTGAAAAAGAATTTTAAAGGCATAATGAATATGATGGGTCACATTAGCAACAATAAAATATGTCGATAGCTAAAGTATTAAGATGCATTTTCCGATGTGTCAGTGGCACCATTGAAATTTGATATTTCATACATTTCGCTTCACTTGTATTACATTCATTTTGAAGTGAATAAATATCATGCTCCAATATGAAGATTCGAAGATATTAATTAAATTTTCTTTACAATTATTTAAACAATTTATTTTAGCCACTAATAAGTTTGATGTAATAATTTTTGGTTTAATCGATAAACGACTGTCATTGGCCTCCTACAGTTGGCTGTTGGTGTATATTTCAGATCAATCCCTCAAAATCCTTAAATTAACATATTTCACTTTACCTATAGTATAAGAAAATATGATGAAATAAGCAATAAATAAGATGAAACAATTTCTGATCGATGAAAAAAATGAAGATAAAAGACAGAGAAATGAACATTAAGCTTGAAAAATTCAAATGACACTCACAATTTCGGATTTCTCCAAGCATTCCATCCCATTTTGTAGAAATCTTGATCGCTTATTACAAATCTGAATTTTTCAGAAGAAGTTTAACTCCAAATCCCAATTCAAATGTACTGTTTCAAAATCTAATACTCCAGTACTTATTAAAAGCAGCTAACCAAAAACTTATGGAATTTTATTTAATGATAGCTAGATGTTTCATATAAACCTTAGGCAAAACAATTATTCATTTTTATTCCCATAGCGGTGACACTGAAATTTAAAAAGAAGAAAGACAGAAAGTCTTATATAGAAGACAAAAAAAGAAACAAGCCCATTGATTGAAAAAGAAAGCATGAAATTTGAAGCGCTAATGGCTTGGAATAGTAGTGATGGGTAGCAAAATTATCATTGGAAGGAGTTATGTGCTTCTTTCCTTATATTGGGTTAATTCCCCTATTAATAACAGTTAGTCCGTAGATGCATGGGCCCTTGTATGTGTTTAGCATTTCCTCATGAATGCATAAGCATTGTAAGGTGGCCTTTAGCTCCTCCAATTATTTACAACATTCGTGTTTACAGTTGTCAGACAAAACCTTTAGTGTATGACCGAAAGTCATATATTAAATATGCATGTGTGATAATTTTTGTAAAGCACAAATAACATTGTGAAATGAGAATTTCCGATCAGAATGCACCGACATATGGAAGACAGGACAATACATATAAATGGATACAGCTTGTATTCACAACCTTACCATGGATATTCAAAAATAAAGACATCTAGTTAGAATTCTTTAGTCTATAACTAGTATAATTTATTTCGTTAATCCGACTTATCTGCTATAACGCTGCAAAATGCTCAATTAACCAATACTTCTTGATCGACCTATCACAAAGCTGAAAATGGCATATCCCCGCCTTGCTACAATATAGATTTGAAACTCAAAATGAGATTTTTGACACTTTTTTTTAATGAATTTCATACCTAGCATAGTGCCTCTAACGCACTACCAGAACTTTTCACTTCCGTTTTAATTGATTGTAAATACTGATTACAGAATATTTTGATTGGTTGTAAACACTGACTGTAGAATAGAACATGTTTTCTCCACTTTTTTCCTAAATAGATGGGAATTTTACTGAAGATAAACCTTTTCTGAATGAAAAAAGATCGTTTATTTGTTATACATAAATCAAAAGAATATATTAGACAACAAAATTAGTGCTTATACAATTATGGCGTAGCTGTCCGTTTCAAATTTTCCTCTTTACAGCGTACAAAATCATCCATTTCCTGATTCCTCCAATAGATTCCACGCCCACGCAATGAATCACTTGACTGGCGTAGTTTATATGCTCCTAGAAAGGGACTACAGAAAGTTAGTTCAATATATTTAATTTGTTAATGACATAGAATTTATGTTTTTAATAATTCCTCTACTGATTAATCACATCACCTGAAGACCCAAGAAATATAAAGAGAAATTAGCACCATAAATCTTCGCTGTAGGGCTGTAAACCGCTAATATCTAGTTATAATATTTTGTAAAAATCAATGTTTATTAACTGTAAAATGGAAACTGACATAAGAGGAAGGCTCAAATAGAACACTTTTTCCTTTATACCCAGATTCCCCTTGCTCATTTCGGAATGGAAGAAATGGATTACTGGATTCAATTATAAAAAATGAGCTTCAATTTGAAAAAAGAAAAGTGTAATTCCTAACTTCTTAGTAGCTTGATATAAACTGAGTTCCACGGATAGTTTACACTGTACTTTTAAAGTGAGTTAGAGCTACTTTTCCCAGATTTGCCAAATGGTCGATGAGTTGAGAACTTACCCAAAGCAACGCCACCGAAAATTACAACAATACCAGTGGTAACAGTAAGACGTTGGAATAGAACTGACCAACCCATGCAAGCAACTTACCCGCAAGTGAAAACAAACAACAATCTAACTGGCCGCGTGTCAAAACTTTAATCAATAGGGATCTGTTCCATTACTTGGTGGTCGGTCGCATTTATCATTAACTTTCTGCAGAACTTCTAGTAAAAAATTTGAACTCAATAATTAAAGTGCAGTACCGGGACATCGTGGTATCCACCTAACAAGTTTAAACGCAAGAAATCCCTATTTGCCTCATTAATCCCTCATATTTGTTTCTTATCATATGCATCAGCTTCAATTGTTAGTGCTTCTTGAATGTATGATAGCTGCACCGATTTTCTTCAATTTGTGATAGCTGTACGATCCATCCCAAATGCCGATAAGTTTCAATAGAGTTCGCAATCTCTTCACCGCTTCAAATGCCAATCAGTCATCACTTTGAACCACTTGCAGACCATATGGCAATCAGGTCACATTCGCCATCTCCGAATTATACTTGTGTTGTCATATCATTTATAGGTTTAGCTGTGTCGCTCTACGCTCTATACGTAGAACATAATTTAGATAATGACAGCAGTTATCGGCCATTGTGTGATATAGCTTATTATGTTAGCTGCTCGAAAGCTTTTCAATCACCATTTGCCAATGACCTCGGAGTTGCATCATCTATTCTTGGAGCTGACCATATATTAACACGGTTAGTCAAATAAATATACGACAATACGAAAACATAAAAGACATATTAACTGTTAGAAGATTTAATAAGAAATATAACACAAAATTTAGCACGCTGATTTCCACTCTGATCAAATGGAAAGAGTTAATATGAACAAGATAAATTTCGAATATTGATAAAGTTATGCATCAGAATACGCGATGGTACATAATGGGGTCATGTAAATGTTTATTTTCAGTTCATCTTATGATAAAATCCGAATCAAAATTAGAGTCCCCAATTGTATTACATTTCATCTGGAGACCATTTGTATGTATGATTAACTAGAATTATTTCAGAAAAATCCTATGTACGGTTGCCTTTCTTATACCTCCATGCTCCTACTACAATTCATCCAGAGGTCCTGGGCAAAGAAATTATCATAGATTTTGTCGGTTTTCATGAACCTTCTGTCAGTATATCTTCTTTTTGTCCTCGTTTACCCGCGCAGCATTTGCGTAGTTTTTGTGTGCATTTACGTTATCAGTGCACTGCTATTTTACTAATTATTCCGAAAACATTCTGTTTTGGATTACAATTCGATTTATGGTAGTAAGAGATCATAATCTTATATTTGTTTTCAATTTCCCTCTCGACGTTTTTTCCGTCCTCGCCTTGCCAAGATCGAAATTTTGAATACAGTGCTGTAAACATCAAGATCAAATTTATGTAAATATTGAGGGTTACTAAGAAAATCTGCAATGTTCTGTTTTCTTTAGAAATCTCAGAAATTAAGATAACCTTTCTATTATTTGAATAGCGAAATATGAATTTGTTACTTTTAACGCATTGTATTTATTCAAAACATGCTAGGACGCCATTTAATTAATGCTTGGTTACTTCATACTCGTAAAATTAGCAATTCTACTTTTGATGCTAGTGAGTTCCATATATGCACTGATTCCTTCAAATGCTTATTTCATTTAGAATTTAAAAAATAAATAAAACTATAACATGAACTAACTTGCATGCAGGGCATATTGGACTAAAGTGACATTGAACCGAAAGACATACGGAGCAGACCCATCCAACACTTACTGGAGCACCGTGGCAATGGCAGCTAGCTCGATAATCTATTGAAGTTGATGATGAAGGTGATGGAAATGCAGAACGCAACGATGCCCTTCCAAGTGTAAAACACTATAAGCTTTTTTGTAATACTTTGATATTTATAAATTAGGTTTAAAAGCACTCATATCTAGATTAGTTTTTGACAATCCCAGATTAATATACGAATGTTCCTATGATCGAGACCACTTAAGATACTAACCATTGTGTATTTCAACAATTGCTTCGGTTTTTTAACATTGAAGTAAGTACCGCCAGTAATATCACTCGCCTGTTGCAAAATTGGCGATGTCTCACCTAAATTATAGAATGAATGCTTTCTTCAAAAACTTCAAGATTGTAGATAGAAGTCCACCATTCTCAATTTATGACAAAATAAAATATGGGGAATTTACTGATTTATTGGTTTAAGAAATATGAAATTATAAAACTTCTATGCAATTAATATTCAGTTTAAAAGCACTCCTATTCGTTGAAAAAGTCATCTCAAGAAGAGGGAACCAAGATTTTTGAAAGTAAGTGGTGATAATCAATAGGCACAAAAAAGCTCGAAATTATACATAGATGTCTCCGAAATTTCATATAACCTTCAATATTCTCACATTGGCCCATTAAACAAGTTGTGAAGTTCCCCAAAACAAAATAACAAGTATAAATCGTTAAATTGCATAGTATGGTGTTACACATTTACTCCATCTTAATAGTCCCAATCTTAATAGATTAGAACTGACCGATATTGGCCACATCAATGAGAATATTATGCTTATGAGCGGCGAAGAAGATATTCATTAAAATGTTATGCTCTCCAAAAAGATCACTACCAATGTTGATAATAAGAATGCGTCCATCTCCTTTGTCAACTTCATTCTTGAAACGGAAAATATCTGAAGAAATATTAAAATAATTGTTGAAACAAATATCTGAACTTAAATAACAAATAATGGCTTTGTTATTGTTACTAAAAAACAAAAAATACAGGATTGAACATATGCTTAATAACACGTAGATGCATTAAACTAGATAGAGTGATAGTATCATTCAAATTTATGGATGAGTGTATACCTTAAGTAATTTCAAATAAATCATCGTTTCAAAAATTAAGGTAATTGTATTATGAAACTCTCAAAAGTAGTAGATGAATCTACAGCTAATTAGAAGGCAACAATAAATATAGAGGGGCAGTAAAGTGAAATCACTTGAATTCATGGAACAGAAAGCAAATTTTTGGGAATGAAAATCTCATTAGCTCCCAGCAAACAAGTTAAACATACGACAAATGGCAGTAGCAATAGCAGGTGCAAAAAGGGCTGAGTCTGTTGTACTTGTCGAGGAAGCCGATTTTTTAAGTGCATTTTGTATTGATGTTTTTACTGCTGAACTCATATCTATCTAAATAAAATGTACAACGTTTTTATTGGATTTTGAATGTTTATTATAAGTACCAATTTTTTACAGACCAATTGTCATCAAGCTTCTTCTCATCACCAATATTGTTACAAAAGTTTACTTTTTTAACTGCAACGATCTCATGAAACTATCCGGAGCACAGTTGTACGATGGTTTACAATACTGCTATCAATGACACATTTTTAAAACACTCGGCAATAATTGGTATCCTGTCCATCATTCGATTTAAGCAATTAATGTCGGAGCAGCTATGTACCGGCTTTCATTCAGTTACTAATTTAGATCTCAATGAAATTCTTTAAAGACTAACATCTGATGATGCACTTGTAGTGTAGATAGTCGGTTCCGAAAGCGTTCCATCGACACCAATAACGACTATACCATTCATTGCAGAAAGTGACATATGCGCTGTGGTATATGATGTAATGGAATGGATCAACATACAAATCACATTCTCATTGTTTTCCTTCTCAGCCAATTCACCCCAATGACGAGCATCACAGTCAATCACAATGGATAAACAACTCATCCTTTAGCCAGCAAAACACTCTGAAAGTAGCAAACTTTCAATTTACGATCTAATAGAATCACGAAAATTATAATAATAAAAATCCTAAGTGAAAAAGAAACCTTTCGCGTAATTTTATTTAAAGTCAAATGAAAGTATTGATACAAACTATCTTTCTTTCCTATTTGGTTTCAATTTCCCATTCGATAAATAAAGTATTCAGAATTCCAATTTATTTGAAGTAGTGAGTTCAGCGTACTGGTGCATTGTTTTGGACAAAATTTTTTACTTCTGATTAAAATCAAGTACAAAAACATCCTTACTTGATAATAGAAGTTAAATTAATTAATAATACTTAATTAATAATAGAAGCAAAATTATTACTTATGTTCTGAACAACCATTAGAAGCAAGGAACAGACTTCCTTCTCACTGAGTGTCTAATAAATAGAGTTAACTAACATTATAGTTTCTCATACCAGTGTGCTACATCGACACTGTATTTCTTTGGAAAATTCTTTGAAGATTTCCCTTTTGTACGAAAATTGAATTCAGTATTAATCCGGCTCTACAAAGAACGGCCTACCTTGGTAATTTTTGTCTTTACGGTAGTACGAAAGGAGAGTCGTGAGAATTAGCATTTATAACTTCCTGATTTCTATGAATTTTCTGTCTTTTCCTGAACCTTCTGTTATTGCCTTTTCTTTTTCTAAATATTTTTTTCTCCCAGAATCTATTTAAATATTTACTCAAATGGAATGCATTGAATCGTGAGAGAGATTTTGCAGGATATCATATATAAAGACCGCAATCCACATTTTCATTAGCATCACGAGCACTTGCAATACAATAAAACTCCATAAGTAACTTTACTGAATTACAATCAATTCATAACTTTTCCTGCATAACATAATGCTGGCCTCCTTTCATTAAAATTTATTTTTTATAAAAAAAAAAAAAAAAAAAAAAAAAACTGCAAACATTCAATAAAGCGAAAGAAAAACTTAAGAATTGATCAGAACACTTTCAGAAACAAAACAATTATTATAAGTTAAAAAATAATACGATGCAACAACGACACGAAAAAGAAATTTTATTTTTCCTCATGACCATTAAAAATAATGAAATAGTAAATGCTCCAAATCTTCAAACCTGGAAGAAAACTTCGAAAAAATTATTGTATTGCATGTCACAAACGCATGTATGCCTGTGTTACGTTCTGTACATATATGTGTAAGTGCTGATCAACTATCCAGAGAAGGAAAATCTTTTTTTAATTTCAAAGATTTCAGGAATGACAACTTATCATTTTGCTCTTCTTCACTCGGGCTATCATCTTCTGGTATTCGGATGACTGATGCATCCAGTATACAACCTGGGTGGAATATCTGCAAGAAACACAATGCGAATAACTGACTGCAATCCTTTTATTGACAAATGAAACTAAAAGAAAGAAGAATTAACTTCTACAAAATTCAAACATTAATTTTCAGTAATAACAGATGAGTCTTACTCTGCCATCCTGGCCAAGCATACAGTCCCGAAGTTTCCATATGTCATCATCTTCATCCCAATATTCTTCAAATTTTTCTTTACATACACCACATTCCTGAAAATTCCAATTGGACCAAAATTTATTGTAAACTGTCACAATTCTCTTCAAATCTGAATAAAAGAAAATTGGACAAATCTCGACCAAAATAACTACCTTAGATGGAACTGAGTCAGATGGTATGCTATATGTCCCTCTATTTGCATCTTTTGCTGCATCATTAGACCCAGCACCTGTAAAGAAAATTATTGAAAAGGTTTTGATTAAAATTTTTTGCTAATGGTGCAAAAAAAAAAGGACAGTTAATAATTACTAATAAAATATATTTCTCATTCTTAAAATTGTAATGGAAAAACTGTAAGAAATCTTATTGCAAGAAAAGCGGTTTGTTTACCAGCAAGACGAGTTGCTGATGTCGATGCTGATAATTCCTCTTGTTCACTAAATTCATACCATTCCTAAAAAAGGACATAAAACCGGCATCACTTTCATTCTCTGAATACCTATTTTTATCGGTAAAAAAAAAAAACTCCAGAATCGCGTATGTCCCTATGTTAAATGATATCGCATAAAATCACTTATAAAATGAAAATGAACATAAGTGCGATCGAAAAGTCATGGATTAGATGAAATCTACAAGCAATTGCAAAAAACCTACATCAACCGGCAAGTACCACTCACGGCAACGTGAACTTTCATTTGACTTTAGATTTTCACGAAAATGCCAGTCAAGATGCTGCTGGTACCTTTCACCCTTAAGCTCACTAAAGCGTAAACCGCAATTAGGACAAAGACGTCTTTTCTGATGAAGGCTTTCCACCACAGACGTATACCGTCTGAAACAAAGTGCTCAGACATTTTCACAGCAATTTATTTTTTAACTTTATTTAAGATTCATAATCATTCAAACTCAACAAAAATTAACAGAGAATTAGCAAACCAACATTCTGAGAGCACGCATCGAGAAAGATTTAAGATCAGTTGGCGGTCTCGGCAGTCTTTCGGTTACCTCACCACGATGTTCAGAAGGAATAGGTGGTGTAACAGATCGATTAGGTGAATCTCCTCCTCCTGTTTCATCTCTTCTGCTATTCACATTCAAAGCAGAAAGTATTCCGGTACGCTGCAGTTTGGCAAGCAAACCTTTAACATCAACCGCTGCGTGAGGTTCGGTTCCACTTGAGGCTAAAAAATTAAAGCTGAGAATTATCAAAGCAAGTGAAAGGGGTCTTATACTTGGTCCAAAAATTAGGAAACCAGAGCATGGAACAATTATGTCAATTTTTTCCTCCTCAAACCAAAAAGATGTAAAGAAAACAGGAAGCACTGAAAACCTGCAGTTTTGTTCGACGTTTCAGCACCTATACGAGGCATATATCGTAGTAGTTCATAACATGGATCAGGTTCAATTTTAACTTCTGGTGGAGGACCACCCAATCTGCAATAACATGCTATAAACAACACACAGAGAACTTTTATTCGAAAATCCAATTTTAAGGAATAACTACATTATATACCTTATTTCATGGCGTACTCCGTTAATCGTAGCAAAAATCGGTGGACCACCAAATGCACCCTTGAATGGATAAGTTCCCATATACAGTTCACGTGATGGAGCACCAAATCTATAATATATATGAGAATCAGAAGGGCTTCTTCTTTATAAACAACCCGCAAATTCAATCACTAAGTAAACTGCAGATAACAAAACGATATGCACGCGATTTTTTAGCGACAAATGGAAAGACAACATCCATTCAACTGTATATAGGATAATTTAACTCTGCTGGACAAAACGCAGTTTTAACCTATTATGGTAACAAAATTACCCGTACATTTACCTTAAAACGTGTTCTTCACCGTCAATTATTACTCTTTTCTCTTCACCAAATGCTAGTTGATAAGCGACACCATCAATGATAACATTTCGTGGCACACCCGTAAAATAGATCCTAAATTAAAAGCGTCAGACCTCAGACCACATTTCGAATCAAAATGTTCCAACTTAAATTTAATCTTAGAAAAATGCTGAAAACACAAACCTATGCGGCAAGCCATTCCTTTCAATAACTGGAACGTCATTAATATATGAAACTTCGTAGGCTCGACCATCCACAAATATTCTGTTATTTGCCGGAATACCTTCCAGCTTTGGAGTTTCGTTATTGATGATTGGTGGTACACGGTTTGAATCGGTTCGTGTTAAATCTTGGTGATTTGTGGAGGCAGAAATGACAGGAGAACCTGCTAGAATCGAAGCCATATTGGGAACTGGCATTGGTAAAGGTACCGCTGGCATTATAGGTGGTAGAAATCGTAGTGGGCCAGAGGTAGATGGAATTGCAGGCAAAATTACTGGTCCGGAGACTGGTACCATAACTTGAGTAGGCGGTGCTGTCAACATGTTTGTACTGGAGGGCACTTGTGCGCGTCGTGCCGTGGTAATGAAAGCATGAGAACCGAGATCATTTGTTGGGCGTATTATGGCGGAAGATGTTGAAGGCGAATTCGTACGACGATCTCTTTCATGAGGTGGAGTACGTATTCGAGGTTTCTTCTCCATAGTTTCCACATCAGAGATACATGGTGGAGACTTACGTTTTATATCGTTTGGTGAACGTCTACCGAATTCATGTTCTTTTCTGAAAAATCACGAAAATACACTTATTTGGGAAAAATTGGATGGGCAAACCAAATTTTATAGGACTCAAAGCCAATCAAGAACGATGATAAAAATTCAATCAACTGACTTCATTCTTTTAAATTTATAACTATAAGAAAATAATGTTTTGTAAAGATAAAAGTGAAGATAACAAAGCGTAAAAACACAAAACTCCAAAAAATTTGGGTTTGAATATAAGTTACAGTGTTTAAAGAAAGTTTTAGATATTTTCTGAATAATACAAGATAGCCGCAAACAAGAGTTTTATATTAGACAGTTCACCGTGCTATATCCGATAGCTTCCATTTCACTTTCTGAAAATCTGATTAATTCCATGTACATTAGGGGCAGAACTGACAATAAACAATCTGCTAACTAACAATTTTCAACTTTTCAGGCCAACGTTATTTTCCGCCTTCATTTTTTTCTTTTGTTTGTCTTCTTTTTATTTCACTCCTTTTCAGATTGTAAAGCGAGCAATAGTCACCAATGTATTATATTTGTATTATATTTGCAGATTGCCATAGCGACATCCGTGTAGCTAGTCAATTTTTTCATGTAATAAAGTGGAAATCACCTGTGTACAAAACTCCGAGCACTTGTACTATCCAAGAGGTTCCCAGTTTGTTGTGTATTTAATCTTTCATCAACATCACTGCTGTCGCTGCAATACACGAAAATAACACTATAGTATCTTATTATTGGAAACCTAATGAGCAGAAAAGAGTTGGAAAAATAAGGAAGTTTTGAAGAGATTAATAGTTGATTAAATCAGTTATATGAAAATTGTAACACTGATAATTCTATGCCTCCAAGAATAAAAACAGCTGTAAATTCCAAATAATCGTATTATATATCTGTTAAAATCCCAGTGCATATAGAGCTTTCCTAATCTAGTCCTAAATATCCGATCGGAGCATTGGTGTATGATTCAAGATTATCATACGTTACTGCATGAACGAAGCACAAAGTTCTGTAAATTAGTCTCATGGAAAAATTATCCAATGATTCTCCCGTGGTTACTTTTGAGGAAGAATCGCTGACTAATACGATCATGAAGAGGAAGATAAAAAATGATGCCTTCATCTCAAAAGCAAAAATGTCATATTGAGTCATGCAATCTGGAACTGGTGAGACGATATTAACATGGACTTTAAAACCACTAAAAAAAATTTACATAGGCTCCTGCTTGACGATGGCATTTGCCGGATGAGATGCAACTAATGGCATTGGTCTGGTATTTGTCGCTCCATCAGAATGTTTCATCAATCTCGGATCCAAACCTATCTTTTTCTTCTCACAGTTCATTTGCTGAAATAAAATCATTAGGAAGACAACAAAATAAAAAAAAAAAAACTACCTTTGACTTGCTGCTGTTCTCCTCGATATTCTTGTCACCGAACACTGACTGGATGTGTGCACTTATAACTCATTTCCATCGAAGACACACCTACTCATATTTTCTTAAAAATGCACTTTCGGAACAACTAACTTTTCTGGGGAGCCTCGCCTAGAAAAGACAGTTATCCAGAAAAGCTGGACGACATAAGTGCAGAGGTGAAGAACAAGCGCGACAAAACACCATCAAATCCACTATCAAATTAAATCAACGATTTTGCGCGATAAAACTAGTACCGTCAAACCAACGGCTAAAAGAAGATATGCCAATTTTTTTTTCAAACCAGAAGAAACAACCTCTTCGCAAAAAGATGACGACTGATGCTAGTTGTAAATAACACACAGTAATTTCTCTTGGGGAGAATGGGAACAAGCATTAACTGAGATGTATGAGACACCCATTACAATATTTATTTTTAAGTAATGAAATTGATTTCCACAGAAGTTTGGAAATGATATAACTGTAATATGGACAACACACAAAATCATTTCGTTGCAATAATAAACAATGTATTATTATTAAATCATGTACCAATTTGTTGTCAACAGTAGCACTGGTAGTAGTAGTAGTAGTAGCAGTAGTAATAATAGTAGTGGTAGTAGCAGTAGTAGTAGTAGTAGTAGTAGTAGCAGACGTAGATGTAACAGAATTTTTCTGCAAAAAGTGTGGATTGACATGAACTTTTGCTGCTGCTCGAGGTTGGTGAGACGTCATTACAACAGGTTGTGGCCTAGATCCAGGTACCGGAGTGTTAACTGGTTGAGGAGTAACGATCGGCCAAGCTGGATCAATTGCATTTACAGCCAAATCTATTTTATACAACGTTGAACGTTGAAATATTCCTGTCCAAGTCTGTCTGAGTTTATGTAGTGCCAAACGTGTCCTTTCATCACCCTAAAAACAAAGTATCACTTTATACCTTTTTTTTTTTTTTTTTTATGCAGAAAGTGGTCTATTAAAATAAGCACACTTTAACACATGCTATGAAGACAAAAAAAGAACTAGCCGTTTCAAAAACATGCAGAAAGACTTTGTAAACAATTTTTTCAATATGTTCTTTGTAGTTACCAGCACCAGTTACATTTTTCAATATTGAATCCATAACATACATCACAGCCAATTTCTGAGGTGGTATAACCTAAAATTATATGGTTACTAATCATGTTAGAAATTGTCAATTTTCTATGATTTATTGCATCAGAGTGTTGTATACTACTTTATAGGTCAGAGTGAAATGCTTTACTCAAATGATACGCTTCTTATGAGTTTACGAGTTATTAACCTAATAATAAAGCACGTTTCAAAAACATGCAGAAAGACTTTGTAAACAATTTTTGTATTGTTGAACCAAACGAAATCACTTACTTTCATAATCTGTTGAGCAATAACAGCGACAATTTCCTTGGAAAATGAATTATAATCATCGGCAAGGATAGTCATCAAATTAATCTGCATTTTATTATTGTCTTTTAAATCATCCAATGCTTGTCTATAAAAAACGCTGGTGGAGAAGTGCAAAACAAACAAATCTGATTTTTTTAATCTCGACAAGCAAAGATTTCTTTAATATATTCCATCTTCGGCAGTGATAAAAGACTCAAAATATTTCTAAATAATTGCAGTAAAAAATACAATGAAATATGAAAAGCTATATTTGTATCAAACAACGTTATCAAAATCTGTTAAAACACAGTTCCCTAAATGAATTTTGGTAAAGACAAACAACCTATATTCAAGCGCAGCTTCTTCAGCATTTTTCGCCATAACTGTTAACAACAAATGCTATTCCTCGTGATTACAACCTAAAACACCTAGAAAAAATGCTGTTTTTGTTGACCGGGAAGTAGTTAGCAAGTCTTACTATTCGTCGCGGAATAACGTGCATTAAGATTATATATCATCAACATAAAGATTCAGACTTCATTTAATCACCTACTTGAAATTTAAGCATAACACAACCACTCCACCTTCACTCAGATTCCTTCACGGATCGGAACAACACATTGTCAGAAAAAATAGAACTAGAATAACTCATCCCAACACAAAGCAATTGCCAGGAAAGAACCGAAGTACCCACAACCATCTGCTCAAATTTTAGTTCTCAGATCTTCAAAGATGCGCTTTTTTTTAGAAATGATATTCGTTGAATCTACTAGAAACCAAACGGTGTAATCCAATTTCCTGATGTGGCACAATTCTTTACATTTTCAATGCTACTAGTAACTGGTGCTCCTGGATCTGCTTATCAAGAACAGTCCCACTCCGAAGACTAATTACGTCAAAACACGTAACACATAACACGTCGTACATTCCCTTCGCTTTACACAAAACATCGTTGCAACTGCCAAGCTCCCGGTATCTGTTTAAGCAGTTTTGAAGATAGCAGCCAGCAATAAAGTATATCAATTTCCTTTCTTCAACATCCCGCACATTATCTCTCTTACATAGTTAGGATGCTTTGATGAAACCTGATTTCTGCAAACGGTTTTAGCGAGTGAAATCAGCTGAAGACTACATATTGAGCAATGGATCAGTCAATACATGATGCAGAGACAACATACTTTATCAGTTCATCGCTTCAAACAGGAACATAACGATTCATATACGCAGCGTTTACATTTTTGTAAAACTTGTTCCACTGCTCAGGGGAGAACAGAACTCACAAATTATTTCCCGAATGACACCTACCAGCCATTCATATAATACAAAGAATAAACTGAAGGTTATAAAACCTAACAATAACTATGCCATGAAAAGATATCCAGTCGCGGAAGACATCCAGAAGTTCAGCCTGACTAATCCGTTCTTTCGATGATGCTAATCTGTAGAAAAATGTGATTTTATGTCAGCAATATAAAACATAAAAAAGGAATCTAGCAGAATTACCACAATCAGTTCAACAACCTTTTTTTCTTATAACCATTGCAAGATGCAAGTCATTTCGGTAAAAACACTAAAACATGAAACAATGTATGAAGGGGAAACACCTTAAGTGACCCACAACAGCTTCAAATTTCACTGAACGAATAGCTAGCGAATGTCCAAATGTCTTGGTTCGGGCACAAATCCAATATCTATGCCGGCGTAAAAAGTCATAAGTCCTAGCCACATCTTCGGACACACTTGATAACAGATAAGTGATATTACCTTTGTGATGCGTTCTTGTATACAAAAAGTTACCATACTGTTGAAACTATCAAATTTTTGGAATTAAAGAAATGGATCACTAACAAGCGAGTGCAGTACTATTATTATAATGCAACGATCCAAACTTTATCCCACCAAGTAACAATTTTGCTAAATGCAAACATACAGTATTCACTGCTACCAATTCCATGTAACACTAACAAGATTGGCTTATGCGATTTAGTAGCAGTGGAAGAAACCGTCCTGCCACACAATTTAAGAGCTCTAAATATTAAGAAAAAAAAAGTATTGCATCTTAAAATATGTTGTATACTTAACAACATATTTTAATACCGAAATGGCCACTTCCACTAAACTATTTCAAAATCTTAACACTCAAGAATCATACGGCTACTAATATGGAAGCATAATTATCTGCACAAAGTTCATCGCAGTTCGTTTTCCAGCAGCCTGATCTCTTGATTACACTTCAAGTACCCCATTCAACATTGTCAACTTCTTATTTCTTCCAATAACCTATCGACTTTGTTGCATATAATCACGTCTGAGAATCATGCTAACAACCTTTTAACATCATAATTGATAAGCTCCATATTATGAAATCAATAATTTGTGAATTATACATCATATTATAATGATAAAAATGATAGTATTAATTGCAACCAACAAAACGAGTAATTCGAATGAAATATCGAGCATTCATCCACATTCGGTTTACTCCAATTTGTATGCGTCTGCTTATCGTTCCACGTAAGTCCAGTAATTGTCTCGCGTCACACACGTGAAATAACGTCCACCTCAAACAACCTCCACTACCGCCCCGCGCTCACCGACCACCAGCACTGCCAACCGACTCACCGGAAACCGTTCCAATGGAGAGCACGCACGATCCGCTGTCCCAATGAATCGATGGCTTTATTCTATAAGCTGTGCATGGTATGGGACGATGCCAAGGGATCGTTGTGCAACTCCAACGCCTCATCCCTGTTGAAATAAATACAAGGATATCAAGGGTGGATGTATAGGTGTGCGGACTAGGTAAGGTATTATTTCTGCGAGAAAATGAGCATGTTGGGATATAAATTAATCAATACGTCATGTCAGTGATTTTATAAAGCTTAGCTTTGAGTCATTACACCTTCTTCACAAATAGTTCTCTTAGGAATGAAAAATAGCCGTCTGTAACAAAGTCATGCACGAATGGTCTTCCGAGCGTACTCTGTTGTTGGAAACATTTACTGAAAGTTTCAAATAAGATGCAGATGAACGACATCACACGAGCTTTACAATTAAGTAGAACAAGATCACTTGACGAATTCTTGTTGATTCAGAAATAATCTTGTGGAGAAGAATAGAAAAAATTATTCAGAACAGAGTGGATTGGGTGTTAAAATGAAGTATGATCTCAGACAAACAAAACAAAAGGATAAATCGTTTTAAATAATTGTAAATAAGATGCCAAGAGGAATTGCCCATCAACCTATCAATTATCAATATTCTAGTTGAGGTAGCATGTATTGCTGGATAAGTCAAGCAAAGGTATTTTTGTATCCAGCTATTTTTGGCTTCATGCTGATAGGCATTCTGCATCCATCGAAATAGCCGTGCTGCAGGGAAAGCAGACATGACATACGGAAATGAGTAAGATTTCGTGATATATGAAAGTAAGAAATGAATTGACGTAGAATTGTACTACTAGTGAGCCTCGCCAGTCGGCGAAAAAACTCATACACGTGACAAGTAGAAGTTCGAATTGCTAAAGATGGATGAGCTTACCTGATGTTTGAAAAGGAAAATAATTGAGGCGTATTTAGATGGACGACTGGAGCATCGATGGTCAAAAGGATGTACTTGGAGGAAAGTCGAGGACCTTGGATGAGATGATGGATTCCTTGCCAAGTGGATCAGCTGCATTCTGTGCAACTAAATTTCTGGAAAAAGATATAGATCAAGGGATGCGGGTATTTATTCGTGGTCATATTTATCTAAAAGTTCATTTTCCAAAAATTGAGTTTTTGAGAAATGCAATGAGGAGATGATCTTGGATGCATACTGTGAAGTTTTTTGAATTTTTCGTAGAACTTCTAAGAGATTTCTTTCCATACGGAACTTTCGAGTCAGTAACATTTAAATGTTACCTCATTTTACACGGTTGCGATGTAGTGTAATGGCAGTTGGGTAGCTAATATAGTAAAGAGCAGATTACGATCAAATTTTCAAGAAATTAAAAATTGCAAATTGTTCAGATAGTACCATGCACGTTATCGGGACAACGTAAGAAAGAACAGAAGTCGATCCGGAAAACAATGCTGAAAACAAAGTTGAGGAATGGAAAGGAGTTGTCAAATGCTGTGTTCCTGAAGAAAGTAACCTTCGATGTAAGTTCAAATATCGGATAATATTTGCATAAAGAATAGTTCCAGCCTTTGAGTACAGCTCATCGTTTTTACTGGAAGAGCTTCTTGGTGCTTACGGTTAGATCATCCAATAATTTTAGCAGTTTCACTCAACTCAATATAGTCCATCAGCTAAGTAGGTTCTCGGTGGTTCTTACACGTATTTTACTATGTTGTAGTTGGCAATAATATTTTCTCGGACTTTTAAATTTTTAAGAAGACATCGTGGTTTGCTTTATTAAAGTTTTGGTATTTCTTTACTTTAATAAGTTTTTTGAGTCAAAATTGATACGTTTTGATTTCTAATCGTGATGATTTCCAGGTAGAGAGATTTGCCGCTGACGAATGTGATGATGCAAAGGAACGCGGTGAGGCTAGAGCTCGATTAGCCATGAAACTAGGGGCGCGACCACCAAAAAATAATTATTTCAATTACAAGCAACTCAAGGAAGAATTAAATGTGAAAAAGAATTTAGAAGTCGGACTTGATAAGCTTTCAGCTTTGAAAGCTTTAAAGAAATTGGCAGTGAAAAAGAAAATGAAAAAGTAGTTCCGAAAATAGCATAGCTTTTTTACATTTTCTCTTTCATTTATTTTTGGAACACACTGAGATGAAAGACACTTTGTCTAGTGATCACCGTATGATATTTCTACTCAGTATAACAGAAGCAACATGGTGATCACCAATCATTTTTGATTAATTGCGTTTTTCTTGGGAAAATGAATTTTAAATAATGTAAATGTATCGAACAGATATATCGGTTAAATTTGTTGTAAATGGAATTTTCACTGATGAATCTTAATTGTTTCACTTTTTTCTTTTTTTTTTTTCGTTGAATTCAATAAAAATTTTTGTAAACTATTAGTTTTGACAGCAGATAGTTTTATCGCAAAAGAGTACTTATTCGTAGGCAGTTGATGCCGCATTCCCGATTCTTTTGTTTGCTTGTGTTACTTTGATCTAACATTTTTTAGGAAATGTACTCTTTTTTAGGAGAAATAACATGTGGAAGGAAAGTAGTAAATCTTCGGAAAGCAAAAGTAATGGCGAAAAAGCAAGTGATGTAAGTTATATTTTAGTGTAAAATTCATTCTTCTGTGGATCTTGTAGCTTTTATTTTATACGTTGTTGAGATTCTGGTAGTATGCAACGTAATCTGTAAGAATTAACAGATATCAATACAAATTCATCTATAATGCTGTATTTCTCTAGTATTTAACATATGCAGGACTAATATACTGAATCTAATGCATGCTAATTGACTATATCAAAGAAAGAAGAAGGGTTGAAACTAATCGATGAATCAATAAGCGGATAGATTGATGGAGAATTATAATAATTTATTTCATGAGTTAATAATGCACGACGGTAATGTAGTTTATATGTAGTTTCTCACCTGGAAAGGTGCATTTCTGATATTCAGTAATGTTGTTTTCACGGGAAATTTTCAGTTCTGCAAATTTTAGGAACGCAAAAGTGGCGATGTTGTTGAAAGAAGTGATGAAGATTCGCGTTCAAGATCTCCATCGGAGGCATCTAGATCTCGTTCACGGTCCTTTAATCATGTTTAATTGTATTTTATAAATGATCATTTAAAATGCTCAAAGTATAATTAATTTGCTTTCTTTTCCTAAATCTTATTCAATTGTCTTTTATTTTTATATCAGCTTGGCTACTTTGCAGTGATCGCAGACAATCGAGTTCATGCTCTCGTAGTCGTTCGAAAAGTCGTTTAAGGTAATCGCATACAGTTGATTATTTTTGTTGTTGGAAATAAGAATATATATTTGGGAAAGAAGATATATATTAATACATATAAAATTAAATTATCTGACTGATTTCTGAATTAAAAAGCATCTCTTATTTCAGTTACCCAAACTTTCCACCATCAAATACATTTAGATCAAGTCGTCGTTCGCGATCTCCACGATATCGCCGCAGTAGTTATGATGATCGCAGATACACATTTTCTCGACGAGATGAGCCAGAACCGTCTCGATGTCTCGGCGTTTTTGGCTTGTCTCTTTACACAACAGAACGTGACCTCAAAGTATGTGTTTTTCGAAAATTTTTCATTCGCTATAAGGAACAAAAGATTGTTTTCGTCACCCAAACTCATCTCCTGAAAAAGAACAAGCATTCTCGTTTTCTCAAATAGAAACGCACCAACAGCGGTATATTCTTAACCACCGTTTGATGTAGAATGCGTTTGCAGGAGGTGTTAATTACTGTTTGAGTTTTCAAATGAATTGTACTGATATCTCATTAAAGCTATTAGGTCATTCATTAAGGCAATTATGACTAAAGTTAAATTGAACTGAAGAAAATTTACAATATCATATTGCTAGCGTCATAAGATCGGAGAGGCTTTCTGGAAATTTTCGACTTCTTGTAAAAATTTTCAGGAAGTCGGGCAGTACAGAGTACAGACGTTTTTTATAAACGTTAATAATACAAACGTTTTTTAAAGGAATTATTCTCGCAGTATGGAGATTTGGATAACGTTCAATTGGTGTTTGACCATCCAACCGGACGTTCGCGGGGTTTCGGTTTTGTATATTTTAAAAAAATCGAAGATGCCATAGAAGCGAAGGAGCGAGTGGCAGGCACAGAAATTGACGGCCACAAAATTCGAATTGATTATTCGATAACAAAACGACCTCATACACCGACACCTGGCATATATATGGGAGCTGTAGATTCCCGTCGACGGGGACCACCGCGATCATATCGTCGGAGTCCTTCTCCATATCGTAGTTACAGACGATATCGAGATAGCCCACCAAACAGATATTACAGGTTTGTTGATAGATTCCAAATAAGTAAAGTATGGGAAGCATAAGGTATTTGTGTTTTTTGATTGAAAATGAAGTGAAATTTAAAAATTTTCATCGCCATTTTCATGGTTTTTTGCAGAGGATATGATTACGACGATTATGATCGTTATTCGCCACCATATCGGGACCGTTATAGACATAGTCCATCCCCTCGTTACTACGATGATCGCCATCGGAGGCGTTCTCGATCTTACGACCGTGACAGGGACTATTATTAATTAATTACAAAGAGTCCTTTCCTGCAAAAGCAAATGTTTTTTTTTTTTTTTTTTTTTTTTTTTTTTTTGTAAAGTAGCGGTTGTTTTTTCTTTTATTTACATTTATTGTTTGGTTTGTGCATTTGTTTTCCTGCTGATTTTCTTGTCTCACTGTGAAAGATAATACCCTTTTTTTCCAAAAAATTTTTTGTTGCAGTTCGCTGCAAGCCAGAAACGCTTGAGTGAAGTGATGATAAATGAAGAAAATGAAATGAAGAACTTTGAAGAACACAAATAATTCTGATGATGAAGAAAGAATGATGAGGAAAAACAGAAGAGCTCTGGGATTTGTTTTGGTTTGAAAAGAGAAAATTTTATATGAAAAGAGGAAAAGGTGAGCGTTATTGCTTGCTTAAATTCAAATTTCAGCATTCACCACAGCAAAGTTCTTTCCTCTGAAAAAAAGAACGTTGGAATAAGCATGTTCAGGTAATCCTTGTATTCAGTGTTACATATTACGCATCACACGTGGTTCAGTCTTTGAATATGAACTAGCGTGTTTATGGATTATTTGTATTGAATGACATTAAAGCTGATGTGTTTTGTTTTTCACAGTACATTCAGCATTGTGTAAGTTTCCTTTCTGCTACACTCACTTCTGAATGAAAAAAATTAATATTTATGAACATTTCATTCTTAATCAAAAACCAATCGATGTTTCAGTAGCACTGTTAACAAACAAGAAAAAATTGCCGAAACAACTGTGTATCAAATCTCCAAAAAAGTTGAGTAAATGTTATTTATGATTACAGAAAATTTATCACTTCATATATCTGGGATAGGGTATCGTGAAACGGGCTCTGATTCAAGTGGTTTGTAAAACCCAATAGAGAATAAAATTTTGCAGAGAAGATTAGAAGACAGTTGTAGAGTAGGAGTGAATACCACATGCTGTCCAGAAAAACTAAGACAAATGTTGTGACTCTTATGTAGCATGAACTTATAACAAGGCGTACAATTTGCAATAAGGAGTGGACTTGTCGTGAGGATCAGCTAAGTAAAGTGCTGTTAACTTCGTCAACAGTGCGAAGGAAATCAGCTAGACAAAGAACTGTTAATCATTCAGATCCCAAATCTACGCTTTGCTAAAAAAACTTGACAAATTCCAAAAGCTTTACTAAGAAAACTATAACAATAAAAATGAGCTCAGCTATATAGAAGTTGGGTTTTCTACTTGAGGAACTTCCAAATTGAAACATCATTTGTGGAGTTTTATTTTATTTTTTTTTTTTTCAGACCTGAAGTGCTATCAACTTGAATTAATAGCTTAATCACTGAAATAAGCTCATTTAATTCTTTAGTGTCAGCACCACTAACTGAATTCACTGTTAATCTAAGAGGTTATAGGATGAAAGAATAGATATTAAGGTCTTTTCCATCCAATTCAAATAGTCAGTCATGAGTCTTCTTTTAAAACGTATAAGCGATACTATTAAAAAGTATAACTTATAATAGGGAATGAGCAAAATTCTTCCTGAAATGTGCAAATGATATTGAACACAATAGTAAAACATTTATGCATGCCAAACCTTCATTTGCGGCAGAATTAATAAAGCAATCAAAAACTGATAAATGGTTTCTATTTTAAAACAGAAATCAATGTTTTCGAAGGCGAGGTTTTTTCTCCACCACTTCTATTGATTCTATTTTTGGCTCGGGTGAAGCATCCGATTTTTCCACTTTCATGAGACGGAGTCTGAAATAAATGACGAATCTAGTCAAAACTGCACTTGAGATCTAAACAGTTGAGGCCATGTAACACAACTTTATGATAAACATGAACTACGTTATTGAAATCATATATGTCATGAACTAACTGAATTTCCGAAATACATAAAAACAGATGAGCAGCTAACCGGTATTGTTCCTCACGTTGTCGTATGCGGTCCCGGCGCTTGACCAGCTTTTCTTGTTTTTCATATTTCTCATGTCGTTTCAGATAAGCTTCATCGGTACAGACCTACAAAAACTAAATATTAATGGGCAACGAGTAGATCTACAAATTCATCTACAAGAAACTCCATTACTTTAGGAAGAATACTGAATAAGTAACATCGTACCAGATATCTATCCGCCTACTTTTATCGTTAAAACAGTCAAATCATTTTCCATATACCTTATAAAAAGCTTTGCCAATATCTTTGAATATTTTCTTGACATAAAGAAGCTATCATTCACTCCATGCAGATAATTTGTACAATTTAATGGAGAACAATCTTTACTCACAATTTATCACCCAAAGTTTTTACCTACTGAAACATTTCATATCCCTGAGATAAAAGACAAACTTCTATGTTATGACGTGGAGTAGCTCTGAGCGGCTCCAGATCGTGCACTTTTCGAAATCCTGGACACTCTACACGAGAATTTTCGCTAGGTTGTGAAGGCTTCCTCACTAACTCGCTGTATCCCTTTTCCTTCAAACATTTGGAAGTGAGAGAACGTCGACCGTTCATGTGGTCTGGCTCTTACTTGTTAACAGCAATGAAGGACTTATAATGTTGAACTATTTGACCCAGTAAAAGGGATTTGTCGATCATATTTATGCTAATTTATCCAACATTACTATGAGATAGAAAAAGAACAATTTTTTTCAGACCTACATCCTTTTACTTAGAAATGGATTCAGACTAAGATAACAGCCAACATATCTTTAAACCAACAGATTAAGATGTAACATGACCTATATAATTCAAGCTTCCAATTCAGTAATTTCATTGGTGACAATTTTCATTATGCTTGGAATAATAGTAAGTCATATTACCAAGAAGTCGAGGTATGACTGACCTGTTGAAGAACAACTCGGTACGCATTGTTTCCCACTAGTAAAGGTACACGTGCTAATGTTCTGCGAGCAATATAGGCATGAGCGTGATAGAATTCATCATACTCATCATTCTGCAGATAGAATTTGATCAGTAAGAGAAGGCAATGCTAAAGCATTATGATAACATGTGATCTGGAAATCTCACTCTAAAACTCCGTTGAATTATTGAAACCTTATAACTTCGAGACGTACTCCTTCTTTAACAATTGTAAAAACTATAATTACTTAATTTATGACAAAATAAGCATATCTACTTACTTGTTAAATGCATCTACGTCACTAACACATCCCACTATAAATCCTTTAGAATATGAACTTACAATACGTACTGCAGCAGCTCGAGTAGTGGCACGATCAGGATTGTTATGCAATGTATTTAATGATATGGCAATCCGCAAAGGTTTTCCCATACTCCCTACGGTACATCACATTTCTAATCCGAAGTGTTCTTCAAACAATTTTAAACAGCAATATGAAAGAATAGAAAGCAGTAGAATACGAATCAGTTAGTGTTGGATTTTCTCATTTTATTCATTTCACTACTATTTTTTCACATGCTGTGTACAGTTCCATAGATTTTTCGACAATTACTACAAGTGTTGCATCTTTAGTCTGTCTAAACATCTTTTACTGAGAGGTAAAGTAAACCAGCGATTTTCGTTCTAGCTCTAAAATTCTAATAGTTAAATAATGAAGAACACTGGAGCTCTACCATAATTTCCTGGATTCATCATTTTTTTTCCTTCTATTCATCCTAATCTATACAGAAAAGCCAGGAAGAATATTAGTTATGCCTCTTTCCACCATGTATTTGAAATTCGTGAGCTGTGAACAGAAATTGATATACAACAAAGACTGAGAGGGACCAATCCTTAATATATGTATTTCAATAATTCAATCCAAAATGAAATAAAACTAGAAGAAAGCAAACTACTACCCTAAATGAGGACTGCAACATCACACAGCACTAACATTCATTAATGTGAACTAACATCCCGCATGAACTATTCGTTGTTGTGAATCACCTTAACAAAATTCGTCCTTTAGCAGATCTATGAGCTATCTGAACCCGGGAAAGCAATAAATGGCATAAGAGATGAAGATATGGCACGCACGGTAAGATATTTCGTGATAATTCACTTGGGAATAGATATACACTCTGAATTGAGCAAGATGTATATGAGAATTAATTTATCAATCCGTCTCATTTAATTAGATGTAAAGTGTGTTGTACAAAATTTGCTCTAACTCGAAATGAAATACTTGTGCTCCAACTACAAATTATTTATAGTAGACAATCATTTAATGCTATTTCAAAAGGTTTATCATCATGAAATTACAATAGTAAACTTGCATATATGAAAAAGACGCATATATGAAATGAAATTCGCTGGCGTCAACGCTTTGTTCCAGCGAATCATTTCAATTGACTTTATAAAATTTATGTCTTCGAGGACCTGATAACGTTGATAGGTCGTGATACAAATATTGGTCACTTATTATTTAGATTCTTTTGTCCAATCAAATGGTTCCCACAGACGTTTCAGTTCGATAGTATTCGCTCGTTGCTCTTCCATAATTAAATTTTCATTCATTCTCCATACCCTTCTTTCCAGATTCATCATACCACCGATTATTTCCTCAAATAGAAGCATATATTCCGATTGTGTAAAATGAGTTTTTGCGAACATAATGCACTGTTTGTAATTCAGCAATGTTGTTAACGAAATGTTTCCTAGATCATCCAAAAACTCCCACATCATTCCTTCTGATTTCAAAATATTTTTTTACAACTCGAGTGGTTCCAATTGCTTTAGGTAATCGGGAAATCTCTTTCAAGTAAACTAGAATCTGGACTATACTCAATGGCTAAATGCCATTTAAGAAAGAAGAGAAAAAATGGATGAAAGAAGAGAGGGGAAATTTAAGAATATACGCTGTTTATTAAATTTTCATTTCCAGCTTTTCGTAAAAGACATTTCCAAATCCTAGATCGATGGATAACACTTTCTTACCAATAAATGTCTCCTTTGACTTTAACATGAATTTTACCTGCATTTAAATTAACTTAAACACACGATTTCCCTTGAATGCAAATGGATGCATATTTGAGGAATTCCTACGTTAAAATAAAATCCTCACTAGAAGTTTTCATCTAGATAGAGATCCCTTTCTTTCTCCTTATTATAATAGTAATCAAAAACGCACATGGGCAAAATTCTGCGGAAATCGATTTTCATTTTCAATAACATGCGCATAACCCGGTTGCAAACCAAAATCGACAGCAAAATATGAGAATCCTTTGGGAATAACTTTTCGAACATTTCCACCTCGTTTACTAAGATCCAGCAATTTCTTATTATCGACCCATTCACTCTCACTATCATCGATCGCTTTCTGAATTGATTTTAAATATCAATAAAGAGACGGGTTTTCGAAAATGTAGTCTTATTTACATACAATTATTAGAAGACTGTTCTAAATGCCCAAACATATTTTAACTTCACTCCTAATCAAAACAAATAATCGAATAGAGTAGCTATGTCCAGGAAAGCACTCATTACAGAATTCCTACAAATAACATATTTAGAAATATTAGTGTTTGAATCTAACAGAGAATGTCTCTAATTTCGTCGGAATGACTTTTACCACCTGCATGTTAATCACATATTAAATGACTAATAAATGTTTAATAATGCCACTGTACGAAAGATTGGTTAAAAAAACATGAATACTTAATATTTTAATTAACGAAAAAACCTTGAAATAAACAGGTGCCACTTCACCAATTTTGCTCGGTACCGCAATACATTCAATATACATGTGCTTACGGTGTTTCACATTTTTGGCTGTTTCAACGAATAAACAATCCATTTCTTTTGCTTGCCACATTGAAACTAAAGCCTGTATAGCGATTTATTATTTTTATTGGTGAAAGAAAAATATGACAATGGATGCTTTATACAATTGCTAATTTGTTACCTTCCAATAGTTATCTCTTTTTGATATGAAAGTTGGACTATGGAATTCTGCACTATCTTGTTCCACCCAGAATTCCGGATTATTTTTAGAACTCAGAACTTTTTATTTTTAATATAGAGTTTTGCACTATCTCTAGAAAGTCTCTTTTCAAAACAAAATACTGGACTATGTAAGGTTCTGTGCTATCTTTTAATATACCATACTGTATTCTCTCTCTAATGAAACATTTAAAACTATCGATTCCGGGATTCCTTTTTTCAGTGTAGAATTCTGGAAATTTTAGTAGTCTAACCATACAAAGGATATTTCAATGCGTTATGATTTAAATCTGCAATGGCAAAACATGTGCCCAGAGAAAATTTTTCCTTAACATAAAACAACGTTATATTTTATTTGATTTTTTTTAAAAACTATTTTTTAAGCAAACTTTACCACATAATTCCGATATAAAAATACATATTTTTATGAAACTAAAGAAAAGAAAAAAACTGAAAGAAAAACATTTGCTGCAAATCTCAAATTACGCTTGGAAAGCAAAAGCAATTCATTCAAGCTTGCTAAAATTGTTTTCAGATCTTGGAGCTAAGACGAAAATTTAATTAACCTTGATAAATGTTCTTTATTTGTTTATCCCTTCTTACACTAAGACAATCGTTTTAGTGTTAGTAGCTTAACACTGTTACAGTGGTTCACACTGTTACACTTAATGATCAGTCTTCCGTATCTCTCCAGCAAGCCTATTTCATTCAAATGAAAATGCCAATGCGAACAAATATGATTGGAAGAATACAAAAAGAAAATATCAAATGGGGCATACTCTTTTAAATTTCCATATCTCTTCATAAACATCTTCGTCAAGCGTCACAGTTGAAGAATAATGAGCAGTGGGAACAATCAAACAGTGTTCTTTTATCAACGGTCGCCATGGAACAGATGAAAGATAGGCCTAAATTATATAATGTTAACAAAAACCTGTACCGTTTAAATCTTTTTCACTACTTGAAAAAATTTTTTAATGAAATCTCGGAAAGAATTTCTCTGGAAATTGAATCATTTTCTTTACAAAACTATTTCTGTCAGTTTTTTAGTTTTGAGCTACAAGTATCATTGATTTCAGTTTTAAAATATTGAGATTATTAATATTATTTTTCAAACTGGTGAAATATTTTTGGTTAAGAATAGTGTCTAAAATATAAGTATTTAAATACAGTCATGATTATTTTTTGCTATTTTTACATGCTATAAAGTTTTAGGCAAAAAAGAACATACCTTCTTTCCACATGTCACCATACAATGCTTTCGAAAACATACTGCCTCGATACAAAACTGACAAGAATCAAGAGTTTGCTCATAAATTTTGTTCTCTGAAAAAAATTTTTTTTTGATCAATCTGAAAATAAAGCAGTTAATAGTGGGTAGTAGCCACATCGTTTGTCCAATATAACTTTCTTCGAAAGTTCAACTTAAATCCTTTTCTATCAGTTATTGTACTATTGCTGCTACTAATAAAGGAATTATTATCAGTTATTGTACTATTACTGCTACTAATAAAGGAATTATTATACTCCTCTGTCATCCCAAATATTTACATCTACATTCAATGAATCTTCCTGAGATCAACAACCTCTTCCAAAATAATAAATTATCAAATCTTCCATGACATTCTTAGCACAGATATCTGAGTTCCATTGAAAAATCGTAATTCTAATCTGAAGTTCATTTGCGACAACAGCCTTCTGTTATTTAAAATATCCAAATCCAAATGTAAAAACCCAAACTTAACGTTGAAATTAGTCATACTTAAGATAAAAATGCCTCATCAAAACTCGTCAATTAAAGAAATAAGGCTGTTTAGCTTTTTTAAAAATAATGCAAAACTATCCGATCAATATGACTTCAACTTTCTACTCAAAATTTTCATACCTAACACCATATCTACTCAAAGACGTATGATCATTGTGATTATTCCTGTTGAAATAATTCAGTGGTGGGACGAGATGAGCATTACGAAAGCATTGTAATTTGCATGCTATGTCTATTTTAGATAGCCAACTAAGCAAATATTTTGCATTAGTTGATGAAGAAATTGTGACTAATCAGGCATCCCCAGAATAAATCATTCTGTTGTCAACAACTAATGACCGGATAAATAAGTAAATGGCACTCATTCTGTCACCCTCTCCCTCCAAAACATAGTACATACCATTCTGTCCTTATCATGAAGGCCTCTAACTAATGTGATGAACAAAAACAAGATAATCTTATTTCTTTCCAAAAAAATTATATGTTCTTCAATTTTGTTTGACATTATATGTCAAATGTGGGTTGAAATTTAATAAATTTAGCAGTAATTAGCAGAAACTTGTAGGAATCACCGGAAATTTGCTAGAAAAATTCAAAAAAATTATCCTAATTTTCACTTCACTTTCTCACATCTTTCTTACAGCATTACACATAGGCTAATGTCCATACCCATTAAATGCATTTCTAAAGATGAGGATAGGAAAAATTTTTATCAAAAATGTAAACACTTTACAACTTCAATAGTATCATAACTAAACTCTTCACATTATCGCTACTATCATTTATTATAATTTATCTTTCTTGTAACCGCTAATGTTATCAGTACTGTCATTAAAAAAAAAAAAAAATTATTTCTCAAAATCCACTAAAATATGATAATAAAGGTAAAAGTTGCAACTTTCAGCACAGAAGCACAAAAAACACAAAAAAGTAATGGCAAGTATTAGTGAGATATCTGATAACGAACTCTGTGTGATTGTTTAATGATCTTTTATAAGGTTGACAGAAAATCCCGTAGAATGGATTCAGTTAGCGCCATCTCAGCTCATGAAAATTTGTTCTTAACATTATTACTGGTACATTCATTATTATCGGTAGCTACCAATTCAATTATTTCAAAATCGATACAGTTAAAAGTTAGCCACGCTCCCTAGCGCAAAAACTTTCCTAATGTCTTCTTGAGACATTGAGAGCAGACGAGTGCTACGTACTACACATAAATATGTAAACTCAGCGACAGTTTTGAACGAGTGCAACTGAAAGGAGAGAAGGAGGGAAGAATAGGGAAAAATGAAAATAGTTCATGATGAGAGATCATAGCATGAAAAATTGACATGAAAGAAAAGGAATGGGAAAGACGATCACGGTCACCAATATCAATATTGTTATTTTCATCACCATTAAAATTGACATCATCTGTAGTAATATAGCGAAAAGAACGTTTGTTGAGAAGTGGAATTTATGGCAGTAGCGGTCCGTTCTATTAGTTCCTGAATTTGACATTCAATTCTCATTAACCGAGAAAATGTTGTGGCGGCACTGCACAGCTACCGGTAGACATCCAATTCGGCCTCATCAGAACTTAGTCCTGTTTTTGATTGCTGGCATTCCGGTATTTACTTGGGCTACCACCGAATGGTTTGGCGATTCAAGAGCATACATGAATACTATTCGATCACCGCCATTTCATGATGTTATTTATGATATTCCCGGTTAGTCACCTAGCTCTGTAGGTAATTAAAGACCATTCTAATAAGGACTGTGAGAATTAACTGGAATCAATTAGAAAAATCAGAAATCAGAAGTTAGTCCTATTTTTGATTATTTAATTGCAACACAGTCTCATGTGCCCCTCGTCCAATAAAATACAACACTGAGACATATAGTTAATTATTTGTTTTCAAATGTTTGTTTCCAATGTCCTTCATTTTATTTCTAAATTACAAGATTAAAGTTCCATATAATCTTATAATTTCCTGAATTTTTGATAGAGGATATTTTCGAACTTACGGATCTAAAGTTCAGCAGGGATAAAATGTTCTTGATTGCAGAATGTCCAGATGGACTGGAAAGTGAAGCAATACCGGAATATGCATATTTCGGACCAATGATCACATCCATCGGTGTCTTGAAGCATGTGGAATGTTTGGATAACTGCATCAAACATTCGAAATGTGTTGCAGTTAATTTCTTCGCACCTATGGCGTTTCAGGCAAGCTCCAGCAGTAAATTCTTCAAGTTTACATAAAATAAAGCAGTCGAGATTCAAAAAATCTACTGACTTGTTTTCGCAGATAAGTCATTAATTTCAAAATGAACAATCATAAATAACTTACTTATATTCGCAAGTTTTCAAATACAAAAATTGGATGTGATTGGTGATTTTTTTTCTTTTTTTTTTTTCATCTTTTTATTAATCACGTTTTAGCCAACAGCAAGGAAATTTTTTAGAGGAATGGTTTTTGTGAATTGTTAAGTGAATCTCAGCTGGATAATCCCAAACTCATGCGACCATATAAACAAGCTGCTTATTTTGAAAATATTCAGTGTCGAGCAGGGAATGATATTGTTGATGACGTTGGTAAGTTAATTAATTTAATATTAGGATTAGGAAACTGATACAGAGTAAAAGAATATCGGAAAACAAAAAATCACGTCAAAATTTTATCCTTTGGTTTCAACTAATGTAAAAGGAAAAACATGGTATAGTAGAGATGTGATTAAGACATCAGGAATCTAGAACAGTATTTCATCCAGGCTCATTCATCTTAATCTTCCCAAATATTCTTCTTCTTCCAGACATTAACCAATTGGTTAAGTTGTCGAAATTTAAACGAAAAGATGAATGGAGTAGAGGATCTCCGACCTAATAAACTAATGATTAAGAAATAATGATGATTAATTCCATCCCTCTAGCCTGTTCAGCTAGTATTGCTGATATTTTACAATAAGATATTCAAACCAAGATAAAAAAAGGAGCAAAAAAGAGAGATAAAGAGATCTTCTGATCACAATCTTCCAATTCATTTGAAGAAATTTGATTTTAAAAAATGTTCAGAAGTCACAACAATACCTTATGAAAAATAGCCAAAACCCCTGCAGCAGCCAATGATTCGCTATAAAAAATCCTTAACTTTAATTACGGAATTCTATCTTCACAAAGCACCATTAATTAATTTCTAATATCAATCTGCAGTAATGCAGAAAATACACCTCTTAACAGATAAAAGCTGATATCCATGAACACTGTTAACTTGTTTTTCTGGATTTGGTAAGAGGTTAATCATATTAGACAGTTAATTGACGGGTGATGAATAAATGGGCAATTTCGAAAACAATCTGTTTTATTAGACTTAATTTAATTAATTAAAATAAATCATGTGTACTACAATTTTTTTTATTTATTTATAAAAAGATAATCTTTTGCAGAGTGCTCTATACATTATTAGAAGTATGAAGTTTATCGTAGCTTATTGAAAGTTGAAGTTTATATAAATCTTCTCTTTAACATTATTCAGTTTACGTTAAATTATTTTAACTCAAACTCAAATTCAGCAAAATGACAGGCATAAAATAAATTGAAAAAATATCTCGCTAAACTATAGAAGAAAACCAGTCGGAAAGACCGAAGGATGATTCGATAACAATTCTAAAGAAATTGTCAGAACAAGTGGACCAATATCGACAATGATGCTAAACGTTAGAATCAAGGATTACGGTGACGTTAAGGAGGCAAAATTGAGAATTTCGAAATATCCAAACTTTCTCGATGAAAGGATATATTTTTATGTGTATTAACATGTTCGCCAGATCTATGAATTTTACCATAAAAATAATTGATCAAAGCTACTGCTTTTCTAAACTAATATGAATCTTACCATTCTTAATATCCATAGTTTAAAAATATCGAATCAAGATACATTTTCAGACTCCATAAAGTGCACTATTTTGTTTCTAACATAAAAATTTACAAGAGATAATAAGACGTAGTTCTTCTTTCTAAATGCATATAAAATTAATTTTTTAACCTTATTCTGTTCACTTAAATGCCTTCAACACTGTAGTTAGAAAAAAACTTAAGCTTTTAACACCAAATTCGCACTTAAAATACACGAAACTGGTGTTTCTGTACTAGTAACAAAAATAGCTTTCCGGTCCTTTTTCATTCAGGTACTCATCCATAGCGTTTTCTTCTCTCCCTCTCCTAGATCCTGATTCCGCCCAATTTCTTTTGTCATAGCTAATAGCTGTGGAGATTTAAGCGCCTTCATCTACGGATTTTGCATATTCATATTAGTTATAATTTATGCCTATTATCTCTATTACAACATACTGATGATTATCTGTCCAAAATCTTCACTGAAACATTTCATTTCACAAATAGTACATCAACTGTGAAACTGTGAAATCTATATCAAAATATGTTGAACACTGTGAAATCTATTTAAAAATATATTTTTAAGAATAATAATCGTTGTAAAAGAACATATGTTCTGCTTAAATGAATCAATCGGTGCAGTTCAACGATGGGAAATAATAATTACAAAGGCGTTGAGTCATCATCAATAATATTCGTAGATTCTATAATACTAGAGAAAAAGCAAAAATAAGCTTACCTCTTATTAGACTGTTTCGGTTCCTCTTTTGCTCTTTCTCTTCTCCCATCCGTGATCGCTTTATGCTCATCACTGCATCATCAATGACCCACTCTTCTTCCATTCGATGTTTCGCTGCGGCCTGCATATTAAAAAAGAAGCATAAAAATTATCATTTATACACAAATCCAATAGAAAATGAGTAGTATCAAAATTCGTTAATTAGGATTGACCTTAAAGGCGTTAAAAATATGACCAGCAGATGTTGTTTCTTTTTCTTCAGCTACCATATCATGGATACTTTGATCGGCATGATAAGTTGCTGCAATTTTGCCACGACTTTTTAAATCCTGAATGTATATTGTATGTTAATGTCTTATCAAATATCATTTTCAGTTCAACTGTAAAATTGTCGACAAAAAAAAAAAAAAGAGAACATAGCCAACAAATTACCTACATTTACTATTTGTATAAGTTAAAAAGCATGATGAAATCGCTGATATAAAAACTAATTTTTACTTATGTCACCTAAAAATATAAGTCAATTCATCGAATTTTTATCTATTTTATTAATCTATTAAAAAAAGTTGAAAGACAACCTTTCTTTTTAGTTTCATAGTAATAGGTATCCGCACATCACCTCCATCAGTTCTAAAGAGTATTTTAGAAGTCGAAGAATGGTCTGGTCCATCTTCTGTTAAAGCCTGCAACTGTTTCTCCAACTTTTCTACCAGAGACTGCAAAATTTTTAGATGTTTCGCTGAATAATGACCAATTTCCTAAGTTCTGGAGATTGCGGAGATATTATATTTGCCTGAAATTGTTCTTGTGTAAAAACAATGCGTTTTTAAAAGAACATACTACTTTTCCTTGTAGCTTCGCTTTTAATATCTTTGCACCAAGTTTATTGCGCTGTTCTAATCCAGTTTTTTCTTCCCTTATTTCGCCAGCATTTGGATCGTTCTCCATTTTTACATTACTTTCTAAATATTAATGAAATTACAGAAAAAAAAAAATATTTATAATACTCTTAATACAAAAAAAAAAAAAAAACGATTTTGCATTCTGAACGCAGAATGCAAATTCCACAAAGAAGCTACTTATTTCATGCTCCATACCAATACTGCAAAAATTTTGGAGTTCTTGGGAAAATTTTTTTAAACTAGGAAGGCAAAAATCAATATTTGACTTTAAATTAATAACGATTAAGGATCAATACTTCTCTGCACGCTTCCAGTAACAAAATCTTTGCCAGCGGCATAACTGCCTAATTTCCGAGCGAACTTCGGATCAACTGGTCTCGCTTTAACTAAGCGAGATTTATCTTCACTATCGTTATAATCGACAGGTTTCAGAAAGCACGACATCTATAAAAAAAGCAACATGAAATCAGTCTTTTAGTTCGTAAATACAAATCAAATGATCAGCACGTTACACGAAAAGTAATCAATCAACAAACACCAAGATAACAAAGCAATATCGAAATTAGTTAATGTGAAACAAATCATAGCGAATAATTGATATTGCATGTATTTTTAAGAGTTCCAATGCATAATTATTTCAGTAAAGATCATAAGACTTACGCTACAGCACATACTTTTAATTAAATCTAAACATAATAAATGTTTTCTGCACTTGATGCCAATTGCAAAATAAAATAAAATTTGTAATATCAGATTTAAAATAAAATCAAATTCAATTTATCAATTGATTTATACGATTCCTCAACAAAATATAAGTAAAGGGGAAGTTAATAAGAAAAACTGAAGCATCCTATTCTCGTTTGTTCCTTGGCATATTTTATGTGGTAACTGAGTAAAACAGAGAGGAGTAGTGAATTCCCTTTGTTAACTTATAATCATGCAAATGATAAAACTATTAAATTATTTAACCTATAAATCATAAAATCTCTTCTTGGATCTTCTTTATGCTACTTACTTTTGGACTGAAAACAAGAACATACCGAACTACAGACTATCATTGGATTATGCGCACAATCACTCGCTGCACAATATCTTCCCACAAATATTCCATTTGTCTAGATGAAAATAAAGAATACTGTGCACCAGATAATGGTGCACCCAAAATATTTCCTGGAATTTGGCGAGAAAAACTTGCAATCACTCACAGTCTTCCTTCAAGACTACTATTGATTATGAACAACTTGATTCAAATTGATTAAGACTCAAAGACTAGCAACTGATTCCAACATTTTTGAGTTTCTTGACTGTACACGTAGATCCTTTACTGTTGCAATTTTAGCGGCCGAAACTTGATAAAGCTAAATTAATCACAATACCAATCTACCCATATCAAGATTCTTAGTTTGTCATTAGTTATTAAATCATAGCTCACAAATATAATTGAAGCGTATGACTTACTTGCAGCAATTAAGCACAACGCATAATGTTTTACTACGTTATGTTTAAACAATTTATTAAATTCGCTTGCAATTTTCGGCGAAAATGCAGAAACATGTGGAAAGTTTGAATTTTAATGGAAAGAATGCGCGCAGCAAACTGGAAAGTATAGCTCAGAATAAAGCACAACAACTGAAAAAAGGACCAAAAAGTATGCCAAGTGTAATTAAAAACGAAGGTGCTTGCCGCACATTACTCTTCTAATGTGGTCCAAAATAGACTACGACAAAAACGCAGCAGCACAGCACGTGCCCTGTTTGTAACTGATCTTTACATACACTATCACTACGAGGTCTGTAAAACAAATGAAAATTCAATGCTTCACAGATGTAAAGCAGGTGCAAAAAACAAGAATAATCGTTACATCCTCTTTCAGAACTTTTATTTCTCACCTGGGGTAACACTACATAATTTGGGAGTTGAGCCTATTTTTCTTTCATATCTTCTTCCAAGAAGTCAAAGACTGATACTTTAAAGCATGGATTTGATTCAAAACAAAATAGGAAATGTACAATTTCTTCTTCGCTCATCCAAAACATTACTCAGAAAATAGTACCGAGTACCTGTTCTGTATCACATACATAATTTACAATTACAAAAATACTTCCTCATGCAAAGAACATCTGTAAGTATCGATACTCTCTTTTGAGAACAAAACAGAAGGGATAAATAGCTGTACTCACCGGATTTCAAGTGCGTTTATAAAAAAGAATCGCACGAGGGTTAACCTGAATTCAAGATAGAGTAAGAAAAATCATGAATAAATAGGGAAAGCAGAGTTGAAATCAATGAGTCCATTGTGTATCTGTCCATCCTGTTGATGATGCAACTTGGTAATACGCTGTGGCGACAGGAATAGCATTAGCGGGATCTTGTTGTGCTGTTGTAATGGTAGTACGTTGGCGAAATAACGCGTAGAGATCGCTATATCGTTCACGCTCACGCGTGAGCTCACGTTTAAGCCCCTCAACTTCTTTACTTAACTCTGCATTTCTACGTTCCAGATCGCGCATGTAGTCATCATCCAAGTCGTAACGCGCACGCTTAGCATATGCATCAGTAATTCCATATGGATGGGGACGACGACTGGGGTAAGCAAAGTAAGATAATGCTAGGCTTGATCCTCGCGCTAAGGGTGACAATACAGAAGCTGGCATGCTGCGTGGTATCCGGCGGCGTCGCTCACGCTCTTCCTCAACGTTAATATGCCAGTAGCGGCACCGCTGTCCACCGCGTGAGCATGAGCCTGTTTGATATTCTTTACAAAATGGTATCGCATTGATAGTGTCGCAATTATAAACCGCAGCAATTTCGCGCGCTAAATTAAGAGTCACCTCCCCTGTCATTTTGTAACGGTCGACATCCTCCCGATGCGCATGAATATAGCGGCAATTATCGCGATGGCAGCCACGATTCTGAAATTTCACATCGCTGCATTAACTTTTTGAGTGCTTCCTTTGCCTACTCTATGATCTGGATTTCGGCTCGAAAACGAACTATCCTGCAAAATATTTCATTTTCCAACTATCATGACAGCTACTCCTTCACAATAAACGCATGGCTCGAATTTAATAGCTAATTTCATCCAGTATCCTTACTACTTTAAGGATCCATACATTTATCAATAAATATTAAACAAATTGACTCTAAGGTCGCTTCCATATCAACATCAAGTAATGATTTACCTGATAGTCAATGCAAAACCGATATTCGATGCCTTCCGGTGTTTGCTGTGAAGCCCGTTGTCGAATAATACTCGGAGGATGATAAAATTTACATCTTGAGCCACGATTGCACATATTATTCAAGAAATCTCTGTAATTAAGAAGTTAAGAAGCTGAAGAATATCCACTATTAAATACGAAGATATATAATATATAGATATCTCACAGTTGTTTTATGTTCATTACTATATCTTCCAACTTCTCTCCAATCATTATCTTTATGGACACAACTCAAACCTTCTAATAAAATGCTATAAGCTAACCTGCAGATATCCTCTCGAGCAAGCTCTTTTCCTTCATCATCATTTCTTTCGACTGACTCTCCTTTTCCTGCTCCATTGCCGCCACCATCATTTATTCGTAGTTTATTTGAGGTTTCCTCCGCATTATCACTACTGTTTCTTCCCGTCTTTTTAGAATCGCCATCAAGATACTCACCTTGTTTCTTCATACCATTCATCTGTGCGCTTTCTTCATGGGACATTCCTTCCCGACCACCACTCACTACTGGAATATAGTGGACCAACTTGAGGTATTCCACTGCTAAATCTTACCCCTTTAAGAATCACTCCCTAGTTTATCCAAATGACATATTCCAAACTATCTTTATTGGTTAATGAACTGTCAAGCAAAGGATCAACTAACCCAAATATTTTCAGCGAAAAATCACATGCATCAAGAAAAGCGTTGATAATTTCCTTGCTTAACAGCTGTTATACGGCATAACAGCCAATCTCAGTTTATTTCCAAATAATACAGTGAGTGACTTAATTATAAACACAACGGATTTCATTCAGAAAAACGTAAATTTATTGGTAGTAGAACCAACTTCTTTTTCCGATCAGAGTTAACAAAGAATAAAACGAAATAAAATTAAGCTGGAGGAAACAAATATGAAAAGCGAACATCAACACAACCGTGGTGAAAATAAGCAACATTTACAAGTACGACATTTGAACCACCTTTATCGTGTTAATAGATAATTGTAGAGCAATAAGACAATTTCCGAACACTGATAAAAATATATCCGAAAATGTGTATGAGATTAAAAAGTTGAGATTGCAGTAGAGGCGAGTATGGGTAAAGTCAGAAGCAAACTTTAAATTAGAAGTTTCAGATACAGAAAAGGTTACTTGAGAAAGCATCACACTGTGACAAGTGACTAAAGAAACACAAATAATACATCAATCAAGCGAATTACTAATAAGAAATCCCTTAGAGCCTTACTGTTGCATCGCTCACAAACGATCAATCCAGAAGGTGAAAGAGGCATCACAGAAGCTGATCATATAAAAGGAAAAATTCATTATTAATCGAAGAATTCATTTTTTTTTTTTTAAATTCATTACGGCAATTTTGTTGATTTGTATAGTTGATAACTTTTCCCTCATTAACATCAAGGAATTATCAGAAGTTTAATCAGCAAATAAATCATGAAAAGTCAAAGCACTTCAATTTAAATAGTAATCATAAAGTGATAACCTGATACTTCTCAAAATTTGATGAATCCTTAATGAAGTACATTAAATTTCAGAATCATAAAATTGAAGCAAAATGGTCGAAATCATGCAAAAGTTTTATAAAATTCAGCACAGGAAATTCATAAGGATCATAAACAAAAAACTGCAAAGAAAGGAAAAGCTAACAGTATATATCACATAAGTTCTTTCACCAAATTTACTCTTGTTCCATTATGTAGACAATATGTAGATGTATTTCACAGCAATTATTTCATTAGAAATAAACCATATCGTGGATGTATGCTTTTCAAGCAGCTAAAAATACCAATAAATGAAGTAGTAATAAATAAATGATCATTCTTTAACTTACTCAAGAAGATTCAGGTTGAGAAATTCTATATTATACAAATATAAGTAAAGCAGACAATCCTTCACCTTTTTATAGGCAAATTATCTTACCAAAGAAAGCTTGAGATATATTGTTTTACTTTAACAATAATGGAAAAACTATAATGAAGACCTAACAAACCCACATAAATGACAATGCAAAATCACGACGAAGACCGATTCAATTTATTAGGTTTTTTTTTGATGTTACTGAGTTTACTCACGTGCAATACCAGGTATCTGTATTTACCATCAAACATACCATTATTCACCGAACCGGCATTTACTGACTGACTCGCTCCTCGTATGGAACTCTGCGCTGAAGTCAACACCGACATTGTCGTACCCAATGGTGAATAGTGTTGTCCAGGACGAATTGGTTTCGCTGAAACATAATTATAAGATTTCATTGAATCAATTTTACTACTGAATAATGAAACATATAAAAGACTAACCAATCTGAGGGGCAGTAAGACCTCGTCTAGCAAGATTTCTTTGACGTACAGCTTCTTTGATTCTTTCAACTTCATGTTGGTACCTAAAAATATAAGCTCTTGTAACTTTTACAAAGATATCTCTGTCCACAAACATCTATTAGTTACTAACTTTTTTCTATCCCGCATAGCATTTTCCTTTGTTTCTTTCAGCGCTGTTTCTAAACTTTTCACACGATCCATAGCAGCACGGAGTCGTTTTTCCATTTTTGGTAATTCACAACGTAGGTCAGCATTGTCGCGCACAAGCTTAAAAATTTTCCTTTGATTTCGAGTTTATGTGAGCAAAAATAAGTTTGGCCGCTGGAACCAGCAAATACAGAATTCAATCGGAATTACAATAAGTGATGATAAGATTTTTTCTTCTTATTTCTTAATTAAATCATAAAATTCAGATTAAACGGTAACTAAACAGTGAAATTCATCAACCTGTTTGTGAACTTTGGTTAGCTGGTCTAAATTGTTCTCTAAGAAAGCGATCTTCTGTTTTTGAGCCGGCGAAGACATATACTCGTCTTCATTTGGTTCCGTGCCTGTAGGTGCTCGTTTAATTCTCTGTCCAATATCCTGCACAAACATTTTACGAAGATTGTGCAACGTTTGCAGTTCTTTCGAAACTGTTTCCTCCAATCCTAAAAATGACAAAACTGCACTTCTTCAAAAACATTTGAGCAAATCATCCCAAATATTGGACGGTTTCTTCTTTTATTACAAATTCAAATCTTCGGCAGGAATATTAAAATCAAAAAACGATGCCTTTCAGATCACTTTTCGCCTGCTCCCGTTTTTCGGACAAACCAGACAATTCTTTAATGCGTCTTTCTTGTTCATGTTCATCCATTTTCAGTTTTTCGTAATCTGCTTGCAACTGATTCTTAGCGACTTGTAAATCTTGCAATGATGCCTGAAACGGACCAATCAACCATGTACATTCGACTGATTAGATATACAAATATAAATGAAAGTAAAGCAAAGAAATCTACTGACAGTTAAATCCTCAATTTTACGGCTTTTCTCGGCTATTTCATCTCTTAGTGCAGCAACTTGTTTGGCATGCTGCTCTTTTGCTTCATCGCTTATTTGTACAGCTTCACCACCTACGGCAGCTAATTTTTCATTCAACATGTCTACCTAAAATAACGTAAAACGCGAAAACAAAACAAACAAAAATTTCAAGCCAAATTAAACCAGTGTTCCTTAATTTCCTTCTCAAACATTCATTATGCAAAGTGAAAAAACATTGTTAATAACATTTCAGGAATTTCAGAAGTTGGAATGATTTTTGAAATTAAGGCATTTTACTTGCTCCTCAAGTTGACGTTTCACTTTTTCCTGTACTGTAATTGTTTCCTGCAATGATTTATTTTTCGCTTCATTTTGTTGCAGAAGTAATCGACAATCAGCTAAGTCCTTTTCGGTGGTTTCAAGTCTCTGTGTTACATCGCCAGAACCCGACTCTAAGCTTGACATTTTCTGAAACAAAACATGATTCCCAACAGTAACAAATCTTAAAGCTTAATTTCCATTACTATATCTCTAAAATGGTTTTACTGAGAAATTTTCAAAATTTTAGACACTCCCTACAACAACAGAAAGTATAACAAATAAAAAAGAGCAAAAAGATACTTGAAGTGTTGATTTGAAATCAGTGCTTAATTTTGATATGCAGATTCGTGCATGTGCGAACAGTTCTTCATCATATGGTCTCTCAATTCCATTCTCTGCATTAAACTGAAATGAAATGTAAATTATAAAACTAACCACTATAAAATTTTATAAATTAAATTCGAAAAGCAAGGTCACTGTTATGTAACTTTCAAACCTTAGCTGCATTTGCATAACTGCTACCAACTTCTGACAAATCTCTCAGCATTGATTGCATCGCATCAGTGATGCGCTTTTTCTGTGCTGCACAATTTTCACGCAGTGTTTCCAGTTCCGTAGTCAATTCTACGACTTTTACATTTTTCTTTGATAGCTCATCCTGAAATCGCGTCATAGCATCAATTACTAATGTAACAAGAAATAAATTTTTGGCACTTACACAAAGGAACACTTACACAGAGTTGTTCATTTTCTCGAGTTTTCTGCTCTGCTTCCTGTGTTTTTATATCGTAATTCATTGCAAGTTCTTCCAAAGCAGTCAGCACTTCCTTTGATTCTTCTTTTGAAGCTTCATTTTCACTCTGGATACGACTCACTTCCGCCTGAGCATTCTCATAATCGAGCTTGATCTGCCTAATCAATTCTTCCTTAAAATGAAAAATGATGACTTCACTCAAAGCTCTCATTATATCAAGGAAGCTCGAATAAATATTACTGCACTATTATCTCATAAAAAAAGAAAAACTAGCCTGCTCATTCATTTGCTGTTTGAGACGCTCAGCGAGTTGAGAATGCAAAGTAATTTCATCATCTTTTTCATCCAGCTGCAAACACAATGTATATAAACTAACATGTCTAATATTTCAAAGAATTAAAGAAGTGCAGTTCAGATAAGACGAATAAAAACTGAGAACATTCGCTTTTGAAATCAATAGTTCAACTGAAATGGAAAATCTGCGTAAAAATGTGAATGGCTAACAAAAATTCCATTTCCCCATATTTCATAGACAACATTATAACAAAAACAGAGGAATATAACAAATCAAATAGTTAAGGGATTTTACAAACTAGAAACAAACAATTATTTAAGTTTCAATCTTAAATAAAAAAATTCCGACTTGTTGATACAGTACTGATCGTTCTTCTTCATACTTCTTTCGATCGGCATCGGTAATTGCACCAATTGCTGACGTTAGTAATGGTACTGGAGCAACCGAAATCGATCTGTCAAGTGAACCGAGCACTGAGTCACTAACAGATGGTGACAGTGCTAAAATTTAGTTTCATTTTAAGAAGAAGAACGTGAAAAAGTCTTAACACCTTAATAAGCCTTGAAAGTTTTGAAAGAAGATTATAAACGGTGGTAAGATATAAATAAACCACAGATTTAATGATGCCGTCAGATTTTAGCACAGAAGATGAGAGCGTATTATAAATAACCGATAACCTACATTCTACTCCAGATGGAAGTTGCAGATTCATAGCAGCGCCTTCAAGCAAGCTAACCCAGTCTGCTTCAGGCACTTTTTCCCCTTTCCTCCATCGATTCAGTTCTGCTTCTGCCGCCACCAGTTGTTGTTTTAGCCTAGTCACCTGCAACAAAAACATAATTTAAATAAGAAACTAAAAATTAAGAGACCTGTAGACGCAAGAAGCAAAGTAGCCGTAGATATTTGATATCAAAAGATTTGGAATGGTTGACTGCAATTTAATGTTGATTTATAATTTGAATTATTCTCTGAATTAAATCCATACAAACTAAAATCCATATGAATGACGCACGGCAGCAAAAAAATAATTGGAACGAGACATGAAAACTACTTTTTTACTATGCTACTTTTTTGGGGCAGATGCAAATCCTTGAAAAAAGTTTGTTTTTCGGTATAAGATTTCCTTCATTTTATTTATTTCATCCTTTTTTTGTCATAGAGTTTACACTCGTTTTCGTTTACATATATGTTGGTTTTTTTTTTTTTTTTTTTTTTTTATTTTACCTAATAATTTTCATTTTTTTAGCTTTTTAAAAATTACTTTTATATTGTGGTTATTTAGTTTAATTTTTGGATAATATTTTAAAAGATATTGATTTTTTTATGCGATTTTATTGTCTATTATTTGGTGTTTACTGGTATTTCATTTGTTTTATGTGGAACTGCTGAAGTTTAGTTATTTAGGATCATCAAATTCTTAATTTTTTGGTCGGCAATTTTGATCGCCAAAGTATTCAGTCCAGATTTTTTTTTCTACATTTTGATTTTTGTATGTATAGTATAAACAGTAAAGCAACAGTTCTTTTAAAAAAAATGACCTTCTCTTTTTCACGTTCATAACGTCGTTTCCATTCTTCCGCTGTTAACTCTTCATTCACTATAACAACATTTTTGATTGTTTTAGCTCGCTGCCCGAACATCAACGTGCTCTTTGTTTCCGCTTCATTAACAGATGCCGGAGAACAGCAAATTACAATTGTTGTCCTTGAATTACCACCCAGTGATTCTTGCAAAATTCGAGTTAGTTTGCTATCCCGATACGGTACATGTCCTTTCTAAAATAAAACAATTTCAGAAGTTTCGCCTTCAAAATTTAGAACAGAAATGCGAATTGAATATTATTAAGGAAACAGTCCGAATACAGATTACAGAATGAAAAAAGTTATATACCGTTCCTTCAGCCAATGCGGCTATTACATTTCCAAGTGCTGATAAGGATTTGTTAATATTTTTTGCTTCTTCCAATACTGTACCTTCAGCGCCTGTCTTACTGACCTAAACATGAACGCATAAAAAATGAAGAGACCCGAAATGATGAAGTGTCCAAAAAAAGACAAAAGCTAAATATCTTACTTTTTCACTTCCAGCAAGGTCAACAAGATACAGCTTTCCAGTTAATTTTTTTTGAGTCGCCGTATTTTCTTGTTTTACTTGTATTAAAAATACGCTGTGACTCCTCGAGCTGTGTTCATTCATATCTATAAAAATTGGTTCCACTCAAAGAAGTTACCACATGTATGCTATTCACTAAAAACCACTGGAATTTCACAGATCCTTCCAACTAAAGTTGAAATAAAGCAACATGATGATACATTTTTGTTCACAAATGTATCGTCTTCGCGATGCAAAATGAGTTCAGTATTTTACATGAAGAAATTTTCATCATACTTCTCAAATAATAAACATGTGACAATACTAAATCAGCCATAATACTACTAAATAGAAATCAGAGAACCAAAAAGGATGCTCACTTGTCACCGCCACATGCCTATTATTTTTTCCTTCATCAATGCAAGCCATGACTTCTTCTGGACTAGAAACAAATCGTTCTGTGGCCCCCTTCACATATGGTACTCGATTTTTATCTTCATGAATTGCAAGGTTCATCTTTGTTACTAAAATTTCACTGAAGAATGAAATATATTCTTGAAATTTTTTCAGAAATTAAAAACAAAAACGGTAGGGTAATTCAGATTCATGTTTTCCTAAATATAAATTTGAATATTTCTGAAATATTTCCAAGATTACTTAACAGGTCTATATAACGAGTAAGAAAATTTTATAAAGGAACAGATCTTGACATACCGTCGAGCAAATCACGAATCTTTTCGTTGTAAATCTCAAAATATGAAACTTTAATATGGAATTCGAGATCAACATCCATATTATAAATATGATTGAATATATCTTGCACAATACGTGGTATTATACCCTGCATATCGGAATCACCGAAAACACCCTTAAAAATCGTGAAACTTTGTTTAAATGTTAAACCTTATTTCATACTTTTATATCCCCCAAGCTCTCAAATTCATTTATGAAAACTGAACACCAAGAAAACAATACCAATAATTTTATTCAGTAGACATTTCAGAAAATGAAAAAGCATAAAACTAGTACAAAATCATCTCTTTAAGTGAATAACAAATTACCTCCATCGTATGAGTCTTTCCAGATGATGTTTGTCCATAAGCAAATACAGTGCCATTGTAACCAGAAAGGACGTCCTGTACGATATGATAGGCTGCACCCATGTAAACTTCCTCTTGTGTGGAAGTAGGCTTGAATACTTTGTCAAATACATAAACTTTACCCTGTAAATCAATAAATTTCTCAGACTTTTCTGGCCATAAATAAATTTACAAAGATCCCTTTTGTGCAAATCGGGAACTATAAACTAAAGAAGATACAAAAAATAAATAAATAATAAATAAAAAAGAATGAGTTACCAGTGTGGTAAGGCAGAAACGTTGTGTTACTGATTAATTTAATTGAAAGTAAATTGATAGAAATGAGAGAAATCTAGCCACAAATATGTTTGCAATATGATCAAAAATCGTACCGCAACTGATATTGCTTCCTGTGAATCAGATGAAAATTTCGGGACAAACTTCGAATCACCTTTTTCTTCCATGCTATTGAGAGGACGGACACGGCAAAACACCTATAATGAGATTCTAAACAAGGTATCTACAATAATAATCCTGAGTTACTGTACTATTCAACGAAACAACTGACACCAATGACTAATTTCTAACTTCACTTTCAAAAACTTAACCTGTATGCCACATTCAGCAGGATTCGGCACCGGATTCGCCATGACCGAGACAATAAGGTTGTAGCCAAAGTGACAAACCAAAAATGAGTTGACCCACCGCAGCAACCTAAAAAAAAAAAATTCCATCCATAATAAAGTACTACAACCTCATGCATTAAAACAATGATAAACGAACTGTAAGCTGAAATATAACATAAAAAAGGATTAAGCTGATAAGAAATCATCAAGGATAATAAGCAGCTATATGGCTACATATTTCAATTCGTTCTGTCGGGAATAGTAAGATGTATCCCTCCGAACTTGTCAGATTTCTTGACTTGAATAGCTTACTTGAACTGAACTATAACCGTTATTATGTTAGAAATCCGATACAGTAGAAAGGAAGGACTGCAGTAAACATACATACATGGACCTACAACAGAGTAGGGGAAGAACACATCACGAGAGATGAACATCACACTGAATCTGCGACATATAACAACATGATGGCGTGGTATTTGTGAATGAATACTTGCAAAGCTTTGACAAAGAAATCTGCAGCTGAAATTGCAGACATCTCTTCCGCTTCAAATAAAGTCTGCGTACAATCGTGATGCAACATCAGCATATGAGAGATGAAGAGAAAGAACGTTGACTGAGTGCAAAACGGAAGAACAAGACGACACATTTGTGAACGTTAAGCTAAGACTGGTTGGTGACAATTCGAAGTAGAATAGGAAACAAAACGCAGTGAGACGAAGTCATCTGTTGAGATCTAACAAGGCCCAGAAGAGCAAGCAGAAGAAATGGAAACCATGCAATAAACTAGTTGAACAGAATAGGAAGATCGGACAACAGCTTTCCGGAGCTTCTCGCTCTCCACCATTTCCCATGCTGATATTACCAAGGTACGACAGATTCGAACCAACTCATAGTTATCTGCGTGTCATACATGTCACTGTGTGGGAAAATAGAAGAAAGAGAGTTTAGACTAGCGTGATAAAACATATCACATTAGTCCTACCCTTTTATGGCCCATTTTTTACAGACACACTTGAGGTAGATTCATGCAGCTGCAGCTGCAACAGTCGTATGCACTTTAACGGTGTCGCACTGCATAAGAGTCTTTTGATAGCTATCGCCACTCATTTATTCCTTCGGTATCACGCCTTAGTCTTGTTATCATCTAGGAGACAGAATGCAGTGAGATGTCACACTTTCATCCGCTTCGCGAGATGCTGCACTATTCTTTAGATTTAATGAAATGACGCGAATGCAACTGAGGTAGCGTTGATCTGCTATAATGTCAATGGAATCGAAAGAGGATAAGGAATATTCGATTGCCTTTTGTGATTAGATATTAAAATTCATTAGTAACATCGCAGCATAGTAACGCAATGCTCTTCTTCTCCCACAAATTTCGCTGTCATCCACACCATTTTCCGACTCTCCATTCCATTCGCTATTTTTAAATCAAGATTGATGCTGGAGTTTTCGTAAAAGAACTTCTATTGCTCTTTTATAAATATTCTCGGTAGTTTTTGGACCTTTCACGTGCTATATGTCCTAATTTAAAAGAAAATGTGGTAATCTAAGCGATATCACTTTTCTGTCTGTGATTTAATCATATCTTTGGGTAGGGATTTCTACTAAATGTATAGAAAATATAACCCGCATCCTTTTTTCATTTAGCATTTTGAGATTTGATTCTAACAGAACTTTTGCCTCGACCATGCATGAAAACACTACACCGCAACTTCTGAGAATGTTTTTTACGGAATGGAGACAGTATGGGTAAATGCAAATAACCCATCTGTTTTCATTTCAAATGATCGAGCAAATGACCAACTTAAGCAAACTTCATCATTTGCAACAGTTGCACAATCGAGGGTTCGCACATCTGATGATATAAATTTCTATTTTGTTATGTATCCCATCTGAAACAAAATTTGAGCAGTTCTCAGTTCTCTTAAAAATCATATTAGAATGAATGATAAAGAATTAGAAAATAGCGGTGCCAATCACCAATGCCAGTTGAAAATATGGAAAAGAAATTTTTACAAAAACAATAGCAAAGGCAATCATTAAGAAACATTTGTAAGGTGGATACAGTTATGATTTAACCCATTTTTAAAATGGAAAACACCTGATATGTGCCAAATATTTAAAGCATTTATTTGATATCAATTCTGCCAACTAGTTGGAACAAAAATGTACAATCACGAAAATTGCGTACAAGTCTTCATGTGCATAAATCTTCAAAAAATGAAAATTCTCTAAAGATTCTTATGCTGAAATACCAACTTCGTTTTGTTTCAATTATAAAATACTAATATAGATGAGTTTAACAGTGCTAAATTCAATTACAATGTAGAAAACAAAATCATCCCTGCACTTAGTAGTATGTGAGCAGGAAATCCACTGGAAAATTAGTAACATCCTCGGAAAATAAAGAACGACATTTTGACAAAGCATTTCGAAAATCTCTTTTATCCAGATTTCTTGTGAACTATAAATTTATCTGCTCACGAAAAAAACTATCAGTGTTTCTCGACTTACGGTCTTTTCATAAAAATACGAACCATATGTGTGGGCATGCCAGGATGAGCAAGGTAAACGATACAGTTATATTTACTGACGCCTGGTGATAATAAATTTCTTTTATGGCAGATTATCACATGTAGGAAGTAATCTGTCACGTCTCGGAACGTTCGAACACAGTAAGCACACTGCTAAAATTACCGCCATAGCTCATAATAATTTCTTCAGTATCATATAATTATTTGACATACAATGTTTTACAGGCACACATTGCTCTATCTTTATATTATAACGTAGTGAAATATGAAATGCAGTAGTTTAGCATTTAAAGAGATACCCTGCATTAAAAGGCAGTCAACATCTCTAAAGACAATTAATATTAAAAATTAACAAAATTAAAAAGATTTCATAAAGAAAGAAACTGAAAGCAATCAACAGGCTCTGATCCATTTGGAATACGCAAATGTGGCATACCTGTCTCGGTTCAAGCTTCACCGCCTCCGACCATTTCCCATCCACGAAATCTACTCTTTCAAGGCTTGTGATAGACGTTTTATGTACCCGAACGACTGCAATGTAATCTTTCTTACAAACTTCCATACTACAAAAAAGGAAAAAGTTCAAAAACATCCAACTGTTGTTCGTCAAATTCCAAACAGCTGGGAAATACACTTGCATCGAAAACTGGCAAACCGACTGATTTATAAGTATATAAGTATTCATCAATTACGTTGAGTGCATCCTTGCCATCGTAGGTATAAAAGTCAAATTTTGACAAGATGAAAGTTGAAGCTCGATACATATGTTAAAACATTTCTTACGCTAAAGAACAATCTTCAGTTAAGAAAAAAATGAAAATACCATGTTCGACCATATCTGTCCCTTGACTACTTCGATAATCACAGTTCAAACATTTTGGGAGCGCTGGAGCACTTGCCGACGTTGTAGATGTAGAAGGCGATGAAGGAATGATTACTCCTGATGATTTTGTTGACGTTGCTACGGTCATATCAGTTTTTGGTAGTTCAGCAAGCTTCAGTGGACTTGTCACTTGATCTTCCATTAAATCAGTATGAGTTGCTCCAGAAACGTCCGCAGAAAGTGTCACTAAAACATCTATTGAACTGGTTTTTCTCAGCTGTTTGGTTCTAGAAGTGGAATAACCCTGAACTAAAAATTCGTAAATATCAACAGTAGAAGTCAATATATAGTATTTCCATGTTGTTTAAATAGAATTTCGAATTTCTAGATAAGTTCTGAAAAACATGTTAAGTTTTCCCTCCAAATTTGAAGGAACTCACCATCTAATCCCATTTTAGAATGTTCTCTATCCACCTGTAGATGAATGAGTTGTGAGCCAACAGTGGCAATAACAGCTGAATTATCTTGTGTTTTGTTCCCCTTGGTAATTTTTATATCATTCTGGGAGTTCTTCTTTTGTTTCAAGCAAGGTACTTTAGATGGACTATCAGGAGAAAAAGAAAGACCCATTAATTTCCGTTTCGTTGTTGTTATTTTTCGTACATTTTTCTGAGAGCAGTCAGATGTTTTGCGAAATGTTGTCAATAACTTAACAGCTTGTGGTTTATAGCTCTCTTTGAAAGATGTGTGTTGGTTTTCCAACTTAGCCTGCAATATGACAACCATTTTATCAGTGATGTTTTGAATGAAGTGAAAAACCAAACATAGCTAGTAATGTTGTTATAAAGAACGAAAGATGAAAGAGTTTCTTTGATAATAACGAAAAAATGAAACCTTAACAACAGACGGCCCTCCTTTGTCGAACTCATAAATCTGATAGCACAGAGACACTGCTTGGTGTACTAAAATGTGCTCATCGAAGTCGTTCCTCACACTGAACGTTGTACCACATTCGTAACATAGGAAGAAACTTGCCATACCTTAAAAGTAATACAACTATTAACATTACTGCTACTGTAGCAACATAAAAAAGAAACACACTTGATTGTTCACTTCCAAAACACTACACAATTGTCCTAACTAACATAACCCTCAAGAACTCCGCAATATTCCATAGCACAGTTCTCATAGCTCCCTTTGACCCACTCCTCGCTCAAAGCAAAATTTTCCCTTATCATCTTTTCGCTCACTCTAAAATATTATATTTTCCAAACTTCGTCAACCTTTCTTATTTCCTACAATCTACTCTGTTCATCTTTCTCGTCATCAAGCTTCTCAAACCTATTCAACCCCTTTGATCCTTCTCCTTCTCTCTTTCTCTGTCGTCTCTCCCTTGACAATGTCACACACATTTTCTATAAATTTACATAGACAGGTTAAGAGGAATTGCCTAATATGATACCCATCTTTTCCCTCTCTTTCCTCTCTTCTCTCCACCTCTCCTCCTCTCCTTTCCCCTCATGATTGAAAGGATGAATTCTTACAAGAGAAATGAAATGAGTCTTTTATCTCTTTGACGGCCATCTTACTGATTTAAGGAATTCTTATATGAAATTCAAGGATTTGAAGTGAGAGGAAAGGAAGTAGTCGCGTTCCGTCCAACATAGCAGTCGAATTAAATTAAGTCTGATCTTATCCCTTTATTTCTGAATCTTATAATTTCTGCTTAAATTTTAATGCAATTACCAACTATAAAACAAAGTGTTTTTCGTATATAAAAAAAAAAACTAGAATTTCTCGAGTTTTGTTTTCCTTAACTGAAGTGTTACTTTCTTGTGCTGCTGTAAGTTAAGCTTACAAATTTGTCTATTTGATAGATGGTCGAAATTTGCATCATTCTTATGGTTTATCTCTATTCTTATCTTTATTGACTGTCTGGTTTGAATAAAAAAGGATGAAATCAAAGTTTTAATGAAATGCCGATAAATATTATACAGTGTGAGGAATATCCTTTTTTGGATATGATATTTACTGATCTTGTCATCACTTGCTTTGTAGCCGAACAAAAATGGCAAATCGAATCAAGACTCCAACGAATGTTAAACTGCTCACCAATGTAGCAGTAGTCCGGATGAAAAAGTGCGGAAAACGATTCGAAATTGCATGTTACAAAAATAAAGTGATCAGCTGGAGGAATAAAACGTTCGTGAATTATTTCGTTAAAAAAACGGATGTGGTAGTCTTTGTGAGTACTTTGGTGAGCGAAGCTGTTCTCGAAAGGATGACGATGAAAGGAACAACTTGTTAAGGTCCATTACAGCGAATGTGTGACGTCGAGCACTCGCATGTTTTAACAAAGTAATGTAACATGTCAGAAGTAGTGTTTGCTAACATGTCATCTTCAATAATTTAATGAAATTTAATTTCAGCGAGAAAGACATCGATGAGGTGTTGCAGACAGAAACGGTATTTACTAATGTATCCAAAGGACAGGTTGCGAAACGCGAAGAACTTAACACTGCTTTTGGTACAGACAACCAGTTCGAAATATGTAAAATCGTAAGTTATGTAGATATAAGTCTTTGCTTCTTTCAACATTCAATTTTGGATCTTTTGCTGTTCTTGCAGTAGTATTTGCAACATCTCCTGCAAAATCATTGCATCGTTATGTAAATTTAAGCTTCTCTTCATTCCATATAAACCTGAAGTGCTACGTCGAAAATCTTTGGACATGAACAGTTGTTACTTTTTTTTTCAATTTCAGATTTTAGAGAAAGGTGATCTTCAAGTTTCGGAGAAGGAACGCCTGGCTCAGTCTGATTCATCATTTAAAGAACTTGCTAATTTAATAGCGAACATGTGTGTGAATCCGGATACGAAACGTCCTTATTCTAGCAGTGTTATTGAAAATGCTTTGCATCAAACACATTTGAGTCTGAAACCCAATCGTTCGGTAAAGCAACAAGTAAGGAAACCTTAGAAAGTTTTTAGGAACTACTTCGTTTGCTCAACTTCAGTGGTTTCGTTTGCTTGCCCCAACTTCCAGGCGCATAGTTTGATCTTTTCGAATTATAGTTACAATATTAAGGCCTTAGAAGTAATTCCCAAACTGCGTGAGTTAATGAAAATTGATCGAGCAGAGATGCGACTTCGAGTGTCGGTTGAAGCTAAAGAAGCTAAACGTATGCATGATCGACTAAAAGGGATGTTCACCGAAATTGAAGTTGAAGATTGGGAGCAAGGAAATCTTGAGATGGTAAAGCGTTCAGAATTCAGTTTTTCAAATTGCAGCACTTCTCTTTGCACAAGTCTTTTAAGTAGCAAGTTAATTTATAATAGTTATATTGTTTATACTGTTTCATAACTATCGCTTCAGGTTGGGCTGATTGATCCGGGCACATATCGATTAGTGGAAGAGTTGCTTCAGAAGGAGACAAAAAAAGCAGGACGTTTAGAATTACTAACGCTTAAAGTTATTGGTGAAGGTGATGTAGAAATCTCCTGACTCGCTATAAATCATTTCATAAATTTCGTGTCATGTCTTGTTTATAGTTCAGTTTCGAACACCCTGGATAAAAAACTTATGGTCTTTTCAGAGTTTTAATTATTGGTTTGGATTGCTCAAAACAAGTTTGGCGAGATTTCTGTAACTTCGACTTTTTTTTTTTTTTTTTTTTTTTTTTTTGAGGACTTAATAATTTATATGGTTTGAAGTAAAGATTTTTTTTTAACATAACAGCACGTTTCGGAAGCTAAACATTGAGAGACCTACTTAATAAATAGAGGCAAACAATCTTCACTAACTCATAATTGGTTATGGAAGTGAAGTAAACATAGATCTTGCAGTGTTATAGCTCCACTAGCAAGCTGAAAAAGAATTTGAAATTTAGCAAAAATCAGAAAACCAAAAATGAAAAAAATAAATTCAATTTGAATTTGCTTAGCAGAATAAAATTCTAACACTTCACTGAATTTTTAATGGAATTGTACCAAATTTCAAATTTAAATCAAACGGGCTTTCTTCTACTTCGATGACATTACAGAGAGTTAGTAAAGTAACGAGTAACAAGTTAGCATTCTGATGAAATCAAAAGTATTTAATAGCTTTAATTCTTCAATGGTGATCCTTCTTAAGTTAAGTGCGCTTGTTTTTTATTTTTCAACTAGTTGGTCTTAAAATATTCTATTTCTTCAAGAAGTTAGCCTTTATTCCGCATATTTCAGCACTGAATATCAAATAGACTTGATACACCCAGAAAGAATAAACGTGAAAACATATTATTCACTGAATACAGCAAAAGTGAAAACTGTAGTTACAAATTAATGAGAAACAAAGTGTTCACTGGTGAGTACATTACTGATATCGGATTATTTTGTCTTTCATCCGTTTTGACGTCAAGATAGATTTCTGCATTTTGTGCATTTCAGTAATAATTTTAGTTCAATGTTTGGTGCTTTAAAAGTTTAATAATGATGTCACCCATTATAATATATATGGACGTAATACTGTGCCCAGCAGTTACTAGTTCTTGTAAAAAAAAAAGTTTCTGGAGAACATTTATGGATAGAATTGAAATGAATACATCCGCCCAGAAAATATTGTATCCCAAAGCTCTTAAAGGTGCTCGTTATCGAAAGCAAAATCTTCACGCAGTATAAGACCTGTTGGGCTAAACCAAATAAATAAAGGACAAATCAATGAAAAATCTGGTGACGAACATTGGGAAAGCAATGAAGGGAAATATGCGTGATATGACTGTTTAAGAAAGGAGTGAGTACACCATGGACAGATCCTCAAAATGAGAAATAAATTTACTGGTTTTATTACAAATCAGACAAAGAGAGTTATCACGGTTGAGTCGATGATCAGAAAGGTTATGCTCTCTAATGTGCTGGGGTAGCATGTCTGGCCCTGTAACAACAGGATTCTTAATGCTTAGTTATTAGGGTCAAGTTAGCCAACTGTGGACGAAACTAAAAACGATGCAAGATGATGATTAAAAAGAAGTTTGACGGGTAATTGCATGCTAAAGTGGAGAGTTGGGCAACCAGGAAGAATTAAGGATTTTCAGAACTATTTTCAACAATACGCCTTAAGTATTTACAAAACTTAATTAGAATGAAAAAGGTAATTCATCTATACCTGACACTTGAAGTCCTTAAATTTAATTAGATGTGAATTGGTTTCATTGTACAGAGCACTCCAAATTAAGTATGTATTTCATTAAGGAGATAAACTCATTTATTAAAATTCTGCATCCTATTTGTAATAAGGACTTTAAACCACTTGGCAGAAATCAATATGAATGTAAACGTATGACCACGGATTGTTCTGCTAGCAGCTAAAACAATAATTCGATTTTGTTATTGATGGTACCTGCAGATAAGCTCCTCAATGTCTATATTGAAGGAAGACCTGAAGTACTATGAAATGATCTAGTAATGACTTCTTTCCACCTTATTTGTAACATTTTTTAGCATGAGCATGAATTTTTACAACTGGGAACTTTTCTAATATATTGAGTAAGAGGAAAATTAGCATAAATTTATTGACAAGTTTTATTAGCGACTGCAGTGTTGATAAAAGCTTTCTGTGTTTGCAAAATGTGTACTTGAAGTAATTCTCAGTGAAAACGTTAATTGAAAGCGTGACCTCAACAGTCTATGAGTTGAGCTGCAAGTTAATAAATTTAATTGAGACTGTCATAACGAAGACTGACGAAGCATTTCTGATGATCATTTATGAGGAAGAAAACTTCCCGAAGATGCACTGTCCATGCAATATGCTTCTCTCAGATACGGGATTACATAAGTTGTTAGCATTTACTAATTGTGCTGAATCTTAGAATGTAACTGAGTCAGACAAACCTGGGTAAAAGGTCCACTAATTTACAACAGAAATCTGCAAAGGCTAAAACTACTGGTCGTGACAAGGATTATTATTTAACAAAAATTATCTTTTTGATTTTAATATTATTCAAAATAAAAAAGAGAATATTCCTGAATAATATTGAATTAAATAATATTGGTTCTTTCTTTTGATATTAGTTTTCTCAAGAAAACCAACCAGAACAATGAAATACTAGCACTATAAAATTAGACTGCAGAAAGTAGAATTCAAGCTTTTATTAATTATTGTGTCTGATGTGTCAGTTTAATAATGTGGCAACTATGACAACTATAGAATTCTAGATATTTATTTCATTTGTTGACATCAAAAGTAAACAGTTACAGCAACTGTAGCAGGACAAGACTAAGCAATGTTTACTAGTGCATGAAGAAAGTGCACCATAAGTAAAAACTGTCAAAAATCAAGATTTTAAAGTAAATATTCAAAAAAGCTTTCAGAAGAACATTATGCATTAAATGTGGTAGCAGGTAGCAGTACAGGTATGTAACGGACAAGTCCATTCCATTTTTAATCTACTTCGAGTATTTGAATACTCAGCAAATATTGACAATTGTGTCTTGCATGGTACTTGGTTCGAAATGTCCGTAATTTTTTGAGAAAAAAAGAAAGGGAATGAGAGAGAGGGAGCAAGAAAGAAAGAAAAACATGAGCAAATTTTTTTAGACTAATGGAACTATTAAATTGTCGTTTCTTCAACAAATTATCCAAAAGCTGATCTTAATCTTTCACTTTGAGAGTTACAGTTAAGATTGCTATAGTACTCTCAGTATGGAATTGTGCTTGTTTTAAAAATTATGATTTAAAATATTCATCTTGAGATCAGCCTCCGAAATGTAATTAGGAAGAACTAGAGAACTTAAGAAAAGTTTATATATTTAGTGAGCAATCGATGTGACAATGTCATTTAATCGTATTCCTGCTGTAACATCTTTACTTTATTTCTGCTATAATATCTTTACCCTTTACAGAATGTTATGGATTCGGAAACTGAAAGTAGCCCTTTTTTCAGTCCAATTAATCATTCTTTGCAGTTATGAAACAATGGGACAGGTAGGAATTTGAACATGCAAGTTATAGTTTTATTAAATTACCGAGATTTTCCTTCGATGCCCCTCATATTAACTTGATCAGAAATTCCTGGAATTCTTAGTTGTATTTCTCGAGAAATGAAAGAAGTGATGAAAGAGGTACATGCTACCAAATAGGTAGGTTTTTCTCTCACATCCTCCATATATATTTTAGGTGATTGATATTTCAGTAATCATGAAATCATGTTTATAGATAAATGAAACTTTCAACAATGAATCGTTGTCTATGCTATCAATAATGGATGAAGTATTTCCGAATGTTCCTAATAGAAATCAGCGAAGATTCGCCAATACGACAGTCTTACGAAAGGGCATCATCAAAAATAGAACCTGGTCGGAAGGTGTTGCACAATTACTACCGAGAAGTATTAATATCCGAGGCCTTAATTCACTTGCTCTACACCGAGGTTTGTCCATTTTTAGACTTCTAAATCGCATAGAGATAGATTTCTCATCACCATATTGGCTATTGGTTAATGCGTTTAAGAACTTTTATGTCAAAAATTTGATTACAGATTCACCGGAACCGTATTCCGGACTTGGAACTATTCGTTTATATAGTATGCGCTTTTGTCCATATGCTGAACGAGCTATAATTTATTTGGCCAGGAAACGTTTACCGTTAGTTTTATTTTAAATTCAAAAATTCAAAATAAATGAATAGTTTCAAAAGATAAAAGAGATGTACTTCTATGACATGGCGATTATAGGATGTGGGATATATTCGTTTTATAAAACTTTTTTAAGATTAGATAATAAGTGTGCTACATCAAGAAGTCATTTTAACCATTGCTATTATTTTGTGTAATGAATATTTTCCGAATTGCTTTAGAGTGGAAATAACAAACATCAATCCAGAAAATGTACCGAAATGGTTTCTGAATAAAAGTCCACTCGGTCGAGTGCCGACTTTTGAAATGAATGGCATCGTTTGTTACTTTTTTATTTTGTATTCATTTAAATTTACTTGTAATTTATATGGCTTTTTTACCAAACTATACAATCATTTTAGAATTACAACCTTTATTCAATTTAACTTTGTTACATGCAAATAATTAAGCTATGACGATTGTATCTATTAGACAATAAATTACAGACTATCTATGAATCGTCAGTGATCGCCGAATACCTTGATGAAATATTTCCAGAAACAGCTATTCTTCCACGCCATCCAGTTGCCAAAGCAAATCAGAAAATTCTTGTTGAAAGGATGTCACCGGTTTTCTTCTTAAATTATCACACAATTTGACAGCGCATTTTTCATTGTCCGTTAGATTAGACAAAACTGCTTGTACATAATTAATTGTTGGAAGTGAACATTATCCGGTAGCTTAGTGTAACCCTTTCTCCCTTTATAATAATACATTTAGCTCATTTCCACAATGTTCAAAATCTTACATCCCAATAACGTTACCGTTCAACAAGACGTCGATAAGTCATTGCATAATGCTCTCCGGAATGCCGAAGTTCTGTTAACGGATGATTTCTATGGAGGTTGACAACTTTTCACTAAGTTACCGTCAAAGAGATAATTCATTTCACGGAATTCAAATTAAATGCACTTTTTTAATAATGGAGAACAAATAATAAATACATTTTATGAACTAAACTAATTAATTATACAATTTGAATATATACAGGGTAATTTTTCAGGAAAAATATTAGGCTTTGCTGATATAATGATGTGGCCATTTCTGGAAAGACTACAACTTGTGACAGTTAATCCTTATACAGAATTTAGGTGCTGTTAATGGAAATTGAAAAATACAGAATTAGAGCTTTATTCTTTTCAAAATTTGGAATTCTCTAAGATGGATATATTTTCACTAAAAAAAATTTCAAAATTCATAACTTTCATAAGAAACTCTTTGTTATTTTAGAATATTTAAGCAAGAAATATTTCAGAGATTTTTTAAATAGATATTTAGATATTTCAGATATTTCCCAGGTTTTTACTATCCGAAAATAAGTGCATATATGGCCCGTATGCAAAGGCAGCCAGAGGTATAACTAGCCTACTAATAAATTGAAAGAGCATGATAAGCAAACAAGTATAATTTATTTCGCTTTTCATTTAAGTAAAAAGCTCTGTTTAAAATTGTAGGAGTAAAAGCGAATCAAAGTGTTACGTTTTTAATTTGCTCAGCCTCCATGCTAATATTATATTATAAATACTTCGATTTTGAAGATATTATTTGCTCAACGCCCAATTGAACAGCATGCAGCGTACGTGAACAGCTTTTTGACGGGCCATCCGAATTACGATATTGGTATCAATCAGTCATAACACTCCAGTTCCATCAAATCATGATTTTGGATTTTTTTGTACCAGATTCCAGTACTTTTTTTTCAAATGATCATTTTGATAAAGTTATATCACTCTTAAAAACTCGACATTTTGGCTGAAATTAATTAAAATTAGAGAAAAATTATCGATGATATGATTGCAAATATGCTGTATATTCCTCAAGTAATTAGCCAACGTAAGTGATTTAAACTAATTGAAACGAGAAATTAACACTAATACATGTGCTTGCTAGTTGCACAATTTAACCAAGGAAATGTCAGTTTCTCATTATGAGCTTTACAGCTGGAAATAGCTTTAAGATTCTTTTGAGAATGTTTGCAATTTAAAATGCCTGCTACTTGAGTGTGAAAGAAATTTGATTCTCGACTTGTTGTTTTCAAAATTTCTATAAGCTTAAAATTTATTTGACATTTCCCATCACCACGGCAATGTTTTCATCGCCTTCCTACTCCGGATCTTCAATTTGCTCTCGAATATTCGGCTCTGCATTAAGATGAAAGACTTAATTGATATCATAAATAATAATGTAAGTGCCAAATACATGAACAATGCGCATTGAGCCGTTAATATTGCAACAAACGCATCACATTTTAATGAACTAATTAAAATTTTCTTTCTTCTCTTTGGCTTTCCGTTAATATAATTTAAGTATAATCAATTTTTTACAACGCTTCTCATTAAAGACTCAAATAAGCAGTAAGTCTTAATTATCAATCAGAGAAGTGAGTGCAGCAAAAACCTGACCACTTCTCTCACTTTGTTATATTCCTGCAGCAAATTATATTGCATCCTAGGTACGAATCAAATATTTCGTTTATATCGTTTAGATGACTGATTATTGGTTTGTGTATTTGATGATCAGGTAGAAACTCACAATCGATAGAAATATAAAAAAACAGGTACAAAAGGTAATTACTGACGCAGTAAAAATTGATTGATAATATATGATTTTTGTCGAGCTTTGTTAACTGTTTTCGTTAATACGAAACAGTCGTTATCGTGGTACTCTTTATTACTAAGAAGATTGGTTTGATTGGTGCAAATTGTTTCTGAAACAGGGGATTTGAGATCGGATTGAAAGCAATCATCGAGAATTCCAGTGGCATCTCATCTATTGTTCTGTCAAATTTTGCATTCTTTAGTGGAAAATTTTATCGAATTAACAGCTTCTTGTTTATTTTGTAATGATAGGATAAAAGAAGGCAGTTCAGAAATTGTGTCAAACACTCTCTCCAATTGCCAGCCATGTTCATAATTTAATTTTGAGAACCACAAGTGTTACAAGTAAAAGACACTATTCCTATTTTAAGGATCTATCCAAAATATAATATTTCAGTGTGGGCCATTTAAACTGGAGGAAACATTAGAAGAATGTGCTTTTATTCTTTAATGCGAGTGAACTGAAAACAGAAAAGTTTGGTCTTTTTGACTTTAATTTTTTAAATTCATTTCAAATTTTATTTCAATGAGTTTCAACTGAACAATTTTCCCTTACAGTTTACACAGAGAGAGAGAGATGTCAGTTCATTTCATTAGTATTAGCAATGGATGAGCGTATATTTGAATGAGTGGTAATGACATGTGATTTGTTAACGAAGTGTAGTTAATAGTTGGTTGACTCTAGCAGAATCAGTGTAAAAGAGGCATCTTCAATTTGCTTTCAAATTGTTTGATATTTTGAATTATTCGTTTATTTAACCATTGTAAATGATATCAATCTTTCCTGTTTTGAATTCCTATTTAACATTGACTTTTGACCTCTACTTATAATCAGTTCAAAGAACTCATAGATCTGAAACCCACACAACATGATTTTTGTATCGCGTCCTGAAAAATGAAGCAATGCACTAAATTTTCTAAACATTCATCTACAGTAACTTAATAACTTTCTCGCCCTTAATAATATATAATTAACCAACTCAGTGTCTAGTTTTGAAAGGAAACGCAAATATTTTTACCGGTTTGTTGAGCTAAAGTATTATGAAATGACTGAAATTGATTAAACCATGGATTATAATGTGTTTCCATTTTGATTTAACTAATCAAAATATTTTTTGCTTCGTATGATAATTTACGTATACAGTTGTCCAAACTTTTCTCACGTACGTGTTTATATTGCTGGCGAACTTGCTGAGTTACACTAAATTGTGTTAGTTTATTGATTTGATTTAAATATGACTTTCGCTTAATGTGCTTTGCAGCAAACGTTTCATTTTTTTTTTTTTTTTTGGAAAGAAGCTGAATTCAAGAGGGAGAAGTCACGTGAAACTTCTTCATATATGAGAAACTTCAATCGGTGAAATTCTGACTCGCAAATTCTTCTTTATCTATGAAAACTTGTTGAAATTTTGAATTGTCGGGAAGTTGTCTTTGAGACTGCATTAGCTCATAAAAAATGGAAAACGATGTGTTTTTTTAGTGTAACAAGTGGAAAGGGAATACTTGCTCGCCTGCAGCGCTATGTTTTCCAAATTTCGAGATCGGCCTGCTGCTGCTGCTGTCTATTTCACCTGACATAAGAGTCGTTTCTCTTCACTTCCAAAATTTTTTCTTTTTTCAAAAAACACTTCACGTAAACATCATATTTTCCTTTTCTCTTAAAGAATGCAATTTGTAACTTTATCCCGACTGCTTTCACTGCATAACGAGTATAAAGCATTTTGTCTCCAGCAGTTGTTTTCAAATACTTCCGTGAATTTGTTAACCTTTCCGTCATCTGTCACTAACATTTCCACCACATATTTCAGCCTGATAGCTTTCCTGAGACCATTACTAGGCACAAAGATGTTGCACAAAGGAGATTATCGATCGAATGGTGTAAAGGTAACCAATTTTTCCAGAAGAAACTGAATCTAGTTTGTCGGACAAGAATCATTCTTACTATACACATGGATAACCTATATAGTTTCAAGTCGTCCCTACAGTGATCGTATCTATACGTAATCGTAATGATATTGTATATCGAATGCTACAAGATGCAGTAGTTTGGCAGGTCGGTGGTACATACTTAATAACGCTTTTAATACCGAATTTTCTTGCTTGGAGGTAAAATTTGTTAAATCTTCTTCGATTCAGACGCTTCTCACGTTTTTTGGTAAACTGCTGATATCATTTAAAAGGTTTTTTGTGGAATAATTTCTCGCGACTAATTTCATATTAATATACTGACGTTATGTCATGATATTTATCTACGTCACTTAAAGCACTCTATCGCTCTTTTGATCTTCTTTTTTTGACCAGTTCAGGTATTACAACGTCACATCAATTCCCCAACAATGGCAGTGCTACAGAAATCTCAATCATTTCCAGAAACATCGAAAGATATAACCGAAAACCTGAAAATATCACTTCCCGATTTTGTCATCCCAATTAAACATTACCCGCCAATGTGAGCCATATCTTGCATATTTTAAATTCCTTCACGACTGACTTTTATCGTAACTACTTCTTCCCATAATCGATTCATTTCATGTTTTTAGCATAATTCCAACTTCATTCTTTGTTGAGCTACCATTACAGTACTGTGAAGAGCAATAATAATAATTGTAATACATCCTTCGAAGCATTCGTTTGGGATTGGCCATTCAGTGAGGATCGTATGGCTAAAGGATTTCTTTCCAGCGAAAAATTCTTTGTTTGTTTACCTTTCAATCAAGGTGGCACTGGGGAATCCAAAGGAACGGTAAGTCTACTTTTTTTTCCCAGGAATTTCGAAATAAAGACTCACCAATTTTTTTACGACTCTAGAAATATAATATAATATAATATAACTAAAAATATAACATAATATAATTAGAAACATAATTGAATGAACAGTGGATGATTGCATGTTTAAAACCCATCTAAATTTGAATTACATCTTAGCCAAATTAATTATATCTTGAAATAACTACATTTTGATCTTCCAAGAAGCATATAAAATATAAATCTTTACACTTTCGTCTTGTTAGTAGAAAACAGATGACAACAGCTGCAATCTGGTTGATTTCTCGAAAAAAGTTAGCAACGTACGACTTTCAGCTGAAAAAGTTTGAAAGGATCTCGGAATCGAACTTTAGTTGCATTATTGGACTTTGCAATAATAAATTGTTTGGGACTTGCTTTTGGCGACTTGAGATCGAAATTTTAAGAAACCTCAATATGCTTGTACTCAATGCCTCAAGGTGATTTCGACTTCTTAAATTTTACTTATAAAGCTTTTCTTCAATAAATGAAGATCAAATTTTAAAGAATGATGAGAAGTCAAAACATTTCTAATCAAAAAAAGCTCCGTTAAAAAATTTGAATTTGTATTTGCTGCAAATCTTTTTCATTTTAAAAAACATGACAAAAATATGAAAAAAAAGTTAAAATACAAACTTCAATTAATTCAAGTGATTTTGTACATTCTGCTAGATAATAAGTATATTTTAGAGATATATCACGACCAGGAGAAACAGTGAAACGTTTGAAACGTGTTCGTAAAGTATACAAACTGCCCCAACATTGTGACATATCAACACTTACAACAGCAAGTTACGATTGGGCAGTTATAATTCAAGCAAATCGAAGAGATGATAAATTTTCTGGAAAGAATCATTCTAAAATATTGCGGCGATGCGCTACGCTTAATAATTAAACTGTCAAAATAATATTAAATACAGAGATGGCTACTATGACACCTTTTTTGTAAAACAACAAAAGCGTTCAGTGCAATCTATTAAAAATTGTATCTTCAAACATTTTCTTATATACATAAATCTCAGGAGATTCTACAATTTGACGCAATATTATGGAGAATGTTTGACAAGAACAATTTGCTTTTTGTTTAAATTCAATATTCCATACTTTGTTGTTCCAGTTTGAAAAAAAAGTATTAGACATCCAATAAAAAAATTGCTTTTGGCTTATCTTTATAATGGCCTCCTTGCAGGAGACAAATTTATTTGCAGCATATTAGTCTAATTCTATAATGAATGTTGGTAAATAATTAATAAAGTTACAACTAAAGTATTTTGCTGAAATATATACTAGCATGAAAATTTTGTTTATCTTTCCAGCAATCAAAGAAATCATTTCCAAAAAAGATTCGCAATTTTTGTTGTTGCACAAGATTAGTTAATTATACGTATGAAATACGTAATGAAATTGCACTTAGGCTTATCATACCTTCTTTTTTTCTTAATTATTCTTAGTTTTATAAATATTATATTTACATACATATACTATACTAAATGATGTCATACTTCTTCATCCTTCTTTTCAAATTCTTTTTTCATTTCTCTTTCTTCAATAATTTTTATGACTTTCATTTTTTAAAAGACATCAGTTATGGAGCTTCTGTTATTATAAAAGACCAGTTTCTACTTATAAGGAATGCAAGTAAAGGAATTAAAACTTAAATTGAACTTAAGCATATAAATAAGCAATGATTCTGGAAATTTGCACATAAATTCCCTATGTTGTTTTGAAAGTTTTTGAATGGTCTTTGAATAATTTTTGAATAGTTCCGATCAATAAATTTTTACGACAGTTGACAAATTATTTTGTTCCATTGTTAGGTTTGGAATTCATCAGCTTGAGACTAATATGGTTGTCCCAACAATGTTTTATATTAATCAGCGAGAACTACTTACAGACTTGGAATGGGAAGGAATTAGTTGAAGTGGAAAAAAAATTCTGAAAAAGAATTCTCCTTACTGCTGCAAAGGGCTTTGTAATTTCCTGGTCGGAAATGAAGACTTACTAGGTATTAGAAAGTTAAAGGATTAAAATTCAGAGGTCACTGCGATGGCGTACGTTATTCTGTACAGAAGCGTTAAAGATGAACTGTCGTGTCGAATAAGAAAACAGAGTCTTAAGGTTAAATTCAATTAAATTAATAAACACTATTTTTAATCATGCATGGATATTGAGCAACGACATCCAAATGATGAAAATGACCACTTTCTAACACATCGATTTCCGATAAATTTGTATGGGAGGGCAAAATGATATGAATCGTTGGCTAAAGCCTTATGTACCCAGCCATCTGATAATTTTGATACACTGACTAATTTTGATCTTCTCAATCACTAAACAACGAGTGATATAATCAATAATTATTTTCCACTGAAGAAATTGTTGAATAACCCAAATAAAATTAATTAGTCCTTGAGGTAATGATACCAGTATGCAATATTAAAAACACTGAATAGCGTCGGGAATAATATTGCTGATAGTTTGTCAATGTATTGTGTTGCTTGCTCCTGAAAAATACCATTCAATAATTTTGAGAAAAGGAGCTGTGACACTTAATAAACATTAGATCATCAGAACACTAAGATTATCCGATCCGGTTATTTTACATAAAGCATTTACAGGTATAGTAACAGGAAACGACCTCACGATGCTAATGATCAAACTTTTTTTACTAAATTCTTAATGTGGCTATAAATAACTACTAATTTTGTCTAAATTAATGTAGACTGATATATCTTAATAATTAGAAACCTTAAGGCTGATTTAAAATGATTTGGAACTTAAAATCATTGCCGAAAAATACAAAAATTGCGAAGAATTCGCATTAGAAATGCGAACTGAAATAAAATAAAGCAAAAAATTATGATTTATACAATAAATTTCTACAAATCACAAAAAATAATGTAAGCTTGATGAAAGATCAATAAATATATTTTTTACATGATTTACCCTTTGTTTGGAAAGTGAAGCAGGATCGTATGATGGTACTGGAATGGATGAACAGGATTTTGTGTTAGGTAATGCTTCTTGTTGTAAGCAACTACAAGGGCCTGCTATTGAAGCCATAGTTGCTTTCAGGTGATCATTAAGACCATAACCCGGCGGTATGTAACCGTAATCATTACCACGCGCAAGATTTATCAATGCATTCTCTTCCTCATTTGCTAGTCTCCGTCTGTAATACATTAACCATGTAGATCAACTGAGCAGAACTTGACCCACTGATCAATTCATCTACATTCATCCGTTTATTCAAATTAAACTGAAGAAAACTTGAATATCTCTTTTCGAAATGTCTCCAGTAAAATATGTTGTGTGACGCTAATAATCTAAGAACTTGACCTAGGAAGTAGGGAATTCGTTTCATAACGGTCTTGGTGCATTAACTTGATACTATCATCATCCTGATGTACTGCTGGCGATACCTTTACCGCTACCGGCTTCGGTGGGTCCAGTTCTTCCCTGCTCAAATATCCGACCCAGGCAAGCTCTAATAGTGAACAGAAAACGAAGGTCATACAACTCAGCATCCAAACATCTATTGCCTGAAAATGAGTCGTTATTTTATTTAAGAATTCTTCAACTTTCGTTTTTACTGGAAGCAATAGAGAAACGACAAACCTTGACATAGCTGACCCGTGGTAAATTTCTTATAATATTACCGAACTGAAAAGTCATTGCAAGTAGTGAATTAACGCCCAGCATTGTTCGAGCTGGTATTGCTTTAGAACCAAGGGCAAATGAAATCCATGCTAAATGTGAAACAATTAATAGAGTAATCGTACGAAGATTGAATTAGTTAAACGAAACTTACAAGTACCAATTTTTTAATAGATCGTTCGTTTTTTAAAGGAATATTATTTCTTCCACTAACATAACATTTAGTGATTATTCATTGATAATGTAGTGATAACTATCTTGATGCCACCAGCAACAGGAAAAGTCCAAGTGAGAGGAAAAAGCTTTATGACGGGAAATATTTAAATCAGCTAAGCAACTTACATATACAAATGGTAAGATAAGTTGGAAGATAAGCTTGTAAAATATACCATCCAGCGCGTCTTTTAAAATGAAATTTCATTGTTAATTCATGCCAAAAACCAGCTGGATAAGGCTAAAAAAGTCTTCTTAAACACAATACTGGAAAAAAAAGGACCCACTTTAATTAATTTTATTTTTCATCACGAATTTAATAGCATTGTTAACTTCGATGATTCTACAAACCCTAACCGCTAAATATATTCGCTTTTCTGTTTTCATCCATCTTTTTGGATGTAAGGAGCTAATTACATAAAATCGTAATGTAGCCTAAAAGTAATCGACAGAGACCAATAATCGATTAGTTTATCGATTGAATAATCAACAATAAAATATAACCTCTGTCTTCCTGAGATTCTCAATACCGGTGAGTTCATAATCAGCCAGTTCCATTTTTTCACGCATTTTCGAAACACCAAGTGGTGACCAAATCATTTGAACTTCATCGGTATTATAGCTAAATAGAAACGCGGAAATGCATTTTATAAAATTATACCAAAACACTAAAGATAAAAGCAAAGATAAAAAAAAAAGAATGAACATCGAATTTTTCTCATCTCTGAAATGAAAAAAAAAAAAAAAAAAAAAAAAGAGAAAGAATTCTGAAAGGCGGAACGTTTTGTCAGTTCAGAAGCTCAAATAATATATAATGATCAATCACATGTATATCGCACTACAGTATCCAAAAAAAGAAAAAAAAAATGAAATTAAAATTAATTTGAGAAATTTTAGCCATTGCCAATTTATTCACAAATAACACACAAGTCTATATTTTAATTCTGTAGATGGTAAGTTTGCTTCGTTTCAACATTTCTTTCCTTTTCACTAATTTCATAGCGAACTAATAGTCAGGATCACATAAATCCTAAGTCTAAATCATAAAATAATTGTCATATTGTATATTTAAAAAGTTCAAAGCTTGAGAAACTCACTTAAAACTTTCGAAAGTAAGCGAGCATGTAACATTATCGAAGGGAAATCTTGTTAAATCCATGGTGCATGGTCCTGGAATTGACATTTTTTCTTTAAAGTCCATAAATTTCAATGTCAACATTACCTTTTTCTCGTCATACCTGTGTATTATTATTTGTTGTTCTAGAATTCTTCAAATTTGATTCTTAATTTTTATTCGTATTATCTGAAAGTTTTATATCTCTTCTTGCTATTTAACCACTGATGGAAAATCAAGTCCAAACAAAATTTGGGATAAAGTAATTTTCCCAAGCTATATTATGGAATTTTAAAATCGAAATTGCTAAGCTATTTTTTTAATATTTTTGACTCGAAAATTTGAAATATTTCATTTGGATAATTGCAAAAGCGCATCAAAAAAGCAAATTTAATAAACTATGTAGAAAATGACAAAGGAATTTCAAAACACCAAGTTTCGAATATAGAATCAGAATGAAAGAGGAGAACAAAGAAAAAAATATACTTTGCACATTTAGAAGCTACTATCCTACAGGCTTTTCTTTCTCATTTTGAACTTCTACAACTGAAGTAGGAAACTTGAATTTCTTATAGCTTCTTCTAATTTAGCAAAAGTATAAGGGATAGAAAAAATTATTTTTGTTTTGCTAAAAACCTTAATTTTCTAATAAATTATCATAGAAATCTTCTATTCAGTGATATTTTTTCCTCCTGGATATATGTTGGGAAGTAACTTAAGCATACATAAATAAACAAAATGTAGTATTATATGAAGATTTAGGGTTTAAAACAAAACAAGATATACAAAGAAAAAAGATAAACCTTGCAATTTAAGTCTATAATTGGTCCACACTGATCCATTAGAATAAATCATTAAAAAAATGTTTGGAAACGGACTTCGGTGTATATCAGCGGTTTTAGAATTGATAA